CATAGGTGATCTGATGGTTCATCACACGATGCTGCCGTGTCTCTAAATGCTCCGGCTGCGTTTAAAGCCAGGGGTTATGTAGTGCTGCTTGCAGGTGTGAAATTATCATAATTAAATAAGGCCACAATGGCGGCACACATACAGTACGGACGAAAAAGGACGTTCAGAGAGTGTTTCTGAAAAGTACAAATGGAGTGCAATTTTTCTCAAAAGGCACATTCTGGCATCAGTTGGCACGTTCCAGCTCAGTTCAGCTCAGCTCAGTTCAGTTCAGTTCAGTTCAGCTGCAATTTGGCCATTTGGACCTGAAATGGTTCCAGGCCTGTTTGGACTGGTCTAAGACCATTATGGACCAGTTTTAAATTCTCTCTTCTTTTTCTTTATTTCTGCTGTTGTCTGAGGCTCTCCAGCAGGATTTGTTTGTGGCTGGGATCAAGCACCCCGGCCTCCTCCAAGTCTTCCTCCGTGATGTCACTGGAAACACAGAAAGAGGGAGAATTTACACTGCGTGACTTAGAGCCACTTTACTGTCAGCCTAAACTAATATCAGCATTATCTGAGCTTTGATGAAACACAGATGTCCTTATTTGATCGAGCTGTACCTGAGGAACTCCAGGTCGTCCCAGCCGTTGTGCAGAAGGCCCTGCTCATACCTCTCCAGGCCCAGTCTCTGTAGCCACTCCCCGACAGAAGATTCCCCCACAGACAAAGATGAACTGCTGCTTCCCCAAAGAGCCTTCACAGGAGAAAGGCAACACAGCATCAGCTTTTTATGCACTGGAAACATCTGATGTGGTCCAACAGAAAGTGCCACTTCCTTCTGCTGTACGAGACCCCGTGTGTTGAAAACATCCCTTCATATTTACAAGTGGAGCCGGATTCAGGTGAACCGTTTACCTCCTCTGGCATGTCCTCGGCGATGCTCTCTGGGATGGGGTTTCTGGGAGGGAAGGTGCGGCAGGCATCTAATCCCAGTCCCAGCGGTGGCCCCCGATGAGGTGGTGCTGAGGGGGCTCGTGGAGGCTGTCCGGGAAACTCACTCTCACTCAGTGTCTTTGCTATCTGCAGCACGGAGCACGACTGATCGTCCAGCGGCCCCGCCCCGCCCCCTCCCCGCCTAAAGCCCTCTCCGTGGGGAAGTGGAACACCAGGGCCGGCTGGGGGGATCCTGACCTCGGCCAGATCGGGGTAGAGAGGACGAGGTTTGGCGAAGGGAGCCTCAGAAACCATCTCCAGGGCTCCTTTAGGTAGGGGGGGAGGAGGGAAGTCTGGAGGCGGCCGATTCAGAGTGCTTCCGACTGCTGCGGGGACACCTCCTCCTGCCATGCAAGCACCGCCATCGTCCTCTGAGGATCCCTCCTCACCCACGCCAAGAGCCGGGTGTCCGGCTAAGTGTCTGCGTGGGTGAGGGGGCAGTGAGGATGCGGGGGAGGGTTTTGTTCGAGCCCCGACTGACGGAGGGGGTGCTTTGGGTGCGGAGGGGTTTGCGGAGGTACTAGTTGGGAGGAGCTCCGGAGAGAGAGCTGCGGCCGATTGGTTCGGAACTCCCTCCAGAATGTAGTAGGCAGGATTATTGTAGCTGTTCTTGCTGATCGATGAATCGCCGTCTGACGCATCTTGTTTGGGTCTTGGCAACACAGACAAAAATAAGACGGGTGGTTTTAGACTTCATTATGTTCCCTTTAACTTTTAACTACAGTCTCTCTGAGTGTGTGATTGTGGTCTCAGAGGCCAGTACCTTGCAGCAGTTTCCTCCTTGCTCCTTTCTCCTTCCTCGCTGACCTTTCCCAGTTCTCCAAGCTGCTTACGAACTACAGAGGTCCTGCGTCCAAAGCGCATCAAAACAGGTTAACATACAGAATACTCTATATTTGAAATGGCAGCATTTAAGTATAAATAAGTAGGGCAAATAATCCTTTTTAGAGAGAAGAATCAATTTGTCTTTTTTAACCAAAGTTTCAATCATCTACATCTTTTTTATGCTGAAATGCACAGAAAAAACAGACACCTGAAAACATGTAGTCTACATTTAAAAGAAATGCTGGTCACAGCTGCTTTGAATCAGGGTGACAACAAGAATGATTCTCAATATTTACTGAACATTACAATGAATTATCTGCAAGTGGTCACAATGGATTTTCGCAATATCATACTTCATTATGAGTTTAGAAGAGTGTACTGACTTCACATATTCGTGTCCCACTCTGGATACCAGTGTGGATTTCCCTTTGGGTCCGCCTGTCTCATCGTTGTCCACGCTGATCCACTCTGAAACGCGACAGCAACAACGGTTTTAAATCGAACTAGAGCTCTTTGTCGGCGCGTGCACCAAAGGCCAACCGACACCCCACAGTGTTGCTTTACCGTACAGCCGCTCCCTGGTTCCCATCCTCTCAGCAGGGACCCTAACCCTCATGGATCCCCGGATATTACCCGTCTCTTCACCCCGGTGGGACAGGTATGTGTGGAACTGCTGTGCCGTGCTGCCAATCATTGACTTAAGTGCCAACACACACTCTCCTGAAAAAACAGAGACATACACACATTGTTGGTTAAACACCAAAAACAAACAAATGGATATAAACCCCCACTATCCATTTGCCCATAATTAACAGAAGCCCTCTCTCTATACCATAGGACTCGTATCCATCCACTGATTTCACTGTTAGCAGCAGATGTTGGTCCTGTAGGTATTCGATATCTGAGAGGAGAGGCTTGAGTGTCGTTAACTGCTTGTTGGACCAGCTCACACGCAGAAAGTTGACGTTGTCGCTGCTCTGACTGTCGTTCTCGTAACTCTTCTTAAACTCTGCAAAAAATACAAATGCAAGAGACAGAGAAATCCAGGAAAGAGAGAGTGGAGGGAGGGGTAAGAGCAACAAAAGGGAGGGGAAGACGGGAAGGAGGGAGATGTTTCTATCAGGTTTCATTCCAGAGTACAGGAGGGGGCATGCAGCACAGGTATAAAAAAAAAAAATTAAAAAAAAGAAGTGTCGCTTTAAGGTATACTGACTGACTGAGGTGAGAGGGGTCAGGGGGAGACGGGTGTAAACACAAGAAGTAGACTCAGTTTTATTAGATAAACTTTGTGCAACAGGACATGTTCACACCGTGAATCCTGATGGATCACATGACTGAGCAGGTGTGCTCATCTCACCTTCCAGACAAGTGGAGTAGAACTCGATAAAGAATTTGGTCCTGCTCGCCGTCTTGACGATGGCCTCAATGCTTTCAAACTCAATGTAGGCCTGCTCTGAAGATTTCGGCAGTCCTGAATGTGAAAAAATTCATCACTTTAATTTCTAAAAGCCATAAAAGAAACACACGACGGGAGAAACAAGAGTTCACAACCATTAACAGGTTACACATCCTGCAACCAACTGCTCAATTATAACAGCAGCCTTTTTTTCAAAAGGAAGGGATGTCATGCAGGGAAAAGGTGGAAAACACTTTACTGAAAGTGAAAACTTTGTACCTTTTTTGGAGACAAACTGGGAGGTCACGCCAACCTCAAACGTGGCAAATATGGGGGAATGGTCACTTGTCACTATGTCGTCTGTACAGCCTGGGGGGGAAAAAAAGAGGATTTACCTCAGCCAAGATCAATTTCCTTTCAAAGCTCTGTCAACACACTTTATACAGCTGTAAACTGACTCTAAAACTGCCTAAATGGGCCTGAGTCTCACCATAGGAGTTGGAGACAATGTGCGTTTCTGGGTATGACTTCCACAGGATCCGATCACACCAGGATGGGACATTAGTCCTCATCTGGGACAGATAGACAGAAAAGGAGGAGACAGCACAATAATAAATATGACTAATAAAAAGAGCAAATAAAAGTGGGTCGGTATTTGTTCAGAAATGTCTGGAGGTGGATGAGCCGGTGAACACACCCCGGTGGCCTTCTGCTTCTGCCACACGTATGTGTCCCTGGAGCCTCTTTCGTAACGGTAGGTGGGAGGGAATGATATCTCTTCTTCCGCTGCAAGCAACACGAAGCACAGTCGCTTTTGAGACATTGAACAGTGTATCTTTTTTTTTTCTGATGGCGCACATTAAGCTGTTAGTGCACAAACAGAGAGCGACGAGTCGTGGGTTCACAGACATTTTGTGAAACTGGGTCACAGGCAAAAGCTACTTTCCAACTCATGAGGCTGTATGTAAAAAAGCATCATGTGGCCTGACAGACACACAAAGCTGTCCCAGATCAACTCAAGAGGTTCTTTTTGTAATGGCGGGAAAAACAGTGTAAAATTGGGGCGTTCATGAGACATGTGGCGTAACCTCTAAAAGCACAAAGAAAACATATGCCCTTAAGAGCCCCACCAGTGATTTGATTTTTGTTCTTTAGAGCAAGAGCAATGTTCCAAAGGTGTGGGGGGAAAAAAAAGAAAAAACATTTGAGTGTAAGCTTATACAAAACTGCAGTCTTTCTGTGTCTGGGAGTCTCATAGTAAGCACAGGAAACCTGTGGTTTTACTGAACTATTCAAGAAGCAGCAGCGCTGAGCAGGTGCTTTTGGGAACTGTGAGTCATCACTTCATCTGTATTCATTAGACCACTGAATCTCTATTTTTAGGATAAGAAGCTTCTGTTAATGTTGAGATTTAGCTAATCTTAAATATTACCTCCCCAGAGTTAAATAAATCCTTGGTTCACTCATGAATATCTTCTTTTGCACAGGGAGGCGAAGTGACCACGTTTGGCTAAGGCATACTAACCAAAGCGTAAAAAGACTTTATTCTTCTCTCGCTCCAGGTTTAGCTGGTCCACTTTTAGCAGGGGTTCGAATTCTTTCCTGTTAATGTAGTTTAAAATTTCCTACACAGAAACAAAAGACAGAAGATCAGAAGACTATGCTGTTTTTTGCCTCCATTTTATGATTTAATTTCGGGATTTTTTGTTTGCCCTGCCTGTGTATACCTGTATATCCATATCCAGCCTGTAGTTAAGGTCTCCCAGCCAAAACAGGTGTGTGAAGCGCAATGATATGTCGAAGGAGCTCAGCTGTTTGTCTCCTAAAGACAGAAGCCGCAGGATATCAAGGTAGTTCTGGTTCCTCCTGAAGGGGTCAGAGGTTGAATGTGTGAGAAACAATAACGGACAAACCAAACACACAAAGGTAATATAGCATTTTGAAGAATAGAAAGGAAATTTCCACCAAAGGTTCCCAGAACCTTTAGCCCTGGTACCATTTTTAAATAGCTAAATAGGTTTCTGTGGGTTGCTGGTTGTCTGTTCCTTTTCTACCATAGAAAAAAAACAAAACAAAACAAAAACTAATTTGGTGCATAGCACAGAAGAAGAAAAACTACTATCCACTATTTCCAGGAGCTGGTGGAAAACAATGACACCCTGTAAAATGACTGTGGACTCTGGTTAAGTCTTTGAAAATTAAGTTACAGAGTCAATGACAGGAACAGATGGGGAGCAGTTGGAAAAACATTCAAAAATACTTAAAGGTTGCAGTCAAACTATTGCAAAGACAGCCCGAAATAAAACCATACAAAACCCCCATAAAAGTTCTGAGTACGGTAGCTCAGAGGTTTCCCGGCGCTATTGGAAGGTACCTCTGGTGGAAATGTGGCTGTTAAGTCTGTGTGGGACATGTGTACCTGGCAATCTTCTCATTCCCTGATGTCAAATGACAGTTCACAAAGCCAAATGACGTTCCGTTGAACATGAAAGACACTCCCACGGCACCTTTGTTACCTAGACGACCAAGAAAATAAACATCCAGACTAAAAATTCCAGTATTTGACTTGCGGAAAACATCCTTTGTAATAAAAAGCACGCGTTCATCATGACTGCACTGATGATGATAATGATATCCATTTACATATATATCACATAGTTTCAAAACACAAGACCAACAGCAAAATCATGGTAAACTCTGATTTTGCTATTAATCCACTGTGTATATTAAACTCAAGACTTTAACTAGAACTTGAGACATGTTTAGGGGTAAAAACTGAAAACAGAGTGGTGCTACCCAGCGTGTTGGCGATGCCTGTCTTGACACTGGACATCCCCACGTGGCTGATCCTGTTCTCATGTTCAGGTTTCACCAACACAGCAATTTTGATGTTCCACAGAGTCTGGACCGCAATCTAAAAATGACAACAGCAGACAATGGGGAACCTGTAGTCATCATTTCTGCATTCAGAAACAAAAATAGCCCCTTCTTATTTCAACTTCATATAACCCATCTGGGAATAGAATGGACAGGGTAAACATTAGTAAGCACAGCTGACCAAATAGAGCTTTGTAATATAAAGCATAGGGGCTCTGTATTATGTGTTACCTCATGTTTTTTCTCACCGGCTTATAATCCAGTTCTGTCTGTTCTTTTAGCATCGAGCGTAGGGACTCCACCCACTCCCGCTCACACACCGAGTTCTCCTGGGTTCCAAAGACGTACAGGTCGTGAGGGATGGTGACCGTCATTTCGTCCAGTGTCTTCCCAAGGCCGCGGCACAAAACCCAAGAGGCCACAGACTTAGGTGCCGGTACGGAGCCTGAAGACAAGGAGAAAAACAAATCTGTCTCATATAAAATGCCAACTCTATTGTTGTTACAGGCTGTGTTGTTGGGACTGACCCATATTCCAGGAGCCTATGAAGATGGAGATCATGTCTGGCTCATCCTGGTTGGAATGTTTGTTCTTCATCAGCTGCAGCAGCTGACAAAATGCCTCCCGCTTCTGAAACACGAATACACACACACAAATCAGCGAGTGGAAGCTGATATATATGGTATGTTATTGTTTTGACATGCGTTTTATTCAAAAGTCACAGAATTTGTGAAAATGCGTGTACAGGCCTTGGCACTGGCAAAGATGAAGTCTTTCCTCTGAATCTTGTCTTTCTCCTTCTCAAAGACAATGCCCAGTTTATTCTGCACTCGCTGAGACTTGATCAGCTGACGTACTGACGGACAGACAGGAGACAGGAGAGCATCACAAGAGGGTAGCAACAGATCCATTCAAGGAAGAAAGGCACAGTTTATCTAAGTTTGACAAATATGTGCACGGACAGAGTATCTGACAAATAAAACCTATCCATCTTCATACCAGTGGTTCTTACTTTTGTCATGTGTGAATGTGGTCCAGTCCTCCTGATTGTCCTTCACCTTCTTCATCACCACCAGTCTTCCTCCCTCCACATCCACAGATAAAGTGAACTTCTGGCTCTTTCCTATCTTTGTCAGCTCAGCGAGGTAGACGTCCAGCTTCACCTGCAATGAACCAAATATAACTACAAATACGCAAAGAAAATAAGGCCAATGGCCCTAACTCACCAGCTATGAGCCATTACACTTTCTTTCCTTTATCAAATGACGTATGGACTACTGCTCACTGCCGATGACAGGCCTTATTGTTGGTAAATTCGTGTTAAACTAATTCTTGATGTCTGTTTCTCTTTTGAGCAATTCTCATCTGAACAGGAGAGCTATGTCCCATTGCTCAAGGGTTGTTCAAATAATTAAAATGTATTTTTTTCTGATCCAGGTTACATTTTGTCTGTCAGTTACAGGTCATGCCAGATAATATAATCTTCAGACCACTAGGGGTCTCCCAAATTAGAGCAGGAGAACAGTCAACAGTATCAATTACCAAGGTGCCTCATTGGCAGAAACAGAAAAGAAAATGCTGGTTATGATGATTGTAATAATTTTTTGTAAAAATTACTGAAATGTCTGTTCTTTAAATAGTAATTGGAACTAAATGGACATCTCTTGCATTAAGAAACACATAACCCACAGTTTCCCTCAAGGCCCTTCTGACTGAGTCATAAGAAGCAGACACAGAGAAGGTTTGTCTATGAGTGAACATTTTCCTGTTGAACAGGAAACTACTCAAAGGATGTCATCACGGGGATGCAGACGGTGCTGACAGATAATTTTCGAAAAAACCCTTCATCTCCTCCACCCGCTCTATCACCTCCTTCACGGTGTCCTCCTTAACTCGCTTAACTCACCCCATCACTAAACTTATTCTCAATCACACCCCTCTGACTGATCTAACACACATTTTGGCACAAAATGTTACAATTTCCCAGCTTCTCTGCTCTGCATGCTTCTTCTAGAGAGGAATATCATGACGTGACTGATGATTCAACAGGACGAGCATTGCAAGCATTCCTCTGCACACACATCAGCACTGAAGACAAACTTGCTGGGTAAGATAATTCCCAGGGTTTGTAATCTAGGTTCATACCAACAAAATTAAAATGGAAATGCTAAAGAACTCTTTTAATATTTCCCTTTAAAAAAAGCAAACAACAACAACGAGATAAATTCAATCTTCTCCGGTCCAAAATGTATTTCGATGAAAAACAGGTCAAAAAGGCCATTAAGTCATAACACGGTGGTTGATACCTCAACACCTGCACATGAGTGTGTCTGAGTGTGGCTGGAGTGTGTGCAGATGTAGGTCAGTACCTCGAAGGCCTGCACAGGAATGGCTTTGCTGTGACGCATGGAAAGAGGAGGAGGGGAGCCCGGAGAAGAGGCACTCATGTCCTGTAGAGCTTTCAGAGCCTGAGGGGAAGAATAGAAAGAGAGAGGCCAGAATGAGAAATGATTATAAGACAAGCGTGAACACAAGAAATGAAAGTGAATTGAGACAAAGAAAACAGTTGCGGGAAAAGATGATACACGGATGTGTATATACATATATTCAGCCTATATGTTTTGTGTAAGCAAGGAAAATTTTTCCCACTTCCTGTGATCTAACAGGAACAGAGAGGGTGGAGCCTTGATCCTCACATGTGGACTGCACTGGGGCCCATTTCCTACTGAGTCAGGTAAATTCCCCCTTTACAAATGAAGTGAAACATGAGCAAGAAAGCCTACTGTTATCTAGAATGACTGATAAAGGCTGTATATAATGAGTTGGGTTCACTGGACCTAAAAATATCTATGACTTTGAACGCTACATTTTTAATGATTACTGTGAACTTTGTGGTACTTAAAAATCACCAAAAAACAAACAAAATTAAGATGCTGGACCAAATTTAGCCACAAAAGCTATTTAATGTTACTTCATTAGGCCTTAATTTAGCCATTACGAGCTCAAGAGAGGTTCTAAGAGCTGTTAGTTGTCAGTAGAGAAGTTGGCTGCCCACATGTACCCCCCCATTCTAATTAATCTGGCTTACATGTGTTAGATGTGAAGACCTCAGAAGTTAGTGCTTACATTTGCAAAACCAGACTACAATCACAGAAGGGCAAGTGTGCAAGCATGTGACCAAAAGTTAGAAAAGCGGAGACCGAGAGAGGAGGGCCGACAGGGAAGATGTAAAAAAAAAAAAAGTGGCACATAGACACAGCAGATAGCTTTAATGCATGTTTTTTTTAAAACCCAGGAGATACTTTGGTGGAAAAACAAGCTTTTTGCGACGATGTGATGTATGCGTGTCTACCTTTTTCTCTATCGAAGACAGCAGGTCTTTGAGAATTGCCAACTTGGTCACCAAATTCTCCAGTTCTTGGTCTCCACCCTGATTCACTGACTAATGGGCAAAAAACAAATAAAAAATCACATAAACACCCCCAACGAATAAAATAGCCTTTACAATCAACATTCAGTCAGCATCCAACTTGTAGAGAATGGGATTCAGATATGCAACATTTACGAGGAGGTTTACGATCATATTTTTGGAAACTGCTTACCACAAACCGTTAAAATAATTTCAATCTATAAAACAAACAGTACATTCAAGCTGTTTTAAAAATCCTCTAAAAGATCCAAAGTTTACGAAAACAGCTTGAAAACCACTGGAAGAGCATTCAAAAGAAAAACTCTCATCATATGATAAACAGACACAGACAAATTGTTGCACGAACAGTACACATGACTGCAGTGTGACTCGCTCCAACTCAGACGGCCGCGCGATGAAGTGAGATTAGCGAGGCGTCTTGTGCCTGAGGTCAAAGGGATTTTGGGGTCCACCAGGGGGCTCTCATTTAACCTGGCTAAATCAACATGGTAATATAAATTGAACCGTCTGTACGAAAAACCATCCTGTCACAAATTATTTTCTCCAAAATCAGATGAAAACAGCATAATCTATCAGCAAAATCTATGGTAAATTACATGAAAGTATACCGCAATCAGCAACAAATACGATAACAATACAATGCTTGTCACGAGTTAAACTTTCACCACGGTGGAGTTCAACCTGACTAATTAGAACCTAGTGCTATGTTAACACCTTGTGATGCTCAGAGGAAATTTGTTATTTCACATAATCCCAGGCACCTTCAGGCACTCAGCTGGTAATGCAGAGTAGGACAGATTTTGTCTCTACTTGTCTGGACTTGCTGAGGTCTGTCAACACTGCCGATAGTGGATCGAACAAAGACTGGAGAGTTATTTAGTGTGTGTATTGGAGCTAATTCAATTCAGCACTGATTTGGTTAAGACTTAGCTGATTGTCACATCATCATGGGAAAGCGTGAGAGCTGAATGTGCATTTTGAGCAGGCATAAATCAATTTAACAATTATTTTCTGCCAGCAGTCCCATCTCATTCTTCAACTGGATCAGCCATGTTCCAATGAGCCAAAAACATATTTTTTAGGATGTGTGAATCATCCTAATGGTCATCTTTTATTTTCTGCATGATGATGCAGCTCTACGGGTCATTGAATGACCCATTGCAAGTGGCTGTGATCACCATGTTATGTAATACAGTCCTCAGCTGTCTCCAGGGGAAGCTTGAAAAAAAAAACGTTATTTGCACACAGGATGTGTAGAACCTAAATAGGCACATCTTTAAGTCTCAGTATGTGATTAAACCACCTTAAACCTTGTAAAGTCCTACCAACTGTTTTTTTTTTTTTTTTTTGGACCAAACGATTATCAACTTACAACACATTTTTCATACAAGCAGCTCCATTTACAATAAGCTTTGCTGTATAACACAGCTCAAGCAAAAGATGTTTCTTGTCACTTTGGCACATAATCTCTCACTATATTTAAATTTGCATTGGTGGCATCAACATTACACATGGTTTACAAATATTGCAGGAAGAATTTTAAATATTCAAAGAGTTTTTTGTTCAACAACTCAATAATTTGATGTTGAACATCTGCAATTATATGGCTGGAAGGCAGATAGGTCTCACTGAACATGAATGCACAGATATTTACCTGCTGGATCATCTTAGAGACCATGAAAGCACTCTGCTGATCAAAGACTTTAGACAGGATCTCCAGCCCAGACAGAACTTTATCCACCTCTCTGTATAAGAAAACACAGAGAGATTAACAACTTCGTTTTCGCTCATCAAAGCCACGTCTCTCTCTTTGTCCGGATCCATCTGCAGGGAGACATTTGCTTCACATTGTTTTACAATGAACAAAAGATTCAGAGTTTTTGAAAACTTATTTTTTGAAATCTAAGGCTGGTTTCTGTTGTTGCTTATCACAGTGTTTGAATAGAAAATATGTGCCATTGTGACAAAAACAACAGCTGAGTTGAGGAAGCGGGCAGCCCTGCGGGACGAGGGAAGGTAGGACGACTGTTAGTGTCGGGATATTCACAGACGCAGAAGAGCAAAGCTCCATATGTGAAATGTATGGGTACTGGAGTATGCGTGCTGGTGTGTGGAGCTCACCCATTTAGACGTTTGCAGGAGGCCACTAGTGTTTTGTTGAGATGAGGCAGGGAGGAGGCTCCCTGTTTGACAGCTTCAAGGTCCAAAGCATAACTGCCCTTCAAGTACTCATGGGAGATTGTGCTCAGACCGTTTGCCGCAGGAGCGCTGAAACAAATTCAATTAGGGTTGAGGGATCACGGCATCAACATGATTCTGTAACATTATAATAAGATTAAATAGATACAGAATATTATGTCTGCACCATATCTTATTTTTGTGATGTTTACTTTGTGCCTCTCCTATCCAGGTTTTTTTTTATCAATCACATGTTTTAGTCCCAAGAAAACTGAGCTGCATGTTATTCCCTTGGAAATGTATGTAAATGCGTTCATAAAACTATAACCGCTCTTTAAGTCTGCTTTTTAGAGTCACCATCACCCCCAGACAGCAATCTTTAAAAAGACTTGCTATAAAGGCTGTCACAAGTTTGTCACTTTCTCTTGTCACCCACTTTCTCGAGAGCGTCCCTTTAGAAAATGGTGTAATAAAAAAAATTAAAAACTATAATTCTTTAGTGTGGTTTCATGACTTTTATCCTGCTTTTTGCTTCTTCAGTAAAAAACAGTCCTTGAAACAATTTAATTGCTTACAAACGTGCCTGTCTCACTTCACACTCACCCACTACAGAAACTGCATCCATGTGTACTCTTATCAGGTTTCGTTTTCAGCATGAACAGTGTACATTATTTGAAATGCGGATTCTTTTTTTCGCCTCATTTCAATGATGTGTGAAAATGTTATGACTCATATATAGTGGAGCTGATGTCACAATTTCTTGCTTCATTCAAAGGCAATTTGACAAGTTAGAGCCACTGTCATTCAGAGAAGGTCTAAGAATAACTGATTTCACTTACTGCTGGAGCCCCTTTCCAGGCACCTTGAAAAACCTTTAAAAAAAGCTTTGAATAGCTGGAATTGGCAGAGATATTCATCAGCTGTACAACTATCAAATTTAAGCAAATAACTAATCCTATGAAAGCAAAGGGACATGGGCATTTGACTGCTGTTTACGAATCCACACGTTTTTTAGCTCCGCACACAACTTAAAGCTTGATAAAAATCATCTGTTCAGAGACTAGCTTCCAGCAGGATGTGGCTTACATTCTTTTGAAAGATAGAGGGAGGAAATGCGTCTAGTGTGGAGGATGTTATTAGAAAAAATAACGACAATGGCGTTTCCAATTAAACTAGCATCTGAGAGGCACTTGTGCTAAATAATATTAAAATACTATAGTGGTTAGTAGTAATCTCTGCTTGCTGATATTGTGACATTCACGTGAGACAACAATTACCACTGTGTGTGTTATTAAAATGCCTGTGTGTCTATAAAGTGGTAAACATGTTGTTGAAGGTTAGGTCTTATGGAGGGGGGGTGTGATTCTTATTCACATTCGAAAAAGCAGAGGGGCCCAATCAAATAATCCATAATGCAGACTTTGTACCTTTCCGTGGGTGTGTCTGGTCCAGGAGAAGTAGAGGTGGATGTGGTCCGAGGGGGGAGGGCCGGCTTTTCGTCCTCTCCATCTACCAGTAAAAGAAATCAAGATTACATCATGTGACATAAAGGATACCATGGCAGCTGTGGGTGTGCTTGTGTGAGCTACCTGAATAGTCTCTGTCATCGGGGACAGCCGTCTCCTCTCTGTCCACAGGGTATAGCAAGGTGGTGACCAGACCCTGGCTGGGCTGCAGGTACAATGAAACCAACTCTGGCAACGTCTTGAACCGCTTAGGCTGCACACCCTGTGATGTCTGAGAGGAAGACGAAGGAAGGCAAACAGGGACGGATGTCATTTCCAACATGGAACGATCCAAAAAATGACATCCAAACTCTATGGCAGCAAATTGTCTTTTAGCTTGAATCTCTGGTGGCCTCCATTGTTCCATATTTAATGTTCTGCATGCAAGAGCAGCCAATCGAGCTAAAAATAATCCAAACCAGGAAGAGCATGTTTGATAAACACAGCCGACAAACAAATTCGGCTCCAGGAAGCTAAATTAGACCTTTTTTTTTCTATCTCCCTTACAGCTAAAGTCCCAAAAAGTCAGCAATGGCAGACATGTGCGAGGTGACGGCAGCATGTTGTAGTGTGTGTGTCTGTGCCAGAGGCTGGTGGTGGAGGGGGCTGCGCAGCTGTTGGGCACAAGACACAAAGACACTGCTGTGTGTGTGTATGCAAGAGAAAACCCTGAGCCAACAAAAGCATCCCGGCCTGCCAGCTGTTGCTGAAGCACGAGTGAGGGAGTGTGCGTCACTTCTGTACCTGCACAGCCAGAAATCCCTCGTCGTCTGGTAGGATTCTATAGGTGTGGACATGCTTCTGAAACCTGTGTCCAAAGACGGGAACAGTGAGGCATGAGGAGAAACAGAAAGAAAAACATTTACAGAGCAGGATAAGTGAAATAGTATTCAAGACAATTATTTGCCACCAGAAAAATTAACATTCCTTCCTGCACTGAGGTCAGTTCATAGGGGTGTGTGTGTGTATGTGTTAGGTGGGTGGGTGGGGGCGCTTTAGCCTCAACCTGTTGCTATCTATCACTGCTGTGAGTGTGTGCTTTCCGCTTACAGTAGCATGATACAGCGAATTATAACCTGGTGTTTATGAATGAAAAAAGTTAAAAAAGATAGTGTGAAACGTCATCATTTGTGAAATCGGGTCACAAAAGAGAAGAAAAATCTGCAGGAGGGAACAATTTATAACTGCATATATGAAACGGGATTTAAATTGTACTTCTGATTTCAACAGAGGCTTTGAAATCAGCCTCTGTTAGGCTGATCCCCCCTGCCCCCCCAATCAATCCCAAATCAATACTCTGACATTGCGATTGTCCAATTGTGGGTATATATGCCTGGAGCCACAGGCTGAAGTGTAATGATGGACCTGCCTGCACCTCATGTCAGCTCAGTAGGCCGCTCACAAAATGTTCAATTTGCCAAGCAAATGTCATGGTTTTTGTCAGTTGGTGAAAATGTTTGCATGTGTTCAGCTGTGTAGGTGTTAGGACGGCAGCCAATTCATGGCACTCGTGTAAGCCTGCGCTACGTTCTTACTTTCTACATGGCTGAGTGTAAACAGGGGGAAGGGCAGTGGCACGACCAAGAGGACAAAAGCTTAATACATCTAATTAACCTGTGTCATCAAACATAACACGTTGTTCTGAGTGTAATAATGAGTGGACGGAAAGTTTACGGAAGCAGGGAACTCTCAAACCAGTTTTCGTTGTTGTTTGTTTTGTTTTTAACCCCCAACCATTATTTGATTCAGACCCCACAATGCTAAACCTGAGCAAACCAGCGAAAACTGCTGGTTCTTTCATGGTGTTTTGTGTTTTCGGTCAAGAGCTGCAGACTCCCCTCTCTATCTGAGTCACACACACACGCACACATGTATGAGCTTCAAGCCGAGCTTCAAACTGAACAAACGAAAAATGGAAGCTTTTCTCCAAAGTTACTGTAAGTGCAATAAAACTAAGAATCCAGCCATTCTTCAACACGCTGATACATGCAGAAAAAGTTACATTTTCAGCTTCTGCCACCCACTGCCTTTATGTTTACTCAATCACAGTGTGCCTAAGGCAGAGATCGGCTGTTGTGGTCGGATGGTGTGTGGCTGTAGGAAAATTCTGACTCCATGCACTAAGGGCTATTAGGCCAGCTCTATAATAGCAACGTGGCATGCGTGTTGTATGTGCTGAGCTGAACTGCAGAGCTGTGTCCACAACATGGTGTGTGGGGCTGCTTCACAGCATTTCCTGCTTGCTCGCTTTGTTTCTGAGCACAGCCTGTCTGGTTATGACCACAACTTGCGTGTACTCCATGATTATTAAACTCAGAGAGTGGGGACGTTTCTCAGCTGGAACTTAAAGACAGTCATATTCAGTCACCAACATGAACTTGGACGTACTGTCTGATGTCTGATTAAACTTCTATTGCTTTTTTAACAATTACCTTTAGTTCCTTGTCCTGTATATGTACTTTACCCCATTCAGGAATCCTCATGTTTTGGTGGTGTAGACTGTTTCTTTTTTATGATCGACTCCTGATGTAAATGTTTTAAACCTTAAAATCATTAACATAACCATTTTGTATTACTGCAGCCCAAGGTGCTCGGAGAGATTCTATATTACACATTTCAAATCATGTCAGAAACTCAAAATGCGGATCTAAGCTACTAAAAACACCAATTAAAGGGCCTAGCTCGTTCATCAGACTCTTGACCAGCTCAGGCTAATACTGTAAACTGTATATCTACTCGTTTAACCCCATCTCCTACATTCAATCCTATCACGTTATCAACACAATGTAACCATGGTCCCCCTGGCAGAGACGCCACATACAGGCATCTTTGTATAGTGTGTGTGTGTGTGTTTTCCTGCTGGCAGCTGATGAGACTTTCTGCAGGTCTGTGGGGTAAATATCATTGTTCCAGTAGCTGCACATTTAACCGGGGGAAGAAACACTAAGGAAGAGAGAGAGAATTATGGTGGGGGAGAGAGATACAAAAGTCTACAGAGTTGTCAACAATGCCAGTGTGGACTGTGTGTTCAGTTCTTGTCTCTCGTGTGTTGCGTTTTTTTTATCAACAGCAATATAGAAAAATTTTGCCACTTTCCTCTATATTTAAATCTTTTAAACAACTTTTCACTTACAGTTGAAGACTGTAAAGGTACTTAATGTTTTAAACATAGACACAGAGAATATGGTTGAGGACTGTAAATGCTTTTGTGTTAGATTTTTTAGAAACTAGGTTCTGTAGCCTGATACAGGCTTTAAATTCTTTACATTAAAACTAAATTGAATAGTTGATGATAAATAATGGAAAGAAAAACAGAAAAGAACGGAAGAAAATTAAATGATAGAAAATTAAATCACCAGTGGTGGGCTTCAAAACTTGCTATAGGAGGAACCTGTAATCTATCAGATCCATCTTCAACACATTTCAACCATAAAGCAAATATTAGCATCTACAACACCTATAACTGCTCATAAAAAACATATACAGCATTAAAGAAGAAGAAAACTCCACAAGACGGTACACACACAGCTCATCTTGTAGGTTAGGAATGCTTTGAGAGGAAAGCCTATATTTCAGCAACAGACAGACATGCTGAACCTTGACATGTTAAGACGCGCTGCTGTAATACTGAAGACCACAATCCTGACAGCAAAAATAGAAAACAATTTAAATTACTCTGGCTGAGATGCCTGTTAGCATGTAGCTTTAAATGCAGGCTCATTTTCAACGGTTAAATCATAATGTTCCTGCTAATAGCTTTATTCAATATAGAACATATCTCTGGTTATCATCTATTACACACTACAGCCCAAGCTTATTTCATCACTAGAACAGTAAGACAATCAAGGAGAATATTTCCTGTAAATGGCAGTTTATGCCATGCCTCCTTACAGACACACAAAACTAAAACTTTGCAGACTGCAATGTACAGTAAGAGGAAGTGAAAGGCAAAGGGCAGCAGACGGGCTCAGGGGTCAGAGCCACAGCAAAATTGGAGAGACTTCCTAAACAAACTTGTGCTTCCAGAGGTTTGAAATAGGAAGTCGCTGTATGAAAGTCACGAAGGCCAGCTCAAAAAACAATGTACTTGGGAAGAGAGTTAGATTGAGCTTTGTGAACAGAGGTCTAAAAAAAAAAAGAAGAAAATTAAAAAAACATTTTTAAAAGGTGTCAGAAGATTGTTTTTTATGCCGGAATAGCACCTCTCTACACGACCTTCCACCTTAAAGAAACTTTATGGAGTTTCTGTGTTAAAACTAACCATCAGTTGCCTTGAAGTTTAAAATATGGCTGGCTTGCAACTTCTTGCAGCTCACTTCCTCTGAGCAGAGGCTGGCAACGCCGCTTTACCATCAGAACTGTATGCGCGTGCTCCCATTTTCTGAGAAATCAGCTGTATTGTTTTAATTTTTGACGAAACAGGGGGACAGCGCCCGGAACAGGGAGGTGATCGAATCTTGATTTTTCATACTATACGCTTACATTCACTTATGGCCCCACATATATGTTAACAACAGCAGCTGTGCTTTCAGCCATGTTTGGAAAAGAATCAGACAGAGGGTTGGAAGACATTCTGTTCGTTCGAGTCTTTGCTCTCTGCCGCGCAGTCCACTTTTGACCAGGAAAATATACCGGACCCTTTTCCAAACAGGTGGCTGGACAGCTACACATCAGTTGGACATCCAGAGGAACAGCTCCTACACCAACTTTATAGAGGCTAAAACCCACTAGCACGCTGCGCCATTTTGTTGTTGACACAGGATTTTTCATGGCGTATTATCTATAGAGCAGGCTGGCTGACAATCAATATCTCATACAGAGATTCTCACTGACAAGTGCATCAATTGGAAATGTGTGAGTTCGGTTCAATTTTTGCTTTTGGAAGAGCTGATAGTGCTAAATGATCAGGACTGACCCTAATCTTGATGGTCTGAGAGGACATATGTGAGAGGTCATACTGACATCTGACTATCATGATTTAACTAGGGTATCATTCAGGGGCTGAATCCTATGGGCCACAGGACAAGAAACCATCTTGCTTCTTCTGCTTAATTTAGAAACATCAAAGAAAGATGAGCAGCCTCAGAAGGTGTTGGAAAGCTATGAGTCATACCCGTCCTCAAAAATCCCATTTGAGAAGCTTGTTTCTTGGGTCCAACCCTTTATGCTCTGACTTTTTCCTTCTTCTTTAAGTAAAGAAAACACAGGACCTATTTAAACTAAAATTAAGAAAACTTTAATGATTAAAAAAAGAGGTTAAAGTAGAGCAGAAGGGAGAGGCAGTAACAACCCTGGATGCAAATGATGCCTGCATGCCTGGTATGTCCAGACCTACTGAGTGCGTCCGGGAATGAAAGAAAAATGAATACAGTCACTACTGGTTGTCCTCAAAAAGGTTGGAGGCCAGGCTGACGTCAGACCTCTTCGACGTTTTTCAAAAGCGAGGAGGCAAGGACGCATGACAAGAGAATGAATTAATGACATGCCAGGCAGTCAACACAGCTAAAGCGTTTACTTTGTAGCTGCAGTTTTACAGGATGAGACGAAGGTGGGCAAACACCTTCATGGTCACTTAGTGCAGGTGCATGTGTATAAACCAAGGTAGTTGTAAACAAAAAGCAAGGGGTAAGCCTTCAGATAGGGGTTGTGGGTCATGTCAATGTCAGAATTGCGAGTCCCGTGGCTTATATATTCCTGCCCCGGTACAATATGTCGTCTGTCAATAGCATATCTGTTTAACTCTGTGCAGGGTCAGCTGTAAATGTAGGCCATTTAGGTCATTATGGCTTAACATCCCTTTTCCACACCTCATTTTACTAAACCAAGTGCCTGTCTGTTGAAAAAACACTGAGGTGTTCCCTTTGATGGGTTTGTTTGTGCTAAGGGTGGAATATGGAGGCGGATGGTGGCAAAGCCTTCCTTGTGAAATTGAGGGTGGACGTTTCATCACTTACTTTAGCAACGGGGATGTGAAGCCCAGTAAATCCTTCTACAAAAAAAAAAAACAAAACAGGCCTGAACCTCCCTGGCATGCGAACGGTGGACTTTTATGGTGCGCTGCACAGCACATGGGGACATAGTTTGGCTAACTTTTGAGCTGCTGCTTCACCCACATGAGGCTTTTTTTTTTTTAATGAAAACATCAGAGAGGCTTCACGGAGCCACAGAGGCTTTAATTTGCTTCCTCGGGCACTGGGTTTTTAATGCTGCAGCGCAGAGCCCGCAGGCTGCTGGCAGCAGACACCACATCACAGCCAAGACGGACAGGGACAGCCCTTAAAGTTGTGTGCCATGCTGGAGTTTCACTGCCGGGCACACGGGCGGGCCCCCCTTTACTCCCACTCATTCCCTTCCAGGAGAAAGTAAACACTGACTTTGAACGATTCTTTCGTCACGTCGGTTTCCAAATTGCTTCGAAAAAAAGAGTTGAAGCAATTTCGAAAAGTCTACCAGCGGGCAATAGGAACAGAGTGGGGCATGCCATGAACTCACAAGCTCGAGAGCCGTCGTGTTAGATGTGCGGTGACCTAAAACAAAACCTGAATTTAAAGAATAGGTAAAACACGGGGAGTTACTTACAGTACACACAAGGCGTAAGCCCCGTTGACACTCTCGCTGTCCCGCACCAGAAAGCTCCCGTCTCTCCCGGCCCGGGCAAGCAGCTCCTCGGCCGCGGCTCGACTCAGGTCCCGGTGATACCACAACGGAGGCGAGGGCCCCAACGGAGAAATGCCTCCAGCACCACCACCAGCAACACCTCCCCCGGCCATGGCCACGGCCCTTCAAACCGGGTTTAACTCGAGCTGCTTTCCGTCCCCTTCGAGAAACCTCCCAGTGCTCCTCCCGACCGGGGGGAAACACTCCAGGGCAAAGGAGAGAGGTGAACGTTACTCCGACCGAGGCGGGAGGCGCGAGGCAGCCGCTGCTCGGTTAGCCGGGAAGTTGATAATTTGGGAAGTTACCTCCTTTTGCGATGTTCCCCCCTCAGTTCCTGAAAGGCGCACCACCCTCCTCTCTCCCTCCCCAGTCCCACGGAAATCAGGGTATGTAAATCCTCTCCGGAGACCGGGCAACAGCAGCGGGGACCAACAGTCAGCAGCAGCCAAGTGTCACGAAGAGGAACTTCCTGTTAAACTTTCAAAATGAAACAGACCAGGGAGGAATTCCCATCGGGAGACTTTTTTGGAGGACATTCTCATGGAAGAAAGACAAATCCTTCAGGTCTTCTTTGTAGTTAGCCTTCCATAAAATACAGGCAGTAAACAGGGCGAAAAAAGAAAGGGAGGGAAGGAAGGTCTTAAAGGCAAAGTTAATCATTTGATCAACTCTAAGAAACGCTTGGAGAGTAAATTATTTTTGCACTTATGGGCGACATTTGAATTACACAACTACCTCTCATCGGAAATTTAAAGGCAGATCTTTATGTCTATAAACTCCACTCTTATATTTTTCAGTTTTGGCTGCTCCAGAGAAAGCCTTTCCCTTTTTTTAGTTGTCACCAGAAAAAACATTTCGAAAATATGAAGTTTACAGAAAAACATTTTAAAGATGGACTGATTGGACTTCGTTTTTCCTATTTCCAGGTATTAGTCTGCATGGATCAAATGACATTTTACCTGCTCTACCTGCATGGATCATTAAACTAGCCCCACCTTCAGAGGCCGCCAGTCACATGCTGCTTACTCATGATGTCACACAGCCTATGATAAAAATAAAAAACCTGCCTGAGCAAGATAGCTCTTTCACTTTGATACCAATTACATCTTAGCCTCGGGTGTAAAATTCCTCTCCAACCACACTTTTCATACATGACTTTTAAACGTTTTGCATGAGTGGTTTTAAAAGCCAACTTTTGCTTTGGGTCAGCTATATTATTCTGGGGCACATTGACAGTTAATGCTCGTCTTTAGCGTTGTGTTTACATTTTTTAAATATTACATCAGATTTATTTCTGATATATACTTTTAAACCTGGTGGCACGGTGGTGTGGTGGTTAGCAACCCCCTCACAGCAAGGGGGTTCTGGGTTTGAGTCCCGGGGGAACCACGACCTTTCTTTGTGGAGTATTCATGTTGACCCTGTGTCGGCGTGGGTTCTCTCCGGGTTGTCCGGCTTCCTCCCACAGTCCAAAAACCTGCATGTTAGGTTGATTGGACATTCCAAACTGCTCTTAGGAGTGAGTTTGAGTGTAGGTGGTTGTTTGTCCTTGTGTGTCTCTGTGTGGCCCTGCGATGGACTGGCCCTGCCTCTCGCCCATTGACCACTGGGATAGGCTCCAGTTCCCCCCTGCGACCCCATCAGGGAATAAGAGGTTACGATAATGGATGGATGGATTGGCATTATATTATCACTTTTTGATAAAAGGGCTTAATTTTGCTGAAATGTTATTAAAATGGACATTTCATGAAGCAATTCCTTTGATTTCATTGTTTCAAGCAGGCTTGTGCCCAGTTTATGTCCAGTGAGCTTTTCAATGACAACAAGGTTTAAGTTGGAGCTACACAGCTTTTTCCAGCTCTGTAGCATATGTGTCAGAGCCATCACTAATGCCAGAGGGCTTTCCTCTCTGAGTACCTGCAACCACTGAGGAGGCCAGGCTGCAGCAATTTCCTAACACAAGCCGCAATCCAGTTATGCAATCCTATTCTTTTCTAGACCACACACATTCACATGCATGCATTTGAGTCCCACAAGGTGTAACTGCCAACAAGGAACCACATGGGCAGACAGCACAAGAAAGAAAAGAAAAGCTGTCCAGAATAAAAAAGGTCAGTTCTCATTACTGTGCTTTAACCCTTTTTTTCTCTCCCAACAAAAAAATCTGACCCCTGAAAAGACAGTGTGGAAAGATCCACATACAAAATGAGATAGAGGTTGACATACAGTGAGAGCTGGGCAGGATGGTGTATGCTGCCAATGACCTCAGAAAAACTGAGTATTAATAGCCCCGAGGGGCATGAGCCACTCCGTTCTATTTTCGGCTTTGGCATCACGCTGTGTGTCTGTCCGTGTGTGAGCCGACTGCAAAAGTGCGTGGAGTAAAAAAACATCTGCACACAGAGAGGATAAAATGCGAACGCAAACGTTTTACTTTGTCAGCAAAATGGATAACAAGTATCAATCTTCACATCTTTTAGTGTCTTTGTTTTTTTAAACTCAAGCAAATTAATAATATTGTCTCAATATTGTTAAAAACTACACAGCCTCCTGAAGAAATAGTTTTTGTCTCTTAATAATCAGGCCTAGAGAGACTGAGATTGCCTTCCATCCCTGTAGCATACCCTCTCAGATCATAATTTAGATTCAGTTCCTCAATTGAAATGAATGACTAAAGAACTTGCGTAACAAAAGTTTTTCCTTTGATGACAAATGATGTTTTCTTACATTAATTGAAATGTTCGGAATCATCAAACCTTGGTCGGGGTCTGTGTGAGAATTGTTGCTAACCAATCAAACCTCTGCATGGATATGGTAACCCTGAAAAGTGGCACTTTTCTTAGGGGGACAGTGATTTTAGGTACACAATGATAAGTGTGACTTGTTGAACTGGTCTCCAAATTCTAGATATCTGAAGGAAGTCAATCATTTGATTTGATTTAAAAATGAGTTTGGTCCAAAAAGTGTCTACTATCTATCACTGTTTCCCATGAACTAAATATGGGAAATGTTTTGATAACTTTTATAGCCTATCCTCATATTGAAAGAATCAGTGACCTTTTTGATTGGTCATTTTGCTGGAAGGACTCAATGAAATTCAAAGAATAATTGTTTTTTTATGTCTGCTTGCTGGACGAGTTTATTCACATCAATCAATTAAAGAATCTTACTCATGTGCAATAATGTGATCATTTGAACTGAGGTTAAATACTACATGGTACTACTGAGAACGGAGGACAGGTAGGACCTTTAGATTTTTTTTAACCTGTTGGCCTGTTTGAAAAGGTGAAAAATGTATTTTATGGCTAAAAAGACCTGTTAGTTTCTGCTAAAGTAATTATTATAACTGTGACTGAGGCAGGCATACATCAGTGCAGTCATACTCCTTACTCAGATGGGAGAGTCAGGATGCTACACTTGCGGAGGACACTGACACGTGTTTTGTATTCAATTATTTACACCAGTCTGGATTATGAAGTGACAAATATAGCAAAATCTGGAAAAATTGTAGATCATGATCATCCATCTGTGGTCCCAAGCTTTGGACCCACAACAAAACCAGCCATTTAACTTAATGTAAGACCAGATGGGCCACATTAATTAGAGGCCTAAACAGATTAATAATAAACTGATCAGAATAGGCACCCATTGACATTAACACACTCTAAGGCTTTTGATCTTTCCATTTTCTCTCCTTCAGTAACACATACATGGACTCAGGGGACTGGAACTCTGTAATTACCAAGCACTGGAGCCCACTAACCACTTGCCTGAACTACATGGTCATGTGATGGTGTGGTCACTGAGGCCCAGTTTAGAGGGACATTATCCCTGAGTGCAGATTTGGGGTCAGTTTCACAGCTTGCCCACTGGTAGTTTAGGTCACAGTAAACTGATCTACAGTCTGCACTTACACAAAATCTCCAGAGCACAATTCAGAATGTGGCACTTCCCTTCATGGCTCATCCAGATGTAGCAGTTTATTTTTGTTTTATATTCCTCATCCAGACACATCTTTACAGATCCACACACAATTGCACCTTTCCCCTTTCCCTTGATTCTGGTTTCTTTGATTTAAGTATTGAAGATGCTCTTTTGTTTTTTATTTTATGTTGTTCTTTGAAGCAAAAAAAAAAATGATGTAACAGGTTTTCAAAAGGAACAACCTACTTCCCCACGAATTGGATTTTTATGTGGTAGTGAGCATGAACAGTTTTGACCTGTAAGGCTGCAATGAAAAAGAAACTTGTCAATTGCTCTGACTTTTCAGGTTTCTGCCCACATCAAATTAATACAGTCAGTGACGAGGTTAAAATGACTGATACAAATAGTTTATTTTGATTATGCAAGTGGTGGATTAAATGGCTGACCAAATCAAATTTTCAGGTGCTTCGCTGGCTTAAAAAAATGAGCAGTGGAGTAAGAAGAGCATTAGAAACAATTTTAATTGTCTTACAGGATCTGACAGAGGTGCAATTTCAGTACATCATTACAAAAAGAGACAGGAGAGCTGGGAGGAGCATTGCTGTCAGGGCAGGGCCTTTGGTCTGCGGGGCGTTGTTGATGTAGTACTCAGCTACCGCCTTGTTGGGGTTTGCTCCGGTGAACCAGAGCTGCATGCAGCGCCCAGAGTTTTTGGTGTGTGTGGTGTAAAGGTAAGAATTGGACCAGATTTGTTCGCACATGGACTTGGGTGTCGGGTAAACTTCAGTCCACTTCCTGCATTTGCTGCCTGCGGGACACTTGTTCGTACCTGTGAGATCAAAAAAGTGGATAGGTGTAGAAAACCATTCATAATTGAATCAATTTGATGCTAAAGTATTCACGTCAAAGCAGTATATCTCTACCACTGCAGTGGAAGACCTCCTAATGTCCTCGTATCATTGCTTGCCAATCATTTGTGACAGTTTCATAAATCATCGTGCCGACACATGATGCAAACATGTTTGTCCATTTTTGTCTGCGTGAGCCTTACCTGAACTCCAGTCCCATCCCTTATGCCAGTCTGTCTTGCAAGTGAAATCGTTCTTGCAGTCTTCCCACCATGATTCACAGTCCTCCTTACAGAGGGGCACGTCCAGGATTCGCTCCTTACGCCAGCTCTGATCAACCTACAAGATACACACTGCTGGTAAGTCTGCACAATCCATCATTTTTAAAGCACGACTGACACATTTAAAAGCTAATTGTCCAAATATATTGCAGTGATCTTTCCAGTTTTTAACCCATGGCAAAACTCAAAGGTAAATATGCTGCCATCTAGTGTTTCAACACACACACATACATATGAGACTTAATAGCAGATTCAGAAAATACGCACTGCTTGTATCCAGGGTCCCAAGTGTGGCGAGCATTCGTAAAAGCAGGTGTCCTGGATGAAATGCTTCTTGCACTGGGCGCTCATAACCCCACAGTGATTCCAGTTGAAGTTATATAGGTAAGAGTTGTCCTCGTGGGCTTCTGCACTGGTGTTGGCCGTGCAACAAGCATTATCTTTCCAGGGAGCACACTGGAAAGAGGAAGACGGAGCATTACAGTTGGATGTGTGCAAAAATATAACTCTCATAACAGTTCAAGGATGGAATAAGAAAAAAAGACTAAGACAAATGAATGCTATATATATCTATATGTATAAATAGTATGTGTGGGCGTTAAAAATTATTACCTGAGAGTACAGCACTCCCTCTGGGCCGGGCTCTGTTTTGTGGTGTTTTGCGTCCATACACATGTTCAGTTTGTCCTGAGACAAAGCTCCTTGGGAGATGATAAGCAACAAGGCCAAGATCTGCCACATGACTCTAGAAGAGAGGCAGCAATGTCTATGTAGGTTCCCATAAAATGGTAAAAATGGGGGGGGGAATGCAATATCAGTTAACATAATTCAAGTACAGTTAAAAGGTCCACCCAGAGACAGAGAAGTATTTTAAAATCTGATGAATCTTACTCTTATGTAGCCATCCTGTATTAAAGTAGTTTTGTTGTCAAACTTTGACAGGACAAATTCACTGTATATAGGGGCTGTTAGTCCTGCTAAACTGCAGTTTATATCAGCAGGAGAAGCAGCTCAAAGTTGAGATGTGCTGAGATGAGCAAGCAAGCTGGAAAATACAATCTTCCTTCAAGAATGTTCTGTAAACAGTGTTAGTGAAGTTGGTTTCATGCACGTGTTATGGCAGCATGTGCATGGGGGTTGACATGAAACATTAGTTTCATATGATCAGAAAAGAATGTAAAATTTGTGAGGTCTGCGAAAACTGTTATGCCAAACTAAGAAAACCCTACCAGTTACAGGTTTTTACTGTAAACACATGAGAAAACATTCGCTATCAAAATGATTGACAAACCAGAGGGGAAGATGAGCACAAAGTTTAATGTAGGACCTGTTTTCTGCATTTTGCAAGGATTAATGGTGATCTACAAAAGGCATGTCAAGAGACCTTAGTTTTGAGATACAGGATGTTTGAGCAAAACTTAACAGGAGTACATATAACTAATTTAACTGGAAAATTTAACCTTACGACCAACTCTGTTTCAAGCTGTGAGTACTCTTTGTCTAGTGAAGTTTAGTACTCCAATTCTGAATTTGGCATTTTAATTGATGAATTTTACAGTGGATCTGACATTTTATTACATTTTATCCTCCCTGATGGTCATTTGGGATCACAAATTTAGTCAGATTGCAATTTTAAATGACATAGAACCTTTGATGTTTTACTGTGCAGTTGTAAAGGCCGATGTCAGAAGAGAGACTCATAAAATAAATCAAAGCACAACATATGTTACACCCTTGTTCAATTTTTCAAGTATTTGTCTGAAGAAATCTTCAAATATGCTGTAAAGCCATTCTAACCTATTGATTGGGACAATATTATGTAAACTACTACAAACAAGCTCTCCTTAAAGTCACACAGAGCTCAACATTAATTGCTAGTGCATGAAATAACCAATAGGAGAAGATTTGAGCAAGAACAGCCCACTGATTCTAATTTAGTTTCTTTTTATACACTATTGATTAGCACTAAGGATTTCTTTCTCAGTGTTAATGAATGGGATTTTAAAAATGTGGGGATTAGGAAATTTGGGATTTTGTCAAGAAAGTAAAAAAAAAAAAAAACTACTCTCATGTTGGAAGTAACAGACTGGCTTATTCTAAAATAAACCAAAACTCATTCAATAAACTTAAATGACATGTTATAGTTCAAGAACAAATGGTATTTATTTTAAGCTTAGACATATAGTGAGAAGTAAAAATGAACAAGTTCACTTTACCTTGTTAGATTCAGAGATGGTTCCGTCGTGAAGGGATTATCCGACTACCTCTTGCCCACTTCTCAAGACCAAACAGATATCACAAAACACAGATCTAATGTGTTCGAGACAGTCTGTGAGAGGAGTGTGACTGAGAGCAAGGCTGTCTCTGACACATCTTGAATCTTGCAGTACCATTAACTAATTTGTTTCCAAAGTCCAAAGTCTGTCTCACTCGTGCATGTGTGTTTCAGATAGTGAGAAGGAGCGAGAGACACATAAAGTGTGTATGTGTTCATAACGCGTGCGTGACTATTTATATTTTATTACTGCTATGTGGACAGTTTGGCTTATCTCAAGGTCATTCCATCTTTTACTCTCTTTCTCTGTCTATCTTTTTCTCTTTCATAAACACACACACAAACTTGATGTACAACATGTCCTTCATGGCAGTGTGACCCATGATGGGAACAATAAACACAAAAATGTGGCAGTTAAGATTTTTTTTTGCTGCATATGTACTTGCATCCACCTGGATTCACAGAAACATTAAACATTACAAGCATGCAAAGCTGAGTGCTCAATTTGCACTGAATGTGAACCAAAAGTTATATGTTTGAAGTTCAAAGACCTCTTCAAACTTTAGCAGCAGTGGTGAATCAGCCCATCTACTGTGACAGTGATTCAGCTTGTTTGAAAAGGACTATTTGCAAGTACATTCTGAGATTTTGCTTAAGAATTTGAGATCCCTTTTGCTTAAGTTTGTAAATAGTTTTTTTGTGTGTTGTTTGCCATATCTTAAGATCTTCTTCATTAGTTTAAATCCTTTTACTGTGGGTCCGTGTATCTTTTGGCCATTAGATTTTTCACTCATTAAAAATTCGTTTTTGTTTAACATTTAAAAAACTAGAATATTATATTTTTTGTTATATTGAAATATATATGATATATTACATAATATATTATATGATTAATTTCTTTAAACAGCCAAAATGGAGCTAACAAAAAATGGAAAATGGTTAGATTTTAAATATATAGTTTTTATAATGAAAAATGGAACATTCAAAAACAAATACAAAAAAATAATCTATAACGTTATACAGTAATGCTTGCACAGTGACGTTTTAAAGACATAATGAAGCCTCTCTGATTCCCCCACCCAAATCCCAACGTCCGGTCAGAAAATACGGTAAAACTGTTAAAAGGAAAAAGTTGCATATCTATTTTTTAATGATCTTTTAAATCCAATGATCAATACACAAGTCGACCATAAATAATTTAAGGATCCTACTTGAAGCACGTGCTGAGTTTTTAGTTCCTATTTACCCCGCTCTGGAACCTTTCTAAAACTAACAGAAGGGGGACTTTTATATACGAACACCAACATCTTCCGGTGACTGATGTTTTGAATTTTTGAAAGCTGGACGAGGATACTGGCAGGTACTTGCGCTCAAGTCTTACAAAATATGACCTGGTTTTAATACAGTGTTTTTTAAAGCCCCGTTCATAGTTCAAATATGCGTATGTATATGATATTTTAGAGTTTAGACTTGAATTCGTTAGATAACTGTTAGTGTCTTTTGTTGGTCCTCCGTCGTCAAAACAAGAGGAAAAACGCGTGAAGTTTAAAGTCTTAGTTCTCACTCACTGATTTACAATTAATAAAATGCTATTCGTTCGTGACAGCCATGTCCACGCTCTTCCCCTCCCTGCTGCCGCGGATAACGGAGTCGCTGTGGTTTAACTTGGACCGACCGTGCGTGGACGAGGCGGAGCTGCATCAGCAGGAGCAGCAGCACCAGACCTGGGTACGCACGCCGCCCCAACACTCTCTTTCTCCTTTTTAAACGCTCATGTTTTTAACAATCACCCTCGGTTTTCTGTAGTTGCAGAGCATTGCCGAGAAAGACAACAATCTGATGCCCATTGGGAAACCTATTTTTGAGGTAAAAACGTGAGCATTTTCCCACAGTTTGACCAATCGACTCGTTGCACATTGAAGTTTCCTGTTTATTTAATCTGCATTACGTTGATACAGGCTGGCTATGAAGAGGAAGAAGAAGAGGATGATGAAGACGAAGAGGACAGTGAGGAGGACTCTGAAGATGAAGAAGACATGCAGGACATGGATGAAATGAATGACTACAATGAGTCACCTGATGATGGCGAGATCAATGAGGTGTTTTAATTCAACCTTGGTACAGTAGTTTTAGGGTTAGGACCAGCAGGCTGTTTGATTCTTGTGATGCATAAGAAGAACTGATGACAGCACTTGTAGTGACTCCTTTTTATCTAGATAGCTTGCTTTTTCAAACCAAACTGCAATAATTTTCTTCTGTCTGGTTGTCTCATCTTTTGTCAGGTGGACATGGAAGGACCAGATCAAGACCAAGACCAATGGATGATTTAAGACTGAAGCAAATATTTGCCACGCAGTTTGGCTTTGAATTTCTTTTTCATGCTTTAAGAGTGACCGCAGCTCCTCTGGTCTGTGACACATCTATTAAGTATTTGTGAAAATAGGAAAAGTTGAAACACAGAATACTACAGGTTGAGGTTTGCTCATTTTTTAAACTTGGACTCAAGTCCATCGGTCTTAGAGGGCTTTGTTGATGACTGTGTCACTGCCTGTGAGACACTGGTGTGATTGGAGACATTGCTGTTATCTTTTTAATGGCATTCTGTGAACTTTCCAGGTGAGTAATTCTAAGTTATATGTTCCAGTTAAAGGAATCCCAGACCTGTATGGTGCTCAAAAAAGACTCTGTTTGCTGCTGTTTTGTAAGCGGTTTAGTGTACAACCTGAAGTTGCATCCTGATGGACAGGTCCATTTACTCTCATTTAAACTTTAACCTCATCATATCTTCAATCATGTGCTTCTGAGAGCTTCCAAATAGCTGATCAAGCACAAACTCAGCTCAGTCAGCAAAATAATTTTTTACCAGTGAAACTGACATTACTTAAGTGTTAAGTTCAGCTGTTTAATTGCAGCGATGTGTTTGTTGCTGACCTCTTGGTTATGGAAGACCCTTCAGTAGAATATATAAAGAGCTCTGACACTGAGGGTTAGATACTTTGTTAACCATTAAAATCAGTTGATATTGCCCATCTCAAATCCTCCCACCTTCTTGGAATGCAACTATTGGCAAAGGTTTTGCTTATATCTTCCAAGATTAAATTATTTTACAATTCTGTTGAATTATTTTTGATGAGGCAGCGCTTTAGTTTCAAGTATCCTCTCATGCCATAAATAAACAGTCGAATGTAAGATAGAAATGTGTAAATTCTTATACTTGTCAATGCCCATGTACATTTGATTGTAATAAAATTTTAGATTTTGTTTATTCTGCTGACATTTACTTTATATAGTTTAATGTTTAAAATCAGGAAACATTTAAGATGAGTGAAACTGTAAGCGATTTTAACATTATATGTTGCATATATTCATTTAATCTCCTAGGGATCTGTTTTCATCATTCAGGGAAATCACTTATTTTTTATCATTTACTCTGGCATTCTTACAGCCTCTGCCAAGGCCAATGGTCTGTTTTGAAGTTAAAAAAATTGTGATAAGCGCCAAGATTAAACAGCTCTTGTCTTTGCTCATGGTTCCAATTGCAATAAAATTTAATTAAGTTACAAACACTTTATGGAAAACTTTGTCAATCTTAAAATTGTAGATTCACAGACTGCAGTCCTAGTTTACTTGATTCCCTGGTACACCAGCTCAGCCATCCCATCCCTTATGCCTTTGCTGTATTCCAGCGTGGCTCTGTGGATCTTCCATTCATACAGGCCACTTTTGCGAATGTGTCGAAGGAACTTTGGAGCCCCAGGAAACAAAACGTTGTCGGCCAAAATCATAGATCCTTTTCCAAGCAGACCAGAGCCCTCCAACATCTGTAACGCACAGAGGCAGCAAGTAAGAAGACGAGCAGGTAAAAAGAAAAAGCGTCAGGTAAACATTCAACCAAAGACTGTGTAAATGGAAGCTCAGCTCATCAAGGTGCACTTTACTCAATTTCATTTAAATAAAGCAACCAGTCACATTTTTAGACCTCAAGTCCCCCCTGTCAAGCCCCATAAATATAAGATCACACTGTATAATAAGTTCAATAAAGGTTCTTGACCTGTAGATCAGGAAGGTAGCATTTCTTCCAGTGGTCCATGAAGACAAAATCCAGCCTCTCCAAATTGTAGTCGCTTCGCAGCCGAGGTATCACCTCATCAGACGGATTGATGATGAGCTCCACCTGCAGTGTAGGTGGAGCTCCATATTAGCAGGCCTCAAAAGACAAAATGTGTATAAAACACTTTTGATTTAAAAATTATTTTTTTTAAGCCACAACTATCTCACTGTGTCATCATCAAATCCTGCTAAACGAATGATCTTCTCAGCGATGGCAGCATTCCTCTGGTCCATCTCAATGCTGTAGAGCCTGGCCCCCAGAGGCAGAGCCCGAGCAATCCGCACAGTGCTGTACCCACAGTGGGCCCCCAGCTCCAGCACTGTCAAAGGGCTCTGTTCCATCAGCAGACGGTCCAAGACTTTCCCTACAAACCACGTACATTTTGGGATTTAGACTTTAGACCAACACTTTGCCTCAGAAAACTCTCCCTGGGCATTCCCCCCTAACCTTTTTGGGGGCCAATGTTGCTGATGAACTCCACCTTACTGCACCAGATATCAAAGGCTTCCAGGATACTGTCAGGGTCTCCGGGGATGGAATGAGTGAGAACGTACTGGTAGGCTCGCTCCTCTCGACTCAACCCAGTGACGCAGTCCTTCCATATTCTGACCAGGACGGCTCGATATAGCAGTACAAAGTAATAACGGTAGCGAATGATCAATGTCAGCAGAAGAGGAATGAAGGCCAGAGCAATAGCAGGTGACGCCATCCTTCCAATGAAAGAAACACAAACACACAGACGTAGATTCAGTTTGAGAATTTCTTTTTTATGGAAAGAAAAATTAAGAATATGTTCCTTTAACTCCCCATCAGTGTTTTCTATAGACCCCAGCTTAGGAAAAACTCTTATAACTCTTACATTTTTGCTTTATTGGATGAATAAGGAATATCCTATCTTATGTCACCTATCATTACATCAGTGTTGTGATCAAATTTTATAATGATTTATTTTAAAGTAAAGCTTTAGCAAAGGATTGAAAGAATGGAAAATATGCAATCATAGGCAAATGGTTGAATGCATTGATTGTAAATCAACCTGAAAAAAAGGACAAACGATCTTTGACCTTCCTTTTAACTTGTGCCAACTTTTTCAACTAAGAGGATGTTGGGACAGACAAAAATTGTTCAACAATCTACTCATCTCAGTAAATGCCAAGTTATTTTTCCAGGACCTTGTAGGGTCAAGTTTGGCTTTCATACATGTCCTCTGTGATGTTATATGTCCCACTCACAAACAATAGCTGTACAACCAGAGGAATGTGTGGAAAATTCTGTTCACTGTTCTAAAACACAGACATAAATATGCAATGCTGGAAATTTCCAGGCTTTCTAAAAAAAAACATCTCTGACTAATCAAATTGTGACTGCATAAAATACATTTTCACATTAGTCTTTTCCTATGTGATACATTAGGTGATAAGTGCAGTGCCTCTCTGGATTTTGCTTCGACCCTGGGTAACTTTACACTCCACAGACACTGCTGTCACACTAACCAGATGCTACAGCCTAACAGGATATTCTGACTGCCCTCAGGAAAAACAAGGCACAGAAAACACAAAGCTTACCTATTTATCCAAAGAGCAGAGGAACTGATGATGAACACAGCTCATAAGCTGTACTTTATCTGTCACAGGTGGAGAAATACGTAGAGGAGTGTGTGTGTTTAGGAGGTCAGGCTCTGTGATATGAATAATTTAGGAATCACGTGCACGATTACATACACTCTGTAGTTAAGACCAGTTAACAAATACTAAGGGCAACGAAGACTGCAATCTGCAGATTTTTTTTTCTTGATAAAATAATAAATACCGCCATCTTAAAACATTCAAAATGAGTCTAAAAGTGCTAAAAGGAGCAGGCAGAGCAATAGAGGGAGGCAAGAACTAATGTATCAAGTTTAATTCAACAGGTGTGCGAGTCTTTGCGGAGTCCAATTTCCTGAGTCATGATGTAAAACTTGAGAATAACACACAGACAAGCTCATTCCTGAGTCTTTGTAAAAATGTAACTCAAATGAAATATGAGTTTATTCAAATGCAGACAGAAAACATTGGAAAACTGTGTCAGACATGACAGAGTGTGACATAAAACAATATAAAAAAAAACCAATTCAAATTCACTGCCCCTCCTCTATCGTATTCTCAAAGCTTTTGTTGTCCTGGTCATGCAAAATACGAGTTAACTCATCAAACAACAAAAATGATGCCACTGGAAACAGAGTTACATAAACACCCAATAAACATTTTTTCTCTCATTAATCAATAAGCATTCCTTTAAGAGCATCTTCGTGAAAACAGTTTAGCAGCAGGCACTCGCATGGTGGCTGAAAGGAGGACTTTTTTTCTTTGTCATTCTTTGTATCATTTAGCATCAGTTTTCAGCTACATGCTGGCGATGTCATCGCGGTTTGCACAGGACACATTAGCCCATTCATGAGAATGTTCCTGCCCTCTGAATTACAGACTCGTTGTGTTTTACCCGGAAGTGCAGCTATGAGGGGAGCGTGGCTGCATACAGCAGCATCCACAGAGAAAGACTGCAACTGCTGACGACTTGTGAGGTTAAAGGTCGGTACAGGATTGTTTAAGAAGAGCTCTGATGAACTTCCTCAGCTCTTTGTCTCCTCTGGTCCATCTTACCAGTCGAGTCAGCACCAGTCTTCCCTCTTCAGCCTGAGCCAGGGCCAGGTACCATCCGCCGTAGGCTGACTTCCCTACTTTTCCTCCTTCTCTTGCCTGTCTCCTGTCCATCCGCTGCTCACCGGGCTCTGCGTCTTCATTTGTCTCAGCTGAGTCCAAGCTGGGGCAGGTGCAGCTGCCACCGTCTTTTAGCCACAAAGCGCCGTGGGACATGGCGCCTGAAATCGCCTCTGCCCGCTCCGGGCCTCCTCCCGCCCACCTCAGGATGCGGCTGCGGGCCAGCGGCACCAGCTGGCGGTCAGCCCCGACAGTTGACAGGCTGCCCACACGCATCTTTAAGGCTGTGAAAGACACAGAAATGAATATGTACACTCAGACTCACTAAAACAACATCTGCATCTTATTTGAGCCAGTTTTCTTTTCTTTTTTTTCTTTTTAAGGACCCTGTTGTTTTGTTTTTCTTTAATCTGCATTGTACAACACTCATGAAAACACTCACCATATGGACTTTGGCAGAAGTTGTCCTGGATGTCAGTTTCTCCTTCAGCAGCTAGACTGCAGGCCTCACACATAATACTCCCTGTAATAAAAAAAAAAGGTAATTTGATTGGAATTGTAAGGGAAATTGATATTGGAGAATACAAAACTGATTTGTAGAGTGGAAATTGTTTGCATCTGCGTACCAAATAGAAAAGAGAACACCATTTATGATATAAAAAAAGAAAAATAATAATAACCTGTTGATATTTTATAAAATAAAAAGTTACTGTAATATGTTATATATTATATCCAGGGATTACTGCAGAACATGATTGTAGCTGCGCATTATTCTAAGAATTATATCAGTAAAACATCTGAATTCAAAAGCAACCGAGTTGAGAACAAATTGTTCTCAAAGTGTCCATAATGAAAGTGCTCTTTCTACAGATCTTTGGCCTCCTTATATTATTAATTTATACTGTATGTAGCTGATGTCATTGGAATCACAAAACATAAACGGGTGCAAAATATGACTTTACTGATAGTTCAGATGTTTGGTTGAGTGATTTCCAACATTTAGAAAATGAAGAAATATCCACATATTTGTGTAAGTTAAGCTGATTTTAAGTGGAGTTTTCAAAGAAATGTTTAAGATTACTGACTTTTTTAGTGTATCTGTTTCAGTCCTAGACCTCTGAAATGTCCAAAGCTCACAGTGGACATTAAATTTGATCAAGAAAAACGGAGAAAATCTGGACCAATTGAAAAGATTTGAATATTTTCTGACTTTGTCGAAATAATGAGGTGCAAAATGGCACAGGAGCAGTTGAGTATACAGTGGACGCGCTATTATTTCCACCCTGCTTGGAAGATGAACATAAAGCAGGGTGCGTGGAGCTGCAAACAGCAGCGACACGAACCCAGAACCGGCAGCTCCGTCCACCAACCTTTCAGGGATTCCTCGTGCCTGACCTCGTCCTCCGTCCAGCCCCGCCGCTCCCCGGAGGCCGGGATGCAGAGCTGAGTGCCCCGCGGGAACCGCGTACAGTTGAACATCTCCGGCCAGGGGAAGCCGAAGGCGCTCATCACCGGCACGCAGCCGTCCCGCACGGCCTCGCACAGGCTCCCGCAGGGGCTCAGGGGCCCGTCCAGCTCCGGCAGGCACACCGGGGCGAAGAGGGAGCACAAGAACTTCTTGGTGTCCCGGTGACACAGCTTGGAGACGAGGGGCAGCCAGGCCACCGACTGCTGCTGGGCCTCTCTCAGCGTGTCGTGGCCGAGCAAGTTGGGGATCCACATGCGCCTGTAGCCGATCCCGTGGCACAGGGACAGGGTGCTCGGAATGGGTTTGCACACCGAGCGGACCGACGAGCTGATGCCCAGAGAAGGCGACACGAGCTGGACACGGGCCGCTGCGTCCGAGGCGTGAGATCCAGGAAACAGCACCACCAGGCCGAGCAGAAAGACAGACATTGTTGTTGTTCTGACTGAGGTGTTCCCAGCTGCAGCCTGGACCCGAGGGGGGCCTGGAGGTGTAAATAAAGGGGTGTGGAGGAAGCGTGGGGTAATAAGAGGGCAGGCGCCTCCCAGGCCATCATCCCAGCCCATCAGACTGCCGTCTGACTCCACCATTAGCAGGCCATTTGTCTTTGTAATGTGGCCTGTGCGTTGCAAAGGAGACACAACTTTGATCTGATCCAGTGCATGCACAGTCACGCCTGACCTATGGTTCATTTAGTTAATGGAGTGTATAGCTATACACATACATTTACCATGATTTCTAATTCTGTGTCGTTGCTACTCAACCCTGTGAAGTTACTTTCTGAAAATGAAATGTAACCTATTCGTGCGACACTATCATTTTGTATTTAGCCCTGAAGGAGTTGTCTTTTTCAGAGAGGCTGCCACATGTGAACTGACATGTCTCATCCTGTTCTTCTCTCCTGCTTCTTTGCCACAGATCGTTGCTACTCTAAGAATAGAAACAGCACAAGCTTGTTCAAACAATGGAGAATTGTCTTGTTGTGAAATGCTTTGCATTGAGCTTTGTTCAGCTGGCTCCTTGAATTGCCACTTTATTCAAGTGGAGTACCTTATTGTTATACATCAGTTTTGGGCTAACACTTCACAAAGTCATGTGATGTTTGATTCAAACTACATTCCTGTTCACAGGTCTGAGCAAAGACGGTCGCTTGCAGATTTATGCATCAGTACCATATTGCTTTGGAACTGAAGGCAATTTAACCCCTTAGTGCTGTGTTCTTACCTGCGCCTACCAACCGGGCTGATTTTCAGATTGTCCTTATCATTCTGTGTACTGTCTGCAAATGAAGACCAATTAAAAACAATAAACAGGATTGTATGTAAAACAATGTTTTATAAAGGTAAGTGATCGGATAAACAGTTGTGTTTAATTGTGAGCAAAAGTGCTTGGATATCTTTTCAAAACTCTAAGAATACATGCAAATGTGGCGCGATCCAAATTTGTGAAAATAAATTAGTTTTATCTGCAAAACATATCCAAGGGATGGGCAAAAGGCCTATAGCATATGGAGAGAGGCTCTGTTGTATATCAAGCGAATCAATGTGACATTCAGCATCATTGGAAAGTAGATAGAAGTAATAATTCATTTCTATGACGAAGTTAGGATTTTCCCTCGCCTCTATAAAAAGCATCTGCATTAGACAAATAATGTAAAGGATGTAAATCATCTCCCACTAAAACATTTGAGAGCCAAAGAGAGACACATCGCAGTCAAACGTGTGGGGCAAAATGATGTCGTTCTTATAAATGCTACAAGTTCCCAGTTGACGATCCTCTGACATGCTGCACATCTCCAGTTTGAAAAATTCCGCCTTCACGTGACGATGGCCGTCGTTGTCTCAAATACCGGAAGTTGTCTCCGTGTTGTTGTTGCACCACAGCTGCTGTCATGTGATAGCCCGTCTGAGAGAGAGGCTGCTGTGCTCAGTGGCTTCCTACCTTTAGATGAGGCTAAAGTAAAACCGCCCGGGAGAGGAGTTATATGTTTGTTCAGGAAGAACAACGCGGCTCGTGTGTGACGGAGAGCGGTGAAGCCGGGCTTGTGTAGTTTGGCCCCTCGGACGCTGCCATGGGTTGCTGTTACAGCAGCGAGAACGAGAACACAGCTCAGGTAGTCAGTTAGCTGCTAGCCTGCTAATATCAGAAAATACCCAATTTCCGTTTTTCTAAAAAAATTCAGGACATTCCAGCGTTGACCTATTTCTGGGATGTTTATGGGGGGTTTGAGTAATATCCGTCGAGATTTTTCGGGGGTAATTTTGTCCCAGCTAACGTGGTGATTCCGAAGAGCAGTCTTAGCTTGCTGCTGAAGCCTTCGGACTAGGCCTGTCTCAGGTCAGCCTGTGAAGTTAGCAACACAGAAGAGAAGAAGTTCTGGCATGTAAAAATAAGTTAAGATGTTTTGACGGCCTACAAGCGTACGTGCATCTATTGCTTCGTTGGAATATTATCTAAAAACAAACCGTCTGACTTGAGCTGACTTGGTTCTTATTTGTTGACTTAACGATCAATTATGACCAGTCTTTGCCAATAACAGGTGATTGACTTTCTGGGATTCCTTCTTGCTGTGCGCTGTGTCATATGACTCAAAGTTTCCCGTCTATTTTTGCTATCGGAAACAAGTCTGTGCTTCCTTTTTAGTCTTTTCTCACAAATAGTTTATCCCCTTGGGATTATATGTAAAGCGTTCTTTATCTCAGTCTGCGTTAAATCTCTTGAAAGCATATTAGTCTATTGCTAGGCTTTTGTGGAAAGTACTCACTTGAGTATTGTCTTTTTTCACCTTTAAGGAAGATATTGCGACTTAATATATATCTAATCTTTAGTGTAATTGGCATTTGACGTAAAGAACTTGGTTGTTGAGGTGAAGTTAAGAAGCTGATACTGTTTTAGCCTTTGCTGTTTTCACATTTTGAGTTAAACTGGATGAACGGTTTGGCCCAGTTTAGATGTTTAGATGTAGGCACATTTTGTTAATCTCTTAGCTTGTCAAAATTTCATGAGCCCATCTCTGTTATGTTCTGATCATGTTCCAGGATGATAATGATGAAACTAAGCCTCTGATCCCCCCGAACCCTGTCATCATACCTCCAAATGGGACTGACTGGATCAATACCAGTCCCCCATCTGCACGGACAGATGAGCAGGCGCAACTTACTTCCATCCTTGCGAAGACTGCACAGTAAGACCCTGAATATAAGCATTAACTCTTTACGGTACAACTTTTTAAAAAAAAAAATGGATGTATGAGTAATGGAGATATCTTCATTCCTTGTTTCTCAGGAATATCATTGATGTCTCAGCGGCAGATTCTGTTGTGATGGAGCAGCATGAGTACATGGACAAAGCTAGACAATACAGGTGTGTGAATGAACATTTTTTTGTTACAGCAAAGATGAGCGTCACAGGAAAAGAGTTGGCTTTTATTGCCCTCATCTGAACAGTATTGGTTTCATAAGAGTTAAGAAGTACTTGGATTTCCAATATATTTGATAATCATCATTTGATCATGAAGATGTTTGTTTGGTGCTTTTGCCAGTCCAATTTATGCAATGCGGAAAAGGAGGTAGGCAATAAACCCTTTAGATGAATATCATATATTGAGTCAGAAGGGGAGTTCTTCCTCTGGTTCTTGCACACACAAAAGTGTGGCAAGTGAAAACGTCAACAAGAAGTTTCATCACCACCCCAAAAGCTGCAGAGGAGTTTGCCAGGCAGTTGTTTTTACAAAAAAAATTCAACTTTTAAAGAATGTCTTTGTTTGTATCTTTACAAACACAGTTACCTTGTGTTTTTTTTTTTCAGTACAAAGTTGGCTATGTTGAGCACTAGCCTGCCCCAAAAGAAAGCCCACGCTCTCCCCTCCCTCACCAGCCAGCCCCACCAAGTGCTTGCAAGTGACCTGGTGCCATACTCGGATATTCAGCAGGTATTCATAAATGGTTACACGTAGACAACACGCACTTTGTCCATGGTATTGCTTCGTGCCATTTGTTCCTCCCATGGGCACAGTCAACATCAGAAAGTACATTTCAGGAAGCAAAATGACAGGCTGTGTATCTTAAAATAGATCTCAAGGGCATGGGATGCTTTTTTTTTTCTTTTCCTTGAATAATTCAGAGCTGAAGTTTTAATTTATACTTACATTATACAAACTGTAATTGATCTCATTTTCTTTGCAGGTTTCCAAGATAGCAGCTTACGCTTACAGTGCAATCTCTCAAATCAAAGTGGATGCTAAAGAGGAACTAGTGGTCCAGTTTGCCATTCCCTGATTCTGCCATTCTGGCCAGCACAGTGTTCCTCCCGTCCCACCTTCTCTGTGTCATTCCTGCATCCTCATCCTCCAGCCTACCTTATATTAAAGCATTCTGATCCCCGTGCTATGCCTCCAGCGGCTACAAAGAAGAGAACATGAAGGATTTCACCCCTCACTTTGTCGAATTAAATGTGGGTCAGTGGCAATTTGTCAGTTATCATATGAGCAATTGAAGATGATTTAGTGTAGATGGGTATGATCTCATACCCCAACCCGGTCTGCTCTGTATATAATGCATGGATCACAGGCTTTGTCCATACTAGGTGTTTGTAAGGGGTTTTGGGGGCAGGGAATCGTTATACATCCTTCTTGATGATCTTTCCTTTTTCAATCAAAGATATTAAGGCCATCTCAGTTTCTTTATTTTATTTTACTACCCTACTTGTTCTCATCAAAAATGGTGCGTATAAAAATGGACGGTGAAATGACCTGGAACAAAGCTGTGGGACAATTGGCTTATAATATTAGTCAAAATATCCACCGGAACAAGAATTCTATGGCACGTGATAGTGGAAATTTCACAGCATCATAAGAGCAAAGTCACGTTAAACCAAGAATGGCAGAGAAAAAAATAGCACTTTCGACATGCCTTCATATTCTTACATTATAAATTGAGCTTTTCATTTGAAAACACATACTTGTAATTTTTTCAATTTTAAAAGATCAAATGTTTGCACCGGAGTGAGAAAAAGGGAAAAAAAAAATTCCCTCCAAGATTAAGATGTCATCATTTGAATGCAATGATCCAGATTCATGTGTGTAACCTGTTTTCCCTCTGCCCCATGAACCATCAAACCAATCTGGCTGGACAAAATTGAACCGACTCCAGTTACGTTTAAACAATCACACCAGAAGACAAGGTCAATCATTTCCTTTCCACTTTGTAATCTGGTTTTCCTTCTGATGCCTCGACATGGATGACCGTGTGTCGGCCTTCTGTGGGTAGTGTTCTCTGGTGGCTGAGGGTGCAAGCACAAGCAGATGGATGCTGGCTGGGTTGGCCTCTGATGTCACTGGGCAGGGAAACGACTAGAACACAAGTAGGTTTCCTGCCCCACAGATGAGCTGGCCTTAAACCTCTTCTCTTTAATTGCAGTGGAGGCTTTCAAAGACGAAGAGGGTGGGTGTGGGGAGGATGCAGGGACAGACATTGTGTTTTCATGCCTTTGTACAGACTTTTCTGATCGACCATTAAGACAGATGATGAATTGTATGAAGCTCCTATCTGTGTCAAGAGATGGTTGGTCAGACTTAGCAAAGATCTTGTGGTGATGAGTTTTTATGAAACACAGCAACACTTTTTCAGGCCCGCATTTGTTAGCTTTTACACTGCATTTCGCTACAGATTGTAAAACAAAGAATAGAGTTCATATTAATTAGAAACTAACCATTGTAGCAGTGTGGGCGAGTGTTAACAGTCTACATAACGCAGCAGATCAAATGATCGCAGACCCTTTTTTTGGTGATTATTTATTTTTATTTTTAAATGTGCATTTGCGCTATGTAGGAGAGACGGAGAGCCTGACTGTGGGCAGAGAGCATTGTGAGCTGCTCTCAAGTCACTAAAGGGATGTTCTGCTCAGCTGTGATTATTTCAAACCATGCAACTGATTTGAGTTTTTCAAATGAGTTATTGGCTTGTCTTTTTTTTCTTTTGCTTTGTTTTGGTTTGTTACTCAAATGTGTAATACTACCTGAAATACTGTATGTTTGTAATATCTTAGGAGAGTACCAAAAAGTTTTAAAATATTTTTTTGTTGTTTAATCAGTTCATTAAAAACTTTCAACAAATACTCACGTCTTATTAAAGAGCACTGACATCTATATCCTCATATCTGCAATATAACATGCAGCCATCGATAATGGTTTATGTGAAATATATTTTGAAAGGTTTTTCTCAAGGTCCACCTCTCATCAGAAAGGCTTGAAAACAAAAATGAGAAGTAGCTTATACACCAACATGTTACAGATCTTAGGATTATCTTCTACAATTCTATGAAATTGAGAGCATAAGCAGTAACAACACAACAATCTGATTAGTTTTTGGTAACAGGACAATATAGTGTTTTCTCTGAATATGCAAGAAATAATAGTGTAATTTCAGCTGTGACAGCACATACAATCTGATCCCAGAGAGGGGGTCTAAAAAGGGGGGAAAAGCATAAAACATTCCCTACAAAGAGGAAAAATCTATCTACTGTGCTTCACTTTCACTTTGTGAGCAAATAGGCATATTCTATATCATCTTATTTTTAGCAGTGAAATGGAGTACAGAACAAGGACTTCAAACTACTTTGAGGAGGATCCAGCAGTCTCTTTGCTGGCACCACTGCGGATGTTGCCTCCATGCCAGATTTTTGCCATGATTCGATCCTGTTGCGTCACCCCACTGAAGTCCATAGTTTTTAACCGAGGCAAAGCAGCAATCACACGATTCCTACACAAAAAGAATTACAAGTAAATGTATTTTTGTTTTGTTGTTATATCTTTACCAAACAACACTAAAAGATGGAGGTAAGTCCACTATAGATGTATCTGTGATCAAATAAGACATCTTTTAACGTTAATGGAGTTCTGTCTCTGTACTGTGCTTATGTGGGATAAACCCCTGTTGCCATGCAGACTAGGAAATGAACTTGATATGCATTTGAGCACCTGTTGCAATGTTATGCATGCACATACTGGCCAAGCACTCATGTCTCAAAAGTAATCCCTCTCGCTGCACTTGTGAACTTTATAACACTATGGGGCTTGCTGACTGTCACGTACACAGTTAACAAACAGCCTCCATGAACTACTGCTTTTCGTATTGATTCTCGTAAAATTGATAGATCTAAACAACCGTTTTGTTCAATAAGATGAGCAGAATGCCTGGTTGTTATACATGCAAAAAAGAGAACAGTTTCTCCACCTGTAGGTTTTGTTGGTTTCCACTGGATTTCCATGTAGAGTGATGGAGTGAAGATGTGGTAGCACTGCCAACGTGTCCACCTCAGACAGGACAGAAATGTTGTTTCCGTGAAGATATAAGACACGCAGTTCATGTAGCTCACACAGAGCCTGGAATGCACAGGAAAATCAACATCAGGTGTCCCAACGGTAACAAATATAATATTTTGGACATGTACTCATACCCCGCGACCCCCATCTGGGAATAAGCGGTTCAGAAAATGGATAGATGGATGTAACCACACATATATTTGGGTTAACCCTTACCTCAACCCTATCCTTATATGTATAACAAGTTATTTAAAAGTGTATGTGGACGGAAGTGAAAAAACTAAAGTACACATAAAATGTGTACTTTGTTGGAAAACAAACAAAGGCACAGTCAAGAGAAAACTCACCTGGTCTATATGTGTGATTTTGTTGAAGGACAGATCCAACCAGGCCAGATTTGATGGCTCAGCAAGGAAGTGGCTGACAGTCCTCTGGAGGCCGTATAGGTCACTGATGTTGTTGTTACTGAGGCGCAGGGACGCGCTGAGGTATTTCCCTTCAGAATTTTTCTTCAAAGGCCGCAAACCCCTACTGGGCTTCTCTGTTAATGCATCTGAACCAGTACATAAAGAAAAGACAGAGATCTTATTAACATCTGATTTTACACTGTGCCACTAAGGAACCTATTGTACATGAAAATTTTGTTCTATTTTGTACAAATGTCCTTTTAGGCTCAATCTTAACCTCTTGAAATCAGTTTGTGACCACTGACTCCATGGTAGTTTCATCATGTTGTAAAAGAATCCAAACATACCAACCATAAATCATGATAGAATTTTTATAGTGATAAATGATTGACCACAACCTAAAAAGAGGTATATCCTGAGGGAAGTACCACCTGTCAAAATGCTGATATTTCTGAAAGATAAATCCACTGGAGCTCCACACATGGTGTCACTTGTGAAGACCTCTTGCTCTGCTGAATGATAGACATGACAAGATAAAACAACTTATTAAAAATCGTTGTCATTTTAAAACAACATGAACACACTGACTTGTAATCGTCACACCCATGAACTGATAGCAGTTTATAAGTAGCTTGAAATGTTGAAATTTATCTGTATAAGGATCTTGTTTAATTTAACAATCAATGCCATCTGATCCATAACATAGAATAAACACTTACCAGGGACGCAAGATCACTGAGTAAAAAATGTTTACAGCTCCAGGTTAAAGTGGATAATTTACTACGAATACCGCTTTTGGATTTTGCTCATTAAGTCAATATCAACAATCCGTTTCCAAGGAAACAAATGAATGCATCATGGGAATTGTAGTTAAAGTGCCTCTAAATTACTTGTGCATTTATCTTCTTAGCCCCTGTAAAATAAAAAAATGATGTACAAATTTGAATTTAGTCTTAATAATTTTTTTTAATTTACATTTGATGCTATTGGTTATTTATTTGAAAACTGCTTTAAATTACATTACGACGTCTGCCGAACTTTAGCTGCCTTTGCAACTTCTTCACTCCACAGAATTGTTAAGACTAATAAGGGTCATTGGAAAAACAAACAACCATTTTTCTCAATAAATAAAACTGATCCGAGCAACTACATTAAGACGGGCATATTTTCTTTTTTGCCAGTTAGGTCAGTGCGTAAGTCGCGTATCATTTGTACAGCTTCCGGTCCTTTAACCAATCAACTCGCTCTGTTTTCATAGCCGTCAAAACGTGAATGTGTATTGGTTGGTTCAATCGTCTACAACTCTTTTTGAATTTTGTCTAGTTCACATGAGGGAACTGTTTATTTCCTGAAGGTAGCTTACGTTTAGCCAGTTTTCTCGTGGAACTTAATGCCTTGCACGGTGGCACACAATAGGGGAAAACAGTTGACTTTTTAGGTAAGTCGCTGGTGGAAATTAGCACTTCATTTTTCTCTGCAATTACGATGCCTTACTTTACCGCGAAGCGCAGTTGGCTGACTTTACATTTAACGTGTAGTTTAACAAAATTAGCTAAACCAAGGCCCCTTATTGGTTACAATATGTTGCATACGTTTTACAGTGCAATTTTTTAAACATAGAGACCGTACTGTTTGCATTGAGAAATATAACTTTAACGAGCTTTTTCGTTTCCAGGTGGAAATCCCTTTATCTATAAAGGGTCAGTCAAGATGACGAATTTGGGCGTTAAAGCTCTTCTCAGCTGGGTAGGTTGATACTGACGTTCATCACTCGAGTTTGATGCAAACTTTCCTGTTATGTTACGATGACATACAGAATTCTTATTTTGTCCTAACTTCTGTCTTATAGGTTAACAGCGTCAAACTGTCTGACAGTGAGATAAACATAAATGATTTACAGGATGCGGAGGTCCTCGTGAAACTGATTTATATGTTGTGAGTAAGAGGTCATGGTTTACTTTTTAAAACAAGAAAATTGAAAAGATTTGTAAATATGCTTCCCCTTTTGCTGGATTATTTAAGTTGCATGAATGTGGTTTCTTTGTATAATATACTTTTTGTTTTTGTTTTTTTACATTTGTTTCATATCAGGAGAAAGGAACAACTCCCCACTCTCAGTAATTCCTTTGATGATCGATTCAAACTCATTGCAGACTTTCTAGAAAGTGAGTTTTTCCTTTTGTCTTGGAAGACTGATGTGTTTAGCATTTTAGAAATGTCATACTTAAACTTAAACATGTGACAGACCTCTTGTTTGACTGATTACCTTATAATTAAAACATTGCTTCCTATTTGAACACATAGAAAAGACAAATCCTGTTCCTTAAATTAATTCAGTAGTTGTATCATAGACTGAAAAAACTGAAAAAAATGTTTCATACATTTGACCCACCATAATTAACTATTTTCTGCTATCTATAATGCTAAATCTGTAGTGATGTTATCTCAGTGACAGGACTGATATTGACAGTATCGTACAAGTATTAGTAATAAATCCTCAGTACCACTTTTTGTTAAGATTAAAGTGATTCTTAAAGACAAATGTACTTTTTCTCTTCTAAAAGGGGACTGCAGATTTAGTCCAACCATAGGAACAGCTGTATCTTGGGACAACATCAGAGATGGTAACAACCTCACTTTAGAAATCGCAAAGGTACAAGCTTAACATACATAGATATATGTATTTATAATTCATTTATATACATTAAGAATAATCAGACAGACACGGAGCCCCATTTTTAACAGTTTTGTAATACCATCAGGTGCTTTTGTTGCTGGTCTATCATGACATGATGAATGAACGCTGCACTCTAAACATGCTGGAATGTGAAGTGGAGGTAAGCAAAAGCTAGTCTAAATTTGTGTTTATCGATATTTTATGTTCACCAATTTTCAGTTACCATGTGCTGGTATATATATATTTTTTTGTCCAAACATGCTTATTTTCACCCTATTAGCGAGAGCTGGCCAACCTGACTTGTTCCTTTGTGATGGAGAGCAATGGCTGTGTTTATCTGAGCAACAGACTTGATGCGTATTTATCAAGGAGATGTAAGTCTAAACGTTTTTCTATTTTTAATGGCATACCATACTGAATGACATCAGGCTCTTTTAACCAATTTGTAGCTTTGCAAATTTTATTTGGATTTAACAAAAAAATTGTAAACTCTGTGTCAGATTTGCCTGTGTCCCGTGAAATTTTTGAGCAATCCGCAACCACGTCTACATCTACATCCAATGTTTCTACTATCTCCTCGCTCTCGGATGATGAGTCTCCTGTCTTTCGCCGCACGCATAAAATCACGTTTGTTGATATGGAAACTGTTGCATCGTCATCAGTGAGGTATTTGCAAAAATCCAAATTATTCTGATATTCTAAATATTAAAATCAATGTCTTAACTTTCAAAGATCATATGGACTTACAACAGTAATCTGCTTTCATTCCTGCAGCAAGTCTCCTTTGGCAGAGATCATGAATACACCTAAGTTTCAGATGAGGAAGATGCAAAGGCAGATGATTAAGGAAAGAGAATACAGAGATAATTTGGAGAGGGAGTTGGCCAACACACTTGGACTGATTACTCACAGAGGTATTACAGTCATCGTTCATTAACTAGACGTGTACCTTCATTATATTGCCTGTGTTTAGATCAGCTCAATTTTTAATTTAATTTTCACAGAATCCCACATCAGCCAGCTGCAGTATCGCCTGGATAAGCTGAAGGAAGAGCAGGGTGATCAGGAACAGGCCATCAGAGATCAAATCAATGAGCTTGAGAACAAGAATAACAAGTGAGTGTCCAAGAATGTAATTTAATTAATTATTTATTTATTTTTTCAAATCCACAATTGAGTCAGAATTCAGCAAATATGTGTGTATAACTTTAATTTCCATAGATCTATGGGGGAAGTTGTCAAATGTCAAAGAACCAAACACTTTCTCATACCAAGCATATTTCATGTCTTTTTAGCTGCGCAACATCTTGACTGTGATTTTGCATAAAGTACATGTCTTGCTTCATCGTTTAAATAAGCTGGTGATTGGAAAAATTACTTGACTAACTTTTTTCTTTTAGGCTGCAAATGCGTCTTAATGAGATGCTAAAGGAAAATAAAGAGCTCAAGACTTCCTCCACATATATGGAGCGTAAAGTAGATGAACTTACAGATGAAAACGGTGCACTATCCTCTCAGGTAATAATGAACTTGGAAATATTTTTTTTCCAACATATAAAGCGTAGTTTGAAATGAATTCCTGTTGTTGGTTGTTTTAAGGTTGTTTTGTTAGAATGTTGTTTTGATCCATGTGTTTGCCAAACTTTTAGTATATCAATATAGTAATATCAGAATCTTAGCTGTTATAAGCTATACAATGATGAAAACCACATTTTGAAGGCTCTTTCCTTGAATGTTTTATCAGGTAAGAGCAGTGTGCTCACAGTTGGCTGCATTTGAGGCAGAAGTTGGGAGACTAACAGAAACACAAGTGTCTGCTGAAGAGGAGTGGAAAGGAAAAACAAGCCATCTACAGTCAGAGCTCAACCAAGTCACTAACCAAAAGGTAAACAAAGCATCAAGCTTTCTTCTGTTGTTTATTGGGATGTTGGGGGGGGGGGTGCTCTGTAAATTATTGGAACACAGAAGGCTTGCTAAAATACTCCTTAATTATTTACTATAAGTTAGCACGACAAATGACAGTCTACTACACCTGTCCTCGTATCTCAGGAGCTCTTGACAGAGCAAATTCAGATCCTCCAAGGAAAGATATCCTGTTTAAAGGATGAACTCAGCAGGGTCGCTGAAGAAGACGTGGGGGAAAACATGGGGCCTGTAATGGAGGTAAAGTGAATAATTCTCTTTTACATATGAATATGTGAAACTTTATTCATAAATTATGTTTCATTCTACAATATATGTCTGATGAGTAAGCTTTCTTTTTAAATTCTCAGAGAGAAGAGTTGGAAACTGAAATCAATGGTTTGAAGCAAGAGCTTGAGAGCACATTTTGTTCTCTGAAAAAGGCTGAAGAGGAGATTGAGACCAAAAGTCAGAAGCTCACTGAGAGTCAGCGAGAACTAACCCAACATAAAGAGCTCCTAAAGCAACAGAGAGCCCAAAGTGAAGAAATGATTCAAGCCAAGGATGAAATGTTAGACAAATTGCAGAAAGATGTAACTGAAGAGAAGGTGCTGCTGCAAACAGAGATTCAGAAACTGGAGCTTGAACTTGAGCATGTTCAGCAACAGAAAGCTGAGCAGGTGACCACATTACAACAGCACATCACTGCCTGTGCACAAGAAATTCAAACACTAAAAGAAAAGAAGACAGAAACGGAGGGACTTCTAAATCATACACAGGAAAAGGTGAAGGATCTTGAAACAAAGCTATCTGCTGCTACTTCTCAGTTAGCTGACAGAGAGCAACAAGTTAATGACTTCAGAGAGAAAGTCGACCTTCTCACTAATGAAGCCAAAATAGCAGCAGATGAAATTCAAGCCAAAGAAGAGGCACTTGGTAAATTACTTCAAGAGAAGTCTAATGAGCAAGCAATTCTTCATGATAAAATCCAGACCTTAACAGTCAACATGGAAGACCTCACTTCATCTCTGAAACAGGCTGAGCAGGAAATTCAACTTAAGCAGGACTTATTGGCTAAAATCCAGCAGGAGAATATCCAACAAAGGGATTTACTTCAAGAACATATTTTATGCTCAGAAGCGGAGGCACAAAAGCTTAAAACAGAGATACTGGACAAAAATGAACAATTGATTACACTGAAAAATGCCAGCATTGAACAAAGTGAAGCGCTTCAGCAAGAGATTAATAGTTTAAAAGACCAGCTTTCGAGTCTCAAAGACTCTTTGAAAACATCTGAACTCGAAGTTCTTACACAGCAGGCTATGCTTACTAAGCAGGAACAGGAGAGTGCTCAGAAAATGCAGCTTCTTCAACAACAACTGTCTGCCACTGAGGAGGAGGTGAAAGGCTTGAAAGAGGAGATTGAGTCGAAGGAGGATCAGATGGCTTTGTTAAAAGATCAAAGTTCTGAGCATGCAGAAATTCTACAGCAAGAGATCCAAGATTTAAAGAAACAAATTCAGTGTCTCAGCTCCTCCTTGAGGGAAGCCGAAGAACATCTGCAAACCAAAGAAAATCTGTTAGTGGAGCACCAACAACAGAACACCCGTCAGGTGGAGGCCCTTCAGGTTCAGATGGTAGCATCACAGGATGAGGTGAAGAGGTTAAATGAGGAAATTAACTTGAGGGAGGAGAGTTTTGTCCAGTTGAAAATGGAAACCTCTGCTCACTCTGAAGTGCTGCAGGAGGAGATTGAAAATCTAAACCAACAATTAAAAAGTATGAGTGATTCTCTTCAGGAAGCAAAGGACCTAGTTAAAGCCAAGGAGGATCTGATGGCCAGACAGCAGCAGGAAAGCTCTCAGCAGATCGAGGGACTACAGAAGCACAATTCTGTTCTTGATGATGAGGTGAATTGTCTGAAGCAGGAAATAAAAAACAAAGAAGACAAATTAGATAAGTTAATGTCCGAAAGCTGCAAAGAGTCAGAATTCCTACAGAATGAAATCCAAACTCTGAGGGATCAAGTTCAGTTTGTAAAGGAATCACTTCAGGCTGCAAAAGAGCAGGTTGAAGCTAAAGAAAACCTGCTCGCTCAGAAACAAATGGAGATTTCTCAGCAAAAGGATACACTGCAAAACGTCATGACAAAGTCTGAAGAGGAGATAACAAAACTTACAGTAGAGATCCAAATCAAAGAGGAACAATTGGTCCATTTAAAAGAAGAGGGCTCAAAATGTTCAGACACACTACAGCAGGAGATCGGCACTCTAAAACTCCAGCTAAATGAAATGGGTGATTCTCTGAAAAAGGCAGAGGAGAAAGTTCAGACCCAGGTTGTTATGTTGAACCAGCAGGAACAGAACAGCACTCATCAGATGGAGCTGTTGCAAAAACAACTCTTTGCCTCAGAGGTGGAGGCAAAGCACTTAAAAGAAGAGATCCAAGCTAAAGAGGATCAGATGGCTTTGTTGAAAAATCAAAATTCGGACCAAGCAGAACTTTTACACTGCGAGATCCAAGATTTAAAGAAACAAGTCGAGTGTCTCAATTCCTCATTAAGGGAAGCTGAACAGAATCTGAAAAGTAAAGAAAATCTGTTGGTGGAGCAGCAAAAACAGAGCGCCCATCAGGTGGAGGCACTTCAAGTTCAGATGGTCGAGTCACAGGATGAAGTGAAGAGATTAAATGAGGAAATCAATGCAAAGGAGGAGAGGTTTGTTCATCTGAAAACTGAGACATCTGCCCACTCTGACGAGCTGCAGCAGGAGATCGAAACTCTGAACATGCAGATAAAAAGCCTTACTGATACTCTGGAAATTACTAAGGAGCAAGTCAAAGCAAAAGAAGATCTGATGACAAAGCAGGCACAAGACAGCAATTTTCAGATTGAGGAACTGAGGAAGCAGCGTGCCTCTTTTGAGGAGGAGGTGTGCCAACTGAAGCAGGACATTCAATCAAAAGAGGCTGAAGTCGATATGATAAAAACTGAGAGCTGTAAGGAGTCTGGTGGCCTACAGAATGAGATTCAAACTCTTAGGAACCAAGTAGAGCATTTGAATGAATCACTTAAGACTGCAACAGAACAGGTGCAAGCTAAAGAAAACCTTTTGGCTCAGAAGGAAATGGAGATTTTTCAGGAAAAGGATACATTCAGAAACACAATGATGGTATCTGACGAGGAAATGAGAGAGTTAAAGAAAGAGCTTGAAATCAAAGAGAAACAGCTTAACACCTTGAAAGATGAGAGCTCAACACATTCTGACACGCTACAGCAAGAGATCAGCAGACTACAAACCCAGCTAAGTGATGTAGGCAGCTCTCTCAAAGAGTCTGAGGAGAAAGCTCAGACTCAGATAATAATCCTTCAAAAGCAGGAGCAGGACAGTGCTCATCAGAGGGAGCTTCTGCAGCAACTGCTGTATGCCTCTGAAGAAGAAATGAAGCAGGCGAAGGGCGAGATCAAAGCCAAAGAAGAAAAGATTGTGTTGCTGATGACTGAGAGCTCAAAAAAGGTGGAATTATTAAATCAAGATATTCAAAGTTTGAATAAACAGGTCGAGACTCTTGGCTCCTCGCTGAGTCGGGGTGAGGAAGATCTAAAGTCAAAGGAAGATCTGTTGTCTCAGCAACAGCTCGACAATGCTCAACAAAGATTGGTAATCGAAAGCCTGCAAGAAAAAGTGCAACAATTGGAAAAATTGCAGGAACAGATTTCCTCACGTGAAGAACAGATTAGAAATCTTAAAGAATCTCAGACTGAGAAAGAAAATCTCCTCATTGAAACTGAAAAGAAGTTGCAGAGCCTTCAGACGCAGTTGTCTGATGTCAAAATGGTCATTGCTGATAAAGACCTACATTTGAACATGCTTCGAGAAGAGGTGGCTGCTCAAACCAACATTGCACAAAAAGCCAAAGAGGAAGCTGAGGCAAGTGAGAAGGTTCTGTCTGAGATGAAGGATGAGAGTCTCAAACAGGCAGCTGTCCTTCAGTGTGAGATCCAGAGTCTCAAAGAGGAGGTGGACACCATTTCTCAAAGGCTTGTCGAAAAAGAGCAGTTGTTACTTGAAACTCAGCAGACGTCGACTCAGCAGGTGAACATCCTCCAGCAGCAGCTCCTTTCAGTCAGAGCAGAGCTGAACCAAGAAAAAGAAACCCTGTCTGCTAACCTCAAGTTGAAGGAAACCGTGCTGGAGTTGCAGGTGAACACTCAAAAGGAGAAGGAAGTTCTCATTCAGGAAAAAGAGGTACTTGTTGCCAGGATACTCAAGTCGGAAAAGGACCACCAAGCTCTGGAAAAACAAGTTGAAACTTTAGTTCTTGAGAAGGAGAGACTGGCTCAAGCCAGTCAGGCCATAGAGAGGGAGAACCTAGCATCTCGTAAGCTTGAGTCTGTTCTGCAACAGGAGCTAGAAATCCTGAAAATGGAGAACGAGAGACTGTTGAAAGAGAGAGAAAAAGTAGAAGCAATTGAGCGGACGAAGCAGGACTTGCAGGAACAGCTTGCGGCTAAATCAGAGGCTGCAGAACACTATAAGGCTCAGGTTGGTGAAAACAAACCCAACATAACACTTAGGTCATAATATGTAGAGCCTGTACCAAGCATTCCTTTGTTTTTGTTAAATATCTCTTTCTGCTGATTCCAGATGGAGTGTAACATTAATTGGTTCTGTTGTTTTAATTATGCCATGTGTTTTTCATGTTGGCTTGGTGTATTGAAGGACATATTCACACTAAGGTGTCTGTTTTGTTATTACAATGCTGCAGATGGAGAAGGCTGCGAGTCATTACAACAGCAAGAAACAGCTTCTCCTGGAAAGTCAAGAAGAGACAGCAGAGCTCAAGCATTCCATAGAGGTTAAAGACCAGGAGGTGAAGGCTATTACCATGGAGAAAAAGCTACTTCAACTTGATTTGGAAAAGGCCCAAGCCAATGAGAAGAAGCTCTTGAGCAGGGTGGCCAGTTTGGAAGCACAAGTAAGTGTTGTTTTAAAAAATTAAAAAAAAGAATACTATCACAATTTGTTGCTTAATTGGGTGATTTTAAAGGGTTTAAAATTTTTGTTGTTGCTGTGTTTCACCCTGTCCTCTATCCCCATGTCTGTAGTTGACCTATGCAGACCAAACTCTGCGTGCACAGAATAAGATTCACAGTAATGGAGGAAGCTCGGCAGAGTCCTTTTACCTGGAGGTTCCCAAAACACAATTGAGTGTTTGCACAAGAACGCAAGTGAAGAAGTCCATGAGCTGCGACAGCTTGGACCAGAGCTCTCTGGAAGATTCTCTAAACGCTACAAGGTGAAGTCAGAGCTACTGTTCTGAACACGTTCTGAGTCGCTTGATTATAGGTCAGGCTGAGGCTGCACATTTATAAAGAATGGCTCAGTTAGTTAACAGTCAAATGCCAAAGAGAATTTTATACCTGACACCAAGATCTGTGCCTGTAACTGATAACATAACATTGCTATGTCCATGTTCTCTGTTTATAATCATATTAGATGTAGTGTTTATAACCCACTGCAATTCTTTTCTTTTACCTTTTTAGAAAGTGGTCAGCGCCTGATGAATCAAGCACCCCACTTGTCCGCAGTTCAGAACGTTTGGCTGCCAAACGCAGGGGATTACCAGCCGAGTCCCTGGAAACCTTGTACTTTACGCCTATAAATACTAGACAGATTAAAAGGTTTGTTGTATCACTTTGCTACTTCAGACAAAGTGAAAGGCACTTTTTCTCAGTGCACGGGTGTGTACAGAGTGCTTTTCTTTAAGTGTAATAAACCTAACGGATTTAGTCTTCGTCCCCCATTTCAAAGCTACTGTTTTGTTTTTTTTTTGTTTTTTTCAACCTAGGTCCAGTACGGAGTTCGATACGGAGCTGGAGTCAACCCGGAAAGATCCAACCTCATCCGTGAAGCGACGCAGAACTACACAGGTTATAAACATCACCATGGCAAAGGTGGGGGAATGTCATTTGAGATTGGGGTATACTTCAGCAGCATTCGTATGATGCGGCCAACACAAACTATAACATAATAAATGACCAGCCCAAATGTTTAACTCTGCCCTTTTTAAACATAATTTTTGCTTCTTTCTGCTGTCACAGTAATTCTAAGAAACATATTCAATCTGTTCCATAGAAAACTCCAGGCTGCAATGAAGGTGATGAGACTTTCTACAGCCTGGTTTCAGCTCGCTCCCACCCGAACCTCTCCAGTGCCCAATCTGCACGACCTGTGGCTATGGAGCTATTTGACACACCTGCCAGTAAGACCAAGGCTACCAGCGAACAGCTCATTGGTCTTCCAGGCTTCAGAAGGAGCACAATCCATTCACAAGGTAATTACCTGGATAACTTAAGGCGTAACAAAGGCTTAGATTTCCTAAAGGAAAGAGAAGGGCTGAAATACATCTGAACATTTAATGATAATATGCAATTCAATTCAAAAAGCTTCATTAGTCCCAAAGGTTCATTTAAAGGGCACAGTGGAGCAGCATGAGGGCAAATTTGTCTTTGATTCAATCTTTACTGCACTTAAAGGACAACTGAGGGCTTAAAAGTAGAAGGATCCAAATTACCAGAGTAAGATGCTAGTTCCAGAAGACTGATTAATTTTTGCAGACCCTTTTAAAACTTAAAAAAATAGTAGGAGTTTAAAGGAAGCCTCCACCCATCCACACCAAAGATTTACTAGGTGAACAAGTCAGAATAAACTAATAAACTGCAGACCAATTGTCATCAGGGCTGCCAATGTTAAGTTAAGTAAAACAGCATTTTTTTTCAGAACTTGAAGGATCATTTGTGTCAGTTGGGAGTGGCATTTTGCCAGATGGCCACAATAATAGTCGTTCTATTACACTTTATCGGACTAAACCTAAATGGCTGCACTCTTCTGGATCTGTGAAGCTTTAGCTAACAATTCTGTGAGTCTACTTGCAGGAATTGTGACTTTGTGGACATGTATAATCATGTTGCAGTAATCTTTCTAAAGTAATATAACCGGTGTCTTCTCTGTGGGAAAGAATTTAAATTACAAAATGTGATGGATCGTTGGGTTGTCTGAACTGATTTGCTTCCAGCCACAAGTACCTTCTGCGTGGGAGCAGAGAACGAACCAGACGGTGGACCTGACGACTGGCTGAGGATTGCAGAGCTCCAAGCCAGGAACAAGGCCTGCCTTCCTCATCTAAAGAGCAGCTACCCTGTGGAATCTGATGTGAGGAGACAGGTTGAGAGGACATGGCTGCACAACCTGATGTTTTTGGAAGGGAGCGTTTTCTTGAAATCTCTTCCTCTGTCCTTTGGTAGAATTGTCGTGGTGGGGCATTCATTTTCACTGACGAGGAGCTACGCAATGGTGACCCATCTGACACAATCCAACGGGCATCCATGATGCCAGGCCAGCTGCAAGACTCCCTCCTCTCACACCGACACTCTCTCATGGCGGGTCAGGCGGGACCTGCAGCCGGCACTCGCTCTCACCGTCTGTCTTTGATGCCAGACATGCTTCCATCGAGAACTGCCATCTCCTCTCAGCTGAAAAGCCTCAAGGGCACACAGAAATCTGCATCATCATTGTCTTTACATCAGACTTCTCCTGAGGTTTGTTCACAGAAGCTGAAGACCTGTGTTCAAGCTAAAGTCTGAATATCATATCCAAAGCTTAAATTATTTTTAAAAATTCACACCAGGATAAAAGTACAGCAAAAATGACCATGAATTGTGTGTCTGCATTTCTCTCTTTAGAAAAAGACTAGAGCTAGCTGCTTCCCTCGTCCACTCACTCCCAAAAACAAGAATGTGACCTGTGGATCCTCCAGTGCTCATCTTAAGCCCATCCTCAGCCCTGTAAGTGTAACGTTTCTTTTTATTTTGCACAGGTTGTGTTTTGTGCTCTCCTGGAAATCAGTTCCAACTGTATTATTCTCAGGCTAACGGGAGGGAGTCGATGATGTTCACCATCGATAACACCCCGAAGAACAACAGCTACTTAAAGAAACGACTGAACAAACTGCGCAGTTCCACAAGGAAATCCCCAGGCAGAAGTTCAAAGAAGTCACCCACTCAGACAAGTGTGCGCAAAGGCCAGGAGAACACGCCCTCACTGAATTATCAAGCCAAAGTGGGACGAGCAGGAAGAACTGGCAGCTTTAAGTCGCCCCAAGTGACAGTTAAAGGACAGAGGAAATCTCCTCAGGCCTCCAGCAGGTCTGCAAAGTCTCCTGGACTGACGGCAAGCGCTCGCAAGGTGAGCAAATACTGACAAAGCCAAGGCCACTGCCAGTTTTCAGCCTAAATGGGTGTAAATGGTTAAAAATTGTTTTGATTACTTTTAGGCATAGTGATCCCTGTTAGCTTTTAATTGACATCCTTTTGGCAGCTCACCATTTGACGTTTTTAATGGACACAAAAAGCACAAAAAACTTGAGGTCTAGTGTTTGTCCCACTAGACTGGCTCAGAACTCGTCTTTGGAGCCATGCAGATTTACGAATGGAATGCCTGTATCTGCCTTATTGTTTAGGAGAAAGCACAACCACGTTAACACCACTCACTCATCAAGCCACTTTCAACTGGATTCCACTTAGTGTGACATCTCAGGCCGATGGTTATTACACTGTAACAAACACTGGTAGAAGTGTGTTGCAAAGTCATAAGAGAAATGGATTACTTCTGTTAAATTTGAGTTTTTTTTCAGAAGCAGGTGTCTATAAAAGAGGATAACCATGTTGGAAGTCCAAAAAGGTTGCTATCTATCAAGAGAGCTCATTTTTAAGACTGTCTCTTCCTCTTACTCTTTGCTTTTTAAACACTTGGTAACGGCTACGTTAGTCACTTTAAAGTATCATAGTTCATGGTGGGTTTCTTGTTTGTGGAGCAGATGGGTGCACACATTTTCTATGAGCACAGTACGTTTGGATACATATTTTTTTTTTATTTTTTTTTTTAGATAAATGCGTATTGAGGTTATTGAGATTTGCTCTTTGTAAACCTTGGCTTAATCTTGTTTTTTCTTCTTACAGATGATGAGGAAGATGAAAGTTTGAGGACTGAGTCCCCGGTTTGGTGTTGTGATAATCCAATTTCATTTGGTGAAATGGTTTCTTTTTGTCTTGTTCCTCCAAAGACATTCTAATCTTTTATTGATGTCCGTTTGGACTTTTTTTTGTCATTTTTTAAAATATCTGATTTTCCTTAATTTCTTTTGTATAATATTTACATGTCTTTCCACAATAATAAAAAAAGAGAAAGCCTCTTATTTTATTGTATGACGCTTCTTTAGGGTTCCAAAAATAGAAACACATGACACCATAGTTCAAACTATTGGAACTATCCATTTTTGGAACGAGGGTTATCTCAAAGATGCTATTCTTTTCTTCTTTTTTTTTTTAAAGGTTTTACCATTTTTCAATCCTACTTCATTAATGGGAAACTTGAATAAACTTAGGATTTTTGCAGATAAGGAGAGGTTCAGGAGACTTTAAATGCAGGGCAGCAATTTGAAGAAGTCCCTGACTTTTAAAAATTATGATTAGTATTTATTTATATAGTTTTGGGGGAATGTTTTATTGGTTGCTAGAACATGTAATCTTGACATAAATCAGCTTTATGAGCTCTGTACATTGATGTTTCTGGGACCCCAGCTGACTAAATTCAACCGTTGCCTTTATTCTTTCTTCTGGAGAGGAAGTCCCCAAATCCTCTTTCTGTATGAAGCTAGTTAAGAGCTAATATTCTTTTCTCAAGTTTGTAAAAAAAAATTCTGAAAAGTTCCAAAAATGCTATCATTAAAAAAAAAAAATTAAAACAGAATATTGTCGGACTAAGTGCTGTGTTTTTTGCTGTTGAACTGATGGTAGGTAAGTTTTTCTTTTGATTTTATTATGTTTTCTTTCGTTCTCTTACATCATCAATATTCTAAAAACATCTATCTTTAAAAAGCCATTTTACTTTAGAAATACAGACCAGTCGGTTAACAGATAATGCCACATGTAGGAGGGAGGAGTTTCGACTCGGCAGGAACTATTTGGCCTAACTCCTGTATTCATTTTCCTTTAAAAATACCTGCTTTTTCATCCAGTGCCAATGCTCCACTTCCTGTAAGGGCACTGAGTCTTCAGAATAAAAAGCCTTCAAATGAATTTTTTTATTCTAAGAGGCGGAAAATTATTTGTTGGTTATAACAGATAAAAAAACAACAAAGACTTGGTTTAAAACTCTGTGCCAATAGGTCTATTTTTCTTTACTACCTGTCATGAGATGTGGCTAGATTATGTCTGTTGGTGCACTGGTGTCTGACACTAAAACCACGACGACGTCATGCTGTTATTCTGAAACATGCCCCGGAAATTGTAAGACAGGAAAGTGAGCTGTTCTTCTAAATCGAAACTATCTGAACGCAGTCAAAAAGCTTTAAGGAACACGTCATTTTGTAAGTTTATACTTTACATTATTCACATCGACGCTTGTCTTTTAAACAAAACGTTTTATTGCATTGTATCATATAATATATGATCATGTTTATGTTTGCGTAGTTTAGTGTAAATTGTCGCTGAACAGTACGGGCGGAGAGGGCTGACCGTTGGTGCGGTTACGCAAACTGGGCTGGCCGGTTTTTTCGTGCAACTTTGAACCCAAAAACCCATTTCACGTCTACGGCGTAAGCCTGTCTCAACCAGAAGCATGGCCTCGGACACGGAAGTGGAGAAGTAGGTGTTCTTTTAAATCTTTTTTGGGACACTATACCGCCATATTTCCTCTTTATCGTGGTACCACCTTACAGAGTTTGTCAGAGTTCGTCAAGGGTCTCAAAGTTATCCAGTCTTTTTTCATTCATTGTCTTTCCAGTGTCATTCGCTTGTTCTAATCGTTCTTGAACTTGTACTAGTTTTATTTTTTTTAACATTAATTGTTGTAGTCCTTAATGGGCTTGCAATGAGGAAATTCATGCTGTGACAGGTGACACCCTGGACATGCCAACCTATTCAGTATCAGTTAGGTGGTCATCAGGTTACGCTGGACGGATGGAATAAAAACAAAAATCAGCAAACAACAAACTGAAGACATTTAGTGGGTTTTAAGTGCACCTTCTAATTCCTGCCCGCTAACATTTTTTCGTTTACCTACTCAGTATTTTGAACGTGGAGGAAGATGGGGACGAGACGAAGAGAGTACGGCCACCCTCCAGCTATGGCTCAATGAAAAGCGAGTCTGATGCCTCGGAAGACATTCAGATGAAGGAGGAAGATGGAGAGGAGGTTGCAGTGCTGCCTGGTCAACCTACTCAAACAGATACTGCGTATGTCGTATTTTTGGGGAGCTGATCCGAGTTGTCTTTATTATAAAGGCTTATGGTTATCTAATAGAGAGATTTACATATCAGCATAAGGTCTCTGTTAAATGTCCACTAATAAAGACATCATTTGGATTCTTCATCCTCAAATGCATTGCACCAAAGACTTTCTGAAGAGAAAAGATACTATAGTTTTAGCTATACTAAGTATAACTAAAACTATAGCATCAAAAACCTGAATGTTTCAAAGTGCTGTTGTCAATATGAGATTGAGCACCTCATGCGGTTTGTACTACTCTGGTTAATGTTTCTCAGGGTACAGATGAATCGCCCGATATCTCCAGAGACCCTGTACACCACCACCACAGAGCAGACCAAACCACCGGGAGCCATGGTGATTGACACAAGGTGATGGGCACACACTCACACTTGATGCAGATCTTTGAAGATGTCAATCCACTTAATGTTTGATTTCTTTAAAGTTTTAAAAGAAAGTCCGTCTTTCTCAGGTCCTCTGATCTGGAAGGGAATTCAGTGGATGATCAGGAGGATATTGACGAGGATGAGGATTTGATTTGTCATTCTCCAGAACCACCCGAACCTGTGGAACTCGAAGATTACCAGCAAGCCAGTGAGAACAAGCAGCCAGGAAAACTTCACCCAGAACAGGACATGCCGCATGTTTTCAAAGTTGGTGCATAACATTTAGTCCTGTTTTTAAATTTTTCCTCAGAAAAACTGAGCCTGTTTATGTTAATTTTATTTTATTCTCTGTTTGAAGACTATCCAGAGTATTCTCTCGGGCCTAGATAAAAAGGAGCTATTAAATTTTAAAATTAAGTTTTATCAGTGGAGCTCTAAAATAACCCTCAAGGAGGCTTTGGAAGGAGACATTCTTGACTTTGTGGACAAGATGATTGAGCTGCTTGGTAAGTAAACACAGCCGTTGTCCAAACAGTGCTAATGACATCATTCTAATGGGAAGTTTTGATATTGTAAGACACAGGCACTGGCTAAATTGCTAACTTTTTTTTTTCTATTAAAATCTTCCTCTGCAGGCCTGGATAAGGCCCTCTTTCAAACAATAGAAACCCTTGAAAGTGTTGAGAAGCATGCAGAGGCCAAAGAACTATTGAGTCAATGCCAGAGAGGTAGGTGGGCACTCGACTGGTTCTGTCCTCATTCCTAGGTGATTGGACCTTGTATTTCTGAGGTATATGAGAAGAGACAGTTTGGGTTGACATTTATCCCACATATCTTGAAATTTTCATCAACTTCTTTAAAATCTTTGGCTGCTTTTGTTTGATTTTAAATTAAATTCATTGTACAGCCTTTTGCGCAAACTTCTAGAATCCTTATTGATATTATGAATTTCGGTTGCTTTCTCTCTTGTCTGTTTTTCTCTGCCACCAGCGGCGGTACGTTTTCAAATGATATCGGTTTTTACCTACGACTACAAATTTATCAATGAAGGGATCGTTAGATCCGGAGGGCGGAAACTTCTGGAGGACATCTACGTCGAGCCCGAGATTTCTACCTGCAGTTACGGAGGAGTTTACCCCTCCCACGAGATCCGTCCGCTCCCCCCGACGCCTCTCCAGATTCCAAGCCCTGACACATTTGTTGGTGTGAACGATCTCTTCCGACTACAGAAAGATGATGGCACACCTGTGAGGACGGTCGTGACCACTGGCATTCCAGGGATTGGAATGACTGTCTCTGTGTACAAATTTGCCATGGACTGGGTTAAAGGTCTAGCCAACAGGGTAAGATCGAACAAAAACCAAGAGTTTTTCGTGAATTTAGTGAAACATATTGTAAAGGTTTTAATTATTATTCATGTCAAAACGAAATCAGTTAACTTCTTCTTGATAGATGCAAACATTTTGTATAATTCTATATTAACATTATTCGTCATATTCATGGGTCTTCCTGGCTGTTCGGGTGTTGGAAAATGTCTCCTTTACAGCATTTACTTTAGATTTTCGGGAAGTTTTTTTTCTTATTATTTTGAGATGTCAAATTATTTGTCGATTTTTTTGTCGACAGTTGCTGTTTTTTGTCCAAATTATCTGCAGGATCTGCAGTTTGTCATCACTATATCCTTTAAGTCTCTGTGGATGATGCGAACCAGGACCGATTCTACTGAGGACATGTCCATTATGAGCGTGATCAATTATTGCCAGCCAGAGTTAAAATGCGCAAAGTTCCTGGAGGAAGAGAGTTCCAACTTTCTCCTCATAATGGATTCCTTTGATCGCTACCAGGCTCCTCTGGATTGGGAGGTATCTCATCTGTAGATATGCAGTTGACACCTTACAGGCTGAATAATTCACACCACCCAAACAAAAAGTAATCATGGATGCAAAAAAAAAAAAACGTTTCACTGTTTCTTATCTTGTGTCTCCAGAATACTCCGGTAATAAATAACATTCACACCGCAGCACCCATTGATGTCTTGACTGTAAACATTGTCCGAGGGGATTTGATTCCCGGCGCCCGCAAATGGATCCTGGGGCGACAAGCGGCCGTCTCACAAATACCATCTAAATTCATAGATCTCGTTACTGAAATCCAGGGTTTTAAGTGTGTCTCTTCTCTCACTAAATCTCAGTGTTCACTATTAGCTGTTGCGTCAATTTTCAATCCAATTTTTTTGCTCTTCTGTCTCCAGTAATGAGATGAAAGATGACTACCACACCAGACGTATACGTGATGCACATCTGGCAGAAAAAATCGTACGACGTTACAAGCTCCTACCGACGCTTCACCATCTTTGTCGCCATCCGTTGCTCTGCTGGCTTGTGTCGTATACGTCCAAGAACAACTTCCGCTATCTCGACTATGGGACTCAGCCTCCAAGACTGACGCCCTATCTCGTTGATATGATGGTCATTCAGATGAACCGCAGACTGGAGTTCTACTATGACCATCCAACGCATGACTTTGTAATGTTTAAAACTTTGGAAGCCTTTCGTCTGTTTGTTTTTTTAGATTTTCACGCCAGAGTTTTAAGTGTCCTTTTATCTCCCAGAAATGGTCCAATGACGACTGCAATCTGCTGAGAGGAATGGGGAAGATGGCCTTGAAGATGCTGGAGAAAAATAAGAGTGTGTTCGTTGAAGAGGATTTGAAGCCCTTTGGGCTGCCATTTTGGGAAGTGGTCGTGTCATCAGGCTGGTGTGCCGAGCTTCACATTATGAGCGCAAATCAACCCAGGACATTCTCTTTTATTGACTTCTCCATACAGGTAAATCTCTGTTCACTCCTCCAGAATTGACTGTTGGTGTTCATCTGCCTCAACTTTTAGGTTCTCACTTTAACGATTTTAAAGAACTGAAACTAATTTTTACTGAGCATTGTCATTTTTAATTTTTGTAAATTCTTTTTTATATTTGGCTTTAAGTAGTTGTCAAACTGCAATGGCTTTCCATGACATTTCAAACTCCCATTGAGGAAACCATCCTCAAATCTTGATTTGACCTGCGCTGTGTTTCTTAAAGCTCAAACAACAGGTGACCAATTGTGGCTATGCATGTCTTTACTATAAAGAAAGTTGGGTGGGGCGGAGCCAGGTCTTTTATTCTCAAATTACTAAATACTTTTTTTTTTGGGGAAGCCACAGAAATTACAGGTAAGGGTCTCCAGCATTATAATTCACCCCCCTTAAACTGGGCTTTACTTTGCGTGTAGAGAGCAGATTTAGCGACTTCTGTAAACGGGAGTTTGTGGTAGGAGATTTTACAACTACAAGATTTCATGATTCTATCTGGAGAGAGCTCTTAACTGTTAGTTATATTTTATTGGATGATTGAGAGAAAACCTCTGCCCAGACTAAAAAGATATCTGCAACAGAGACAGAGCTAGCTGCTAAAAAGGGTGAGCCCCAAAATAATAATTCAACATTTAGTCTCCCATTTACTATCTTTTTTTTTTTCAGGAGTTCCTAGCTGCACTGCATGTCTTCTTAATGTTTCACAAAGATTCCAAAAATATTTTGGATTCTTACTTGGAGCGGATGCCAAAGTTCTGGACAACCAAATATCAAACCAAGTCAGCTGCCGGCCTTGTCCAGTGTGCTTTGGCCCTAACCTTAAGCTCCCCTCTGGGTCAGTACGACATGTTTCTGCGCTACCTGTGTGGAATGATGTCCCCAAGTTGCCATGCTGTTTCTTTGAGAGGGTACTTCTACAACCACCACTACCCAGAAGTGAAAGGAATTGAAGAGGTGCAGCAGCTCCTGGAGTTTACCATACAGAAGGCCCCTGAGAACAGGGTGGAAAACCTTAAGGAGTGCCTCAGAGAGGCGATCCAGGCTGATGAATAAACTGAGTCAGGTGATTAGAAAGATTCTCGGCCTGTCTATCCCAACATAAAGATTCTTATTGAAGAAAATAAGATGGACAGAGGGGTGTGGGTTTTTTTATGTCACCCGAGACTTTTTGGGGATTCTATGCTTTCCAGTACAGTCGACTACATGAAAATGAACTTTTAAACGATCCCGTTTTGCATACCTTGTCTTTTATCATTTTCAGTTAGAAAGTTTCACATTTTTTTGTACTCTGTCCTTTTTTTCTAAAATCAAGCAGTTTCCATTGCGCTGTGTGCACTTTTACATGGGTAGTTTGTAAAATGAAAACTGGAGACTATATGACTCAGAGAAAGTAATTCAAGAAATGTGATGTTATATGTGATGATATATTTCCTTGGAAGAGATGTAAATACCAAAATAATGTGTTGTATTTTGTTTGGGTGTTTTATTCCTAAAATGAGGTGTAACCATTATTATTAAACTTAGAAAGGAGAATGTACAAAAAAAAGAAAAGACCAAAATATGGTGTGGAACAGTTTTTTATTGAACCCTAAAGAAGTATCGGACCATTAATCAGCAGCAATAAAGAGGAGTTGTCTGTGTAGATGTGTGTTTTTGGTTAATTGTCTTAGCATAGTTCCAGTCATGATGTCGGCATATTCCTCTGTTTTGATTTGAGTTTGATGAGCACTGTCACCTCACAGCAAGAGTGTTCCCACTTCAGTTACATGGAGTTCTTTCTGTGTGGAGTTTGCATGTTCTCCAGGTGTCTGGGTGGGTTTCCTCTGGCTTCCTCCCACCATCTGTGTGTTTGTTTTTCTCTGTGTCCTTCTGTGACGGACTGACCACCTGTCCGGGGTGAACCCCCACCTCTTGCCCTGGGATAGGCTCCAGCCCCTGTGCTATCCAGCAAGGAATAAGGGATATAGGTAATGGATGGATGGATAGTAAAGGATGTATGGTCAGCGTCTTTCATCTTTGAAGGGATTTAACTTTGGCGCCCCCTTGTGGAATTAACGTTCTCCAACAGAAAAAGGCTAACTGCATACACAATGAGCAGGAACAATCTACTTGATGGCCTCAGGAGTAGAGAGGCCTCCATCAAGAAGGTTGAGTAGGATATATGAGCTGGCCTGAAGCTGGCCAGAGTTCCAAAGAGTCGACGACTAGCTTAAAGGTCCCTCTGCTGTAAATCAGATCATTTGTCAAATGTCTTATTTATTTTCAATTTTTTCCCTGACCTCTGTGAACAAAAGAAAGTGTATGACCGTATTACAGGTCGCAGTGTAGGGAACATGCTGTGGCTGTGCTGAGTATTTACATTTAGCCCTTTGACATTGTTGAAGACTATTTGAAAATCACGCAAAGAAAATCCTAAGCTTATTGATATTTAGGATGAAACGAGCTGCTTGTGCGCTTGTCTCCCTGCCAAATGACATCCAAGTGGGTTAGAAAGTCACAGTGACAGGGTTAAAAAGCACACTTTTTCCTTTAGAATTAAAATAAACCTTCCCCGAAGCACTGGGAATCTGAAATATTTTTGCAACAAGGAACAACCATTTTCACATTGTATATCATTTTACCATGGTGAGCACAAACTATTAAATAAATGATCAGAATATAATATCTCAATGGAACTTGACATTGTTGACATTCTCTGACATTTAACTTCATCCATAGCCTACGTTCTTATCTGCCCGTACTAGGGCGGGTGAATTGATTTTCTAAGGCCAAAAAAGTTCTTCTAATCTCTAAAGGAATAACTGGCCAATCACAGTACATACTAATGTCAGGGTAAAATGACAGTAAAATCTAGAATCGGCACTGTATATAAGAGTGTTGAAGGTAGCGGATGCTGTTTCCTCACATCCTTCCACTAGAAAAACCCCCAGGTCACGTAGTCTAAATCTGCAATTCATGCCGGTGTTGTCAGAGTCATGGCAGCAGCTTGGACGGTGAATGCAGCTATGCTTATCTGTCGCTTGACTTCCTGCCAGGCCTTCTCTTGGTCAGCTGAATGCTCGATGTCAAACAATGCGTCGTAGATCCCAGGGAAAGACTCCCCAGCATATTTGTTATGGCTGCTTGGAGCAAAAATCACGTGCCTGAAACGGAGGGGCGGGGGTAAGAGGAAGAGTAGTGTTGTGTTTAGGAATGTACTGAAGACATATGAGACAACATATTGTACAGTAATTAAAAGTATGCTCAGGATGAGCAGGAAGAAGTTGGACTAGGTCATCATTTTTTGAGCTAGTTATGGTGCAGCTCTTTTTGAGCTGCCCTATAACCTCCTACAACAAGGTGTTGTTTCTGATTATATTCTCCATCAACTCTGTGGCGATTTAGTATTTAGGCGTTGTGAAAATAGCGAGGTTACTGTCAGAGTTCATCGAAATTCTTAAAAAAAATTGGCACCAGTCTTCTTTTGACTAATCGAATTCTGAACTACTATTGGCGCGCATGATAAAGGGAAAATTGATGTTTTAGGACAAATAACGTGATCAATCAGCCCACCTTTAGAAAAAAAATGTTTGTTCCGAAATGTGTTGTAGAAAAAAAGAAAGTACCAAAACACCAGCATGAATGTACTTCAGAGCATCACAGATCTGAAATTCCTCAGAAAGCTGAAAAAATAGCTGTAAGGCATTTGTGGTTTACTGTGTCCTAGTTAAAGCTCCATAATCACCCTGGTGTCGTTCAGTAACACCCACAAACATCCATGAAACTTTTTCATTTGTTATAGAAAAAAGTAAAAACCTTGCTCTACAGGAGAAGTAAAATCATCAAGGCCTGGATGCGCTGTGGCAGTTTTACCAAATTTACCAACAAGGAGAACAAAAATGTTTTTTGTAAAGATGCTGTTCGCTCTGACATAAGCAGATAACGTGTTTTATTTAGAATCCCTCTCGACTCCCCATTTGAGACGGAAGCACACTTCAGCAGGCCTGGTGATGAAACAGAACTCTTAGACTGCTTAGAAAAAGTGGGTGGGAGAAAAATACAATCGTAGGGTGAGCTGCCTTGGATGTTTAGTGGGATGCTGCCTCAAAGTTCGGACAAGACAACTATAGCACACTATATGAATCTCACTAGTTGTTGAGATTTGTCTTATAGTGTCAAGAAAAAAGGGATGATAGTGTTTAGATGTGTGTTGTTGTGAGTCCAACCTGTAAAATGGTCTTCCAGGTAAGCCAAGAGGGTCAATAAAGGCTCTCTCGAGGTACATGAGTTGATCATTTATGATCCGGACCTGTAGAGGACTGCAGACATACCCTCAAAATGTCATTACATCTCCAACCATCTCGGACCACATGTCCTGGCCCATCACATGTTTCCAGCATTTTGTAGATTGGAGCGTGAAGCCTAACTTTTCTAAATTTGTTGTGCCACGTGATACATGTAACAAGTTAAACACAATTACTCTTCTCTGTTGAGGGTCTGCAGGCGCTCATGGAAATCCCTGGCTGCAACTGAGAAGTTCTGCACGGCAGAAAAAAGAGGATCTGGACAAAGACAAAAAAAAAAAAAAACGTGATGTGTAAAAAAAAAAGGATCAAATCTAAAATGACATTCCACTGAGGGACTGCTGCGCCAAACATACCATATAATATACGGTGAACATCAACTCACCAAAGGACACCTGGTACGTCTCCATCTGCTCTGGGTTCCTCTGCGCCAGCTGTGCGATCCTCTCTGCGTATTTCCTCAGTGAGTCTGCATACTCGTTAGCATCAAGAGGGAGCAGCAGAGAATCAGCCAAAAGGAAAATTAGCCCGCCTCTTACTTGGGCCACCGTCCGTAGCCTCTTGAATGACGGGTCGTAAAACTTCTCCACGATCTCAAAGGTTTCATACACACTGTGGTAGACTGGATAGCTGCTGTATCGCTCTGTTTTCTGCGTGGACACACACACAAAAGGCTACATGTATGCTCGTAGAAACACCCGCTTCAAGCAGGTTATCCTTGTCTTTCACAGGGACAACAACTCAAAACCATTGGGCAACGTACAATCAGTTGTGTAACTGCCAAACAGTGATAACACACCCATCTGAAAACCTTGTTACCTTGTTCTTGGTGTATCTTGCTCTGCCTGCTGCAATTCCCAAACGAATAAAATAGGCCTCAAAATCACTGCCTGACCCCAGTTTGCTGATCCTACAGCACAGGACAGCGAAGGACAGACCGATTCATTGATTTTTCGATTAGCGTTGATGTGCCAGCTGTGTGTTTTTGTTTTATTTATTGTGGGGCACACAAAAATCTGAAAGTTGTTTCCATACATTTGGTGTCCATTCTGTCCCATGTTTAAACCTTAAGGATGATGAATGGGAAGCTCCAGATACCTCATGATTCCTATGAGCAGCTGGAGCATTGTCCTCTCCGACCCCATTTCCTTAACACCACATTTTGGTTGCAGTTCATAAGCATGAGACTCTGTACCTGGGTGCATCACGGTCACTGGTCCAGTTGTCCCTCCTATGCCAACTCTCATACAAAGAAATTCCCTCCTCTCCATCTTCTGGACTGACTACCTAAACAAAAAGTCAGAGAAAGACTTTGTCCCAACGATATTGGAGACATAACAGGAAGGCAAAAGTGAACCATATCTCAGTTTCCTTCTGTGTCAGGTGAGTTGTGTGTTTAAACCGGCCCACCTGCTTTGTGAGGTCGTACACCAGAGTGTGCAGCGATGGAGTGCAGTCAACCCTCAGAGTGTACATACCTGAAGTTTAGAGAAACACAGACTCACTCATGGCCAAATTAAAACCAATTATGGCTCAAATGACTGGAATTTATATATTTTAAACTGAACTAAATCTGACACCAATACAATGGTGCTCACCCTCTATGGCGGAGTCTGCATTGATGTAAGCCACGGCTCTCTCCTGTAGCAGCTTGGCATTGTCCTATTGAAAGTGACAACACAGATTGGATGTGTGTGTTTGCGTGTGTTTAAAAGTGTGTGTGCTGGTGCATGTGTATGGTACCTCTGCCCATTCTGTAGATCCCAGTAGTCCGAACTCCTCTGCATCCCAGCTGGCAAAAACTATAGTCCTCCTGGGCCTCCAGCCTACACACACAGACACACAAACACACTGAGTCACTGGGCGCTGACACCATCATCCCTTCTTTCGCACACTTTCAGAATGGCACCTTTTCCCAGCAGCTTGCCAGCACTTCTCACAGTTTCGTGGACCACTGCAGCACCAGACATGGGATCTATCCCGCCGAACACCCAGGCGTCGCGGTGCCCACCCAGGATCACATATCTGTCTGCACAAATCCACCAGCAGCAGGAGTTTAAAGAGAAGTGAAAGGCAGAAACACTGAGATAATCTGTTTTCTAATTTCAGAGGGTAAAAGAAGTCTTTGTGTGTCTCCGGAGATTAAAATAGAACTGAAGCAGTCATTACCCCTGCCCTCAGGGACCAGACTGATTCACTCAAGACCAGTGTGGATGTGGGTTTGCTGTTACTTCTATGTACCTGGCTCCAGAGCTCCTCGGATCTTTCCAATGACGTTGTATATCCTGGTTACCTTGTTGTCACTGTGGATGTTCATACGCACCGACCTGCCATATAAACAGGCAAAAACTGTTAACACATTTGATGCTTTGGCAGACACGGCAAATAAGGAATAGCAAGATAACTAGTTGACTGCTCCATAGAATGCGGAACATTAATTTTTTCTTCATTCAAAAGCAATAAAGGATGACCTCTGCCCTTGTTCTTCCGAATGCTCCCTAACATGACATATTTGTGCAGTTCAGTGCATCAATGTGTGTCACAAACGAGACGCACAAGAGACCACATTGTAGTTCAGTTGGCTGCTTGCCACTGCAGGGTCATTTTATCTGAAGAGCCACAGAACGGGGGAGACACTTAAAGCACTAAAGTGGGAAGTGAAAACAAGTGAAGTGGCAAAGGATACTGTTAACCAGAGAGTAAAAAGGACTATTCTGAGGCAACATGAAAGGTAGGAGAGCCACACTACAGCAAAGTGCAGAGAACACAGGCAGCCACTTCAACATTACACATGATGACACCTTTGGATCTGCACTTACTGGGTCCTGTGGTCATCTACAAAGCCCGGGCCAGTCCTGTAGGAGACATTTAGAGCTCCCTTCCAGCTGTCGGGTGGAATCTGTCCTCCCATGTTCCTGTTAAATGCAGTAAAATGGTGTTTAAACCATATACGATGTAAATAATATAAAATATTTCTTTCTTGTCGTAAACTGAACTGAAAGAGGAATTAAAACAGAGTCTCTCAGTATGAACCTGAATCACCTTGACATTGCAAACAACGTACTGTTTGCAATGTCATTTATAAAACCGTACTTCAGCAGGTGAATTGCATCATGGAAGCCGATTGGATGCACCGGAATGTTGGGGAGTCCCACTGCGTCCTCCAAGCTGAATCTGTAGGTGTATTCTGTAAAAGAGAAGATGAGTCTGAGTCTTAAAACTCACTGTATGGACAGTCTCATTAGCAAAATGAACAGCGTAACACACCTTTGGCAGGATAACCTGGTGTGAGTGGGTCTCCAGCTCCATTCAGGTTGAGAACATTTCCTCTCTGAACTCCTCCACCAGGAATGTTCCAGCCATCGGGGTAGGCCTGCACACAAACACAAATTTAAATACAGGATGACAGCTCAATTATCTGTTCCTTATTATTAAAACATATTAATGGTTAAACTATGAAATATGATGAAAGTTTTTCTTTTGAAACGCCTACTTGGACTCCAGCAGCCCAGTAATCTGCTGGGTCAGAGAACATAATGATCCCCTTTGCTCCGGCCAACATGGCATTTTTTACCTGGAAGACAGACAGGTGGACGGCTTTTATCATTTGACGACAGACTGTCTCTATCATATTACTACTGTATTAAATGTAAACATATATAAAACATTTTAAGACAGCACAAATATCATCAGCAGTTGGACTTCCCCTTACTTTATTGCCTCTGAATATTTTGCCATATCTGACGATGACAATCTTCCCGGTTACGTTGATTCCCATTTCCCTCTGTAGCTGGAAGAAGTCCTCGGTTCGGCCGTAGTTCACATACACCAACTCCCCCTAGAAACATGAATCGGAGCGATATTAGATTTCTGTTTGTTGTTTAAAGATTGTGTGTGTTTTCTGTGTACCTGAGGTTGTCCTTTGGCAGAATAAGCACTGTATGGAGGCACAATGTTGGAAATGTCTTCATAACCAGGTGGAATGGGCTCTGCCAGTGAAGTGTTATAAATCTGTGAGAACAAATCATAATGATGTTAGTAAAAAAATGTTGGGTGATTTACCTGATCTCTACAAAAACATGTAGTTAATTTGACTCTCTGACCTTATGGATTTTTCGCCATTTTTCATAACAAACTTACAGTAGCTCTGCTCAGAATCTCTGTTGCTGCATTTTCTTTTGTTTGTTCTTATTCCATTCAATTCTTGCCCTTTAGCTGGAGCAGGAATAAGCATCTCTTACATTTTGATGCTGAATCCATAAAAAAAACCTGCAACTGCTGCTGCTGTGCTTTAGGGTTTTTCATCTGTTTTGTTCTAAAATTCGCTCTCCTCATGTATCCAGGTTTGTGTCCCAGCCTCCTGCCAGTTTTCTGTATCACGTGTGTTCAATTAGTCTATCAGTCTTGGAGTATTTATAGTACAAAATTCTCTCCTTCCAGCTGCCAAGTTGTCTGTGTTTTGTGCAGAGTTTTCTTGTTTTTTCCAGTTATATTTTAGGTTCCTGGATGGATTTATTCATTGTGCTCTTCTCAGAGTTGATCATTTATGCATTGCAAATTGCAAACAAATTCTAAATAAATCTCGTTTGTTTATTAAAACGCTGTCAGCGCATCATGGATAATGTTACAAATGTTACACTTTTATGTCACGTTCTTAAGGCCGAACCTTGAATTATGGACACCCTCCCATAGTCAAGTCATTTGTTGCCTCTGTGTATCATTATGTCTTGTAGTAAGGCAGAAGGTCTGTCTCACATGAGACCATAAAAGGACTTTGGACATGAACAAAGGCTGTCACGAAGGTGTTAGGAGGAGCTCGTGGAGTTGTGTGTACCTCTGTTCTCTCCGCTTTGCAAACACACTTTAAGTTGGTCAGGGATTTGTACTGAGCCAGTGTCATTGTTCAAATGTGTGAAGAAACTGACCTCCTTTTATATGCAGTCGCAAAGGTAGTAAGTGTGGAACATGGAGTATTTCCTCAAAATGTTTAGAATAGCAAATCAAGTTATTGACACCGAATATTTGGCACTGAAAGCACTTTTAAATCAGTTAGGGAACAGTCACATAACACAGAACATAATATCAGAAATATTCAAGACATGTACTTTCTGTTTTTCTACTATAATGTACCTCATGTCCACGCTGGTCAACTATTGAGATGTAGTTGGGCCGAGACTCGTTTGGATAGGACAAAAGGACGTCATAGGGCACCATCTCCACCGAGTCTAATCCAAACTGCTGCCACTCCCCTTTGATCTGCTCTGCGTATTTCAGGTTCTGCTCTGTGCCAGCCAGGTGGGGGAGGCGGGTAAATTTTCTGTTAAGTAGAAGTCGAAATAAACTGTGACCCTCATGTGGTCTTGTGTACTTGGAGAATAAAATAAGCCTATTCAGTTAGCTGTCTCTTGATCAGCTTTGCCTTGACACAGCTTGACCCACATTTTGCCTTCCTCCTTGCTTGTTATTGTCAGTGGTGTTGTGAATCAGAATATTTTTGTGCATGGGAAAGATTTGTGATATATCAAAAGATTATTTTAATTGAGAACAAGAACAAACATTGAATTGAACCTTGAAGAATTTAACCTTAGCTAATTTAGAACAATGTTTTAGGTTTCTGATTTAAAAGCTGATCTGAATCAGTATTTTTAGCTTCCTATGTAGATCTGTTGTAGAAGTGAGAGACCTGACCTCTTAGAAAACATTAGTACCACTCCCTTAATGTGTCTTCAGCATGTGCTACCGGACAGTCCACTTTGACTAATTGGTAGCAGTTTTTTTTATTTTTTACCTGAGATGTTCTCTGATCTGGTCTGTCTTCATTTCATCTAAAAACTCCCTCAGATACTGGCTGGAGGCTTTCTCATTCTCAGTGTTCATTTGCGTGGGCTTTGCAAACCAGCCTGCAGCAAACACAGACATGAACAACAAAATGAAACAGTTAGTGTTTATGACATCACTGGGTCTCTCGATGCACATTAGAGTAGATGAATGACTTTGTCACGTGTTTTAAAAAGACTATTTTCGAGATAGATTACTGCGATACCACAGTTGCATCGCAGGAAAGACTGCAGAGTCTCATCTGCTCAACGACACACTCACTGCCCTCACCAACTTTCACTGCTATGTATGATACCTGTGATTATGGACTGTGAGTGTTAACCTGCTGTGAGCATAAAGACGTGAAATGTGTCATTCTGATGACAAACCACGGCTCACCTGGAAATTACACAGCACTAGTGCTCATCCAAGTAACTTCATAAATGCATGTTTAGTTCAGTAGTTACGTTTACTCCAATCCAAGTTATCTGTCATGAACACCCTTTCCTTTAGCTATTTTCTAATACAATCAAACACAACATTTTAGTCAGGTCTTTTGTCTGCGTCTTACCTATGATGAAGCCCATTAAGAACAAGGCAGTCACAATCAAAACCCACCAGATCCAACAGATCAACCTGCTCTCCCTCTTCATTTTAAAACTCTACGTCCCAAAGGAGTCCACACACTGACACTACTGGCTCTGAGCACAGACAAAGATAGTGTGTAATTTGTTTAAGTGGTGCACGGAGGGGGAATGTCAGAGTGAGTTGGAGTGAGACGGAGAGAAAGGGGGAGGGGAGAGTAGGTGACAATTTCTAGCTGAAAAAGGGAGTGAGTAAAAAGCTGGGAGAGGGAGCTTGTCATTGGTGCTAAGCTCTGTCAGTGCACACACTGCTGTCCTGTGCTCACTGGCTGTTCTTGTGCTGACACTGTATTACTCTTAGTGAGTGCGGAGGAATGCTCTGAAGAAACAAAGTTTATATTTATTGAACAGGGAAGTCAAGAGTAAAGACTGGGTTTCTCGGGTGAAATAGGACAACTATATATTCTACGGGTCCTCAGCTCATGAAAAAAGGTTTATTAAGAGTTTGAAAGAGCTTTTAATGAGTTTTATTTATGTTAGTGGTTACCATGCATTAAAGCAACTATACTGCGTTATAGTGATCAGACCTTTTTCTAAACAAATAAAGAGGATGTCTGGAATAATAAAGGCAATAAAAAATGTGGATCTTTCTTAACAGAACACGATTCACTGAAGAGGCATGAAACACAAAAAAGCATCTGTAGATGGAAGAAACATGCACCTGTTTGTAAAAAGATAGCTCAAAGCTAGATGAATGCCAAGGATTTCAATCAAATGACATTTCTACAGCTGTAGAAACTTTCAGACTCATTGTATGAAAGCTCATATCTACAAAGAAATATGCATGTGTATAAAAAGTGCACGTACACTTTGTTAAAAAATGTTGACTTTGTTTTCCTGATAATAAACTTTTTACTCTCTAGGCTATATGTTTCCTGACATGTCTAAGAAGCTGACGCCAAGATGATCTTGCTAATGGCTGTCCACCACTGAATCTTCAAATTAACAAAAATATTTAGGTTTGGTTCATGGACACGCTATACCACTGGATCATTGCATTGCTTGAAGTAGTCAAACATGTTTTCCCACATTACCCTCGGGAGAAGGCCCAGCAGGCTTGACCCCTCCTGGCTCTATGAATAGCTGTGTTGATGGGAGGATGGTTCTTTCAAACGATGAGCTGGAAAATTAAGTGGGGAGGAGGCTCTCAGGAATGTTGGAAATAAAAACAGACCACAGACTCTTTGTCGATATGTTGTTTGACTGATATCTAACTAAATTAAGGGCCTTTTTTGTGATGTTATTATTTTTTCCATGCTAATTGTTGTTTGCCTGATATAGTCCTACTAGATAATGTTATAGTGTTAGATATTATGGCCATTACACACTCAAATGGTAGTGCTTACACTTTTCTGTGGTTTTAAAGTCACTTCAGTTGCATGTTCTTGCATTCAAAGTTCACATGAGGCTCCAATCCCAAATTACTCATCCTATGTGTTCAAGAACAAAGAATATCTTTGGAGCAAGTAGACAGCTCACATATTTGTCAGTGAAAACGTATATGTCCTGAAAGGGTGTCGAGAGTTAGGATAATATTGAGGAAGAGACACTGAGTCCCCTTTGCAAAATCAGTGAAAAATAGTACACCAATAGGGACTTTTTTGGTATTTTTCAGTAAATGATTTAAAACAAAAGGACTCTTATGTGAAATATTGTTAAACCACAAAAAAACACTAAGCTCTTTGATAACATTTGTTGGGGAGATAACATGGTTCGAGAGGTATTTAATGTGTGTTGAACCATTCTTGCGTTCTACCATTGGTCAAAGGCAATAAATGTATTTTATAAATTCCAGTGTATTCATCTTATCATGGTGATGATGATTTTAATAAACCATGATTGAAAAATTTACAGAGTTGCTATATTGTAAGACACATTTTGATTTAAACATCTTCTTACTAAATAATTTTCAACAAAATGTATGAATAAGTATCAGTTCTTCGTTAAGAGCTTACAAACTTTGTCAATAAGCCTTCTCCTTCGAAGACTCTTCTCTATGAAAACTGGTCTATGCCTCCCTCTAGTGGCAGAAAGGGGCATTGACGGGCAGTGAAGCGATGCTCATTGTTCTCCGTCTGTTTGCTCAGCTGTTTATTTAATTATTTAATTCGATCTCGAACAGTTGTTGTTTTGCATTGTTTTTGATTCACGTACACCATCAGCATTCTTTCTGACGACAGTGGTAGGAAAAACCTGGCAGTGCGGAGGATGCAGGTGGACCAGCGGGAGCTGCCCCGACCTGCCGATGGGGGGGACCGGGGACGGGGGACGGGGGGCGGAGAGCCAGAGCCGAGAGGGGCGGCCTGACGGCGGACAGCAGGGGACGGAGCGGAGCAGACGCCGGCCGGTGTGTGGGCGCACAGGAGCACAGAGCCGCGGCGTGTGTGTGTGTGTTGGGGGGGGACACACACGGGCTCTTCGACTTCTCGGCTGGACCGTAACTTCGGTGGAGAGCTTGTCAGCCACAGCGGCCGAGCCCCTCAGAGGCGCCATGGCCGTTTTGGAGCGGAGCTGGGTCGCCAACGAAGGAGGGAAACACTTGGTCCTGGTGGGGGAGAGCTTTGTCACACACTTTTAAACTGCTCAACTGGTAGAACAAATGTTCCAGCAGCTAACGAGGCAGATGCCTTGTAGAAAAAAATGTCCACGAAATGCTTACTTGCCTTTAGTTTGTGACAAACAAAAGAAGTTTTGCTACACGTAAAAAGTAGAACCACTTTTTCTTATCTAGAAGACGGAATGTACGGTAACGCTTCCTAACGTGACAAAAGCATTTGAGAAAATAGTAGTTTTTAAAATAGTTTTTGTTTTATTTCCTGTCAGCGTGCCTTTGTGGAGCAGCCTCAGAGCTCCCTGTTTTTGTGTGTGTACAGATGCTGTGGCTGGGAGCCAACACCTGGCTGTTCCTCAACACTTTCCTGATGTACTCCACTGGGCCACAGTACCACTACCTCTACAAAATGCTTGGGGTGAGTAGCACTTGTGTTGTTCTGCCGTGATCTGCTATTGAACAGATGTTTTGCTCCTGGCCTTCCATGCATGGGGAGGTTTTGTGGTGGATGTTTGAGATTCATTTGCAGTTCTGAGGAGCCTCCTTTGGGACTTTACATTTTGTGACAGGTGCTAGCCAGCTCTGCGTTTGTGTGTGTCTGTGATTCTGTGCAGACTGTAGAATCAGCTCTCTGTGATGTTAACATGGCCTGACTCACAAAAAAACAGAGAATCTTGATTAGAATCTGGCCCTCGCTGACTCATGTGTAGTAATTTTTGTCACAAGTTCTTGATGCAGTGTCTGGATGTGTCTCTCTTGAAGCATGCTGAGTGAGTGAAAGCCCTCTTTGTCTTTGCTGAACATTACAAAAAAAAAATACCACAGACATTACTGCCGGTTGTTCAGTGCTCTCAACCAGCTCCACTTTGCATCAGCAGTAAAACTACTCCTCTACAAGAACCCCCCAAATGTCCAATAGCTTCACATGATTTTACAGCTGAATATAAAAAAAAAAACTGTTCTTTTTATGGGATCAAAAAGTCCAGATAATATGCCAAACTCATTTCCCAGTTTGTATTTCTCTGCTTTTTCATTCTGTTGTTCACTTTTGAGTTCCTCCCACAAGTAGTGCATGTGATGAAGGCAAGGAAACATTCCATGGATGAAAGAATTGAAGCTACCTGCGTCTGACAAAAGGATCTTCACAGATCCAAGCATGAATTCTACAATGGGTGCACATGTTCATCGTTGATCAAAACCTGCTGGCCACTGGCCGAAAGGCAGGGTACACCCTGGACATGTCACCTATCCATCACAGGGCTTACAGTTATTCCTTGATATGTCCTTAAAGTTGCTTAACTGAAACTCACTTCCTGGTCACAAAGAGGAGATGGAGCCTTTTATTTAAATACAGTTTATTAAGAAGACTTTAGTCAATATATAGTCAGTATATCGTCCAATGACAGAGATAGGAGATGTGTGCTGGTGAGTTCAAAACCTCTTGTGGAGATTATTCTCAAGTTGTTCCTTGTCTTAAGGATATATCCTTGTGTCTCTTAGTTGATTCTAATAGATCACCTCATTCTAAGGGCTTCCGGGTAAAAGTAGCTCATCGGTCACCGGCATTTTCTTATTACCTGGAAGTTGTCTGAGCTGATCAGTGAAACGGGAGTGTCATGGATGTGTAGTAAAAGTATAGTTTAACGGTAAGTTTGAAATGAATCGAGTCGAGAAAACCAACAAACTCAATGGCAGGGAGGAAAAGAGGGAAAATATCCTCAGTGGTACTGAGCAGCATGTGTGAACTGTTGCACTCCCTGAACAGTGGGAGGCAAAGGGGAAAAGGGGGCAAGTGTGGGCATGCCGCTGGTTTGACTGAATGCTTCGCCAGAGGGTTTAAGTTCATGCGGGGCTATCCGCACGCCTGCAGTTGCATATATTAGACATTCAGTAAGGCGAGATGCAATTCAAAGTCTTTATTCTTCAAAATAACCTCAAATTGCTCCTTATCTCATTCGCCAGTATGTCTCTGCATGCATGGTTGTGTTTGTTGAGATAGCTTAGGGTGTTGGGGATGTCCAGACAGCTGGATCTACCAGCTCTGCATGTGGAGGAGATCAGATATCAACTTTGGAACCTGTGTTTGAGCGTGTGTTGTCTGGGAGAGGTTTGTAAAGATTAAAGACATCAGACATTGGAATCGTGTTGAGATTCAAGCGTTGGCCTGCTCCCTGCAGCAGCACTGTATTTCAGCATCCGCTCACCTTTTCCTCATGAAGTAGTTTGGGATGTATGAATGTGCTAAATGGCCCAGCCCACATCTACACCAATCCCCAGCTGATCCTCTCTGTTTTGTCTGTATCCAAAGTTAGTTCCTGTTAAGGCTGTTGACTCCTGAGCTCTGGGCTAGGCAAACTTAATTAGTCTTTTTCCTGACTTGATCCAGGCTTCCATGTCCTGCTCAGCCGGTTTCTTAGTCCCACTTCTACTATGTTCCCCAGTTTGCTTTGGCTAATCTCTTATAGTTTGCCATCTTATTCTTTCATTTGCTTCTTAAATGTTTGGGCATATCCTGTCTGAACTAAGGATTCTTCTTGAAAATAATCAATGTAGAGCATAAAATGTATCTTTGAGGATGTAAGTGTTGTAGAAATCCTCAATCACAGCATGTAAAGACAACTCTGGTCTTTGATCTGCTGTGTAAGGCATGAAATACACACAAGAAGCAGGTTAATATTGTTAAAAACTTGATCCCAGCTGACAAGAGGAGGTATCTTTTCACAGCTTGTATCTACACCCTTGTTAGCCTTGATCCCTTCCTTAAAAACAAGATCATAGAAATGTCACCCCCCCTCCCAAAAGCCTTATTATGCACTGAGTTATAGTACAGTTACTATCTTTGCATGCCCCCAGGTTCGACTACTAAACTGTACACTGAGATTTATAAACGTAGATTATACAGCTGACATCCTTCACATGTCACGCTGAAGAAAAGCCCCCTTTTTCATCTGGGTATCAAAGCCTGTCTTGACACGTTATTTTAAGAGGTGCTCCAACCTGAGCTAACCCATAACAAACAGGGCATTCATTGTTAAGTACATGGTTTTTGCATACAGAGTATCCCGGTTTGGTTCTTTCACAATTTTTTTAACTTTTATCTGGAAGTAGCAGTAACATGCAATAAGTCATTATTTTCTAAAGATTCCTGATTTTTTTGTTTGCCATTGTCCTCTCGAAACAAAAGCTGGTTACTCTATTTAATGGGCCAGCCACAGCTGAATAACACCAAATGATGAAGGGTCAAAGTGTGGGCAATGAAGTCAGACATCAAACTCTTAGCTATTCTACTCTTGGTAATCCAAATCTTAAAAGGAACAGTAAAGTTTGCATCCTAATCAGTTTACTTCCACTGAATCAGGCCTAATTATGTCAGCCTGCGTTAACTGTGGGCATGTGTGTGTGTGTGTGTGTGTCTTTCCCAGCTTGGACTGTGCATCAGCAGGGCATCTGCATCCGTGCTGAACCTGAACTGCAGCCTGGTGCTGTTGCCCATGTGTCGCTCCCTGCTCACCTTTATACGAGGAACACACATGGTAAGACTCATGTGAAAGGACTATCGTACAACAGCGTGGTGTGGAGGAGGTTTGACCATGATTCCCCTCAGAGGAATTTAATGAAACAGGCATGGTTTAACTGGATGTTTTATGAGCCTCAAGACTAATTTACTTTAACCACAAGTAGCAGGTTAAAAGAAGCAGATAGTTGCTAAAGTAACAAGTTACAACAATATGGACTGGTTATAAAAAAAGTCCTGATCCACAGCCACATGAATAATTCTCTTGTTACACGCATTCATTCAGGTTTCAACCAGGAAGACACGCAGATTACTGGACAAGAGCAAGACCTTTCATGTTGCATGTGGCGTCGCTATTTGCATCTTTTCTGGTAAAAAAACACTTCTTGTTGAGTCAATCCTGAGTGTGCAAACAAGTGCAAACAAATGCTAGATCTTTTTTGCTGGTGGTGTCTGCGTGTGTTTTGGAGGAGGGTTATGATTGTGTTTTCTATCTTTGTGAGTAGCCTCAGGCAGCTTCCAGGCCTGTTGGTCCCTGAATTACAGACCTCTTACTCATCTATGTAGGGAGTATTTTTGCATCTACAGGAACATGCTGATACAATTTTATTAACAAGTAAACTGAACACACAGCACTTACTGCCTCATGCTGTAGGTTTCTCCTCTGTGGCCCTGCTTTGGTCTTAGTGTCTGATGACTAAGAGCAACTGCTGTGAGAGAAAATAATTAGGCAGCATGTAGGAGACTGTTTTGGCTCATGCTTGTTTTAAAACTTTTCCAAAGAGAAAAGAGATTAAAATCTGGTACTGTTAGCCTATCAGATACACCATAAGGCAGCAGCATCTGTAAATAACAGGGATTACTCAAATTAATTAAGTACTCTTGTTTGTTTTCCTCAGTTTACCACCTTTGCCATGTCCAGATAATGTAATATACTTCCTATTTCCAATAGCAAATAAGTTGTTGTGGTCCAAAAATATTTATTCAGTTGTATATGTCTGTCAGAGGTGGAGATCTGCTTTTAAAATGGTGGAGTACACAACCGTGTAAGCGTGATGGAAATAACCATTCTCTTTTAAATTAAATTAGTACTGATTTTGATTAGATCTAACAAAGAATCTTTAACAGGGGATAGTTAAAAAAAGACACAAAGAATGAGAAGACAAGCTATCTCCGTGATAGCAGACACATGCACAGATCCTCCACTGGGGAAAGTTTTGTTGTTCTGGGGAAGTTCCAAGACAATACATGAGAAGAGCCAGCAGGATGGGGGAGAGACGGTGAGAAGAAAAGAGACTGAGGGGGTATGGGGGGAAGAGAAAAAGGGCCCTTGTGTGTTGTGATTACACCCTCTTAAGTCCATCAGCTGTTCAATGGTTGCGTTGTTAGCCAGTGATGTCACAGCAGAGTTTTTGGAGTTTGGGTGTGTGTCAACAAGTTTGCTTTTCCGCTGACCGGACGTCTTTATTTGCTGATGCCTGTGCACAGACACATGTGCTTTAATGCTCTTTCTTATCTCCCAGTCGTGCACGTCTCGGCCCACCTGGTGAATGTGGCTAACTTCAGCACAAGCTACTCAGATGACTTCCCTGCTCTCAACTTCGCTCGCTACAGAGGAGAGGTGAGTCTCAAATGCATGTGGATTTGTGCTCACTTTCCCAGACCGCTTACCTCAACCATCCCTATAACACATCTGACATGCTAAGGCTGGGATATTTTATTGTTCCAGTAATATGTTTCTTAACAGTGACCTTATATCCTCAAAAAAAATCAGCATTTAAGTATGTGCACCAACTGTGTCCTCACTTTCTGATTGTTAAGGTGCTTTGAAAGGAATGTAGCTCCTGTTGAGTTACTATGACTGCAGTTATACCCTTAAAAATACCAGCTACTTGACTCTTAAATGAGGAAATAAAGCAGGCATTTATCACAACTCCAAACAGTTGTTGGGTTACCTTAAAGAAAACCAAAAACTCTGAACTTCGGCTCTCCCAATGCTGTTCAAAACTTATACTGTTTCTATAAAAAGGATGCTGAAGATGACACTGTTGTGTTTTCTCTCTTTTTCTTTTTTAGGACCCCAAGGTGATTATTTTGACTACAAGTAAGAACAGTTTATTAGAAACTATAGTGCTGAAAGTAGATCATTTTCCAGCTTCTTATTGTCATATCTGTATAAAGTCCATTAGCCCTGAAAGAGAGAAATGCTTTGTCATTTCTAATTTGAGCATTTTTTACCGATAGATTTGTTTAGGAAAATCCCAGTGAGCAGACCCATCTGCTATTCAAGGACTTTAAGGGGGTTTAACTGTTAACTCTTGTGTTTTCTTTTTCTCTGCTCCGTAATCGGACAATTCTCATCAGTTCCGGGAGTCACCGGTGTCCTTTTGGTTCTCATCCTCCTCCTAATGTTCATGTCCTCCTCCTACTGCATACGGTAGGTTAAACCAACAACCAATCCACAACATTTTCACACGCTTTGCCTGAGTAAAAAAACTACTATGGCATGTGTAGCCTAAAGATAGTGGATGTCAGATTGGTGGGAAGCAACAGGTTAATACAGCTCATTTTGTGTTGATAATCCAAAAGCCTTGAGTCATTTTATTAGTGTGTGACATGTGTCAGAAATGTTTTATTTTGATTGTCTTGAATAAAAAAAACATTTGAGACAGATAGGCCTCTTTTTTCAGATTATGTGTGGTTGCTCTTTTCTTTCTACCTGAGTTGACGTCTCAGCTTGAGTAGGACGTAGACGAAAAGCAGATAAGACAAGCAGACACTTAGCACATCACAGCTCTGTCATTACTCAGGTCACAGTGGGTCACCCACAGGGCAGGTGTGTGAAACGTCTGTGTGCATGTGTGTGTTTGTGTGCGTGTATTAGTCTTCATGCTTCCTTCAGTAAAATGAACAGAGGATAAGAGGCTTTTCCAGTCCACTTAGGGCACTAGATAAGAGGTAGCTATCATCAGTGGGATGATGGCCACTGAACACAAGAGGAGAATTGTGCTCTAACTTAAAATGTCTGGAAAATAATGTTTCTTTTTTGACGTTACATTTCTTTTTTCTCCCACTCAGATTTACAGAAGTTGGATAGGTGTGCTCATATTTTCTTATTGCAAATCATACAGTTTTGTAGATATGCTCTTTTTATTTGGGCCCCTGAAAGAAATTTAGTTAAACATGCATAATTTATTATGTACAGTAGCAGTGAATAAAAAACTGGGGTTGTGAAAGTGGTATGTCATCAACGTATCTGAGTTGATCTTTGTTAATTTTTCTTTTTAATGCTTTAACAAAACAAGCTGAATTTAGAGGGGAAGTAAAACAGGGGTTTTATAGTGGTAATGACTGGGTTTATGGTGCTCTGTTGTGTGCAGTGACCCTCTTTTCTATTGACCTCTGACAGCCGGCTTTTAAGTTAATCTGTTTGGTTCAGAAGGTGCTGGCTCCTCCTTTTTTTGTTTCTCTATCACATATGACCAAGTCAGCATTCCCCTCTTTTTTCCCTTTTTTTCCTGATATCTTTAAAAAAAGATATGTAAAAGATAACCCCAATTTTTGTCTTTGCCTCTTCTAGGATGTCCAACTATGAGATCTTCTGGTACACACACAACCTTTTTATTGTTTTCTACATCATCCTGATGGTGCACATGGTCGGGTAGGCAGCATTAAATCACTGTGTGTATGTGTGTGTGCTTTCTAAATCATTCTCAAGAAGATATGATAGTTTCTAAGGTCTAGTTTACCTGCACAATACATTTTTTTACATTTTACCATTACTGTATTCATATTATGATGCTGTCACTTCTTCTCATGACAGTGTTCAGATTGTGCAGATTGTTTTGGAAATTACACTCATGTCAGTTCTAATTTTAGCCCATATTACATATTCAGTGTTGTAGTAAGAATGTGATCAAGGAAATCTTGAATGTGTCTTTTTCTGTCTTCATGATTGTGATCTAAAATGAGGTTGATGCTTTTCTTACCAGTGGTGCTTTAAAGTATCAAACCAACATAGATGCCCACCAGCCCGGCTGCCTCAGAGCCAATCAGAGCCGTCTGGAGCAGCAGGGCGAAGATCTGGACCCGGCTGAAGTCGAGGAGAGCAGATGCAGAGAGGATGCTCACTTCCAGCCACATGACCCTCAGGTCTTTTTCTGTTCCTTTGTTTCTGTGCCCAAGCTTGTTTTTAATGGTGTGTTTTGTGTTTTGTGTTTGTTCTTAAGCCAGTGTTTGTGTGACTTTAGGGTGAGTTCCTTACATGTGTGTTGAGTATTCGACAAGCACTAGATGCAGTTGGCCCTATTTATTAGAGGTGTGGAGCTCTGAGGGAGGGGCTTTCTACATCAAGGCCTTTGTTTGTGTGCCTTTCTTCCCCCGTGTGTGTGCGAGGATTATGTGTTTGCACATAGTCGTTAAGCAACGTGATGGTTTTGTAAAATCCCCCCCTTAAACCTCAGTATGTTCCCAGGGCTTTACTGAAGCTGTTAGCAATTAGCCGCTTACAGGTATCTGCCAGAAGACCAGGACTCACTGTGAGGAGAGGTAGTAAAACGTCCCCCTTCACACAAGATTTGTGAAAGATCCCCATTGAGTTTTTTCCAATGGGAAACAAGTTAGTTTCATTTGGAGAAGTCTCTAAAGAAAAGAACAGACTATGTTTAAAGTATAGGGTGAGATTACCCTGTTACTTTGATGTGAGAGTCTGTACACAGCGAAACTGCAGTCCTGTGTTTTCCATCTATCAGAGCAAATAACACTTTGAGTAGTTCTGGAGTCCTGTAAATGGTGTTTTTTCTTTTTACATTTTTTGATTGTTCATTTTAAAAATAGGTATAACTATGAATAAAATGACTGAGAAAAGACTGCAAGACAGCTGTTTTGGTTCGTATTTACCCACTATTTGGTTTTGCATTATTTGAGCAGTGTCCTCTGTGAATAAGGTTGTTTATCTTTAAACTATAGTTTTAGATTAAGTAATGCGCCCGTTGGCATTAATATTGATGTTACAGCTTGGGCAAGGTGACCCACGTCAGACTTCATGCATCATTGTCACACTTTCTCAGGGCGATGGGTTACCTGAAATGTATTTCAGGTAAACGTGTTCTGTGGAGAAATGCTGACACATTAAGTTAAAAGTTGCCCTTTAATTTGTGAAGTTTTGGCACTCCTCGATACTGATGGCTATACCCACTAAATCACAAAAAGCCATAGTATGTTTATTTAATGCTCTGCCTGATCATGATCTCCTCACAAAACAAGCTGAAAAAACAAGAAACTGATCTATGTGATTCTTGTTTTGATTTTGTCACAAAGCAAAAAACTAAAGGATTTGAACACAAAATTCAGAGTGAGCACTGATAACTGCAGTTGGATTTTATTAAGAAGAGACACACTTGGAAATGTGCCCCCTGCCATTGAAGATAAAAACCAACTTGACCTGTAAGATTGAAAGGAAACTCCTGCTCCATCTGTCTGAATGCGACACACACCTTTGAATGCGTTTGCTGGCTAAGAGAAAACCACTTTCTGTTGTTCTGGTAATACGCTTAACTACAAAACTGCCTCTTTTACCCGTTCTGTGTCTGTGTGTTCCTGTGTAGACATGGCTGTGGGTGTCCGGTCCTCTCTGTCTCTACTGTGTGGAGCGCGTGTACCGCTACATCCGGAGCAGCGACCCAGTTACCATAGTGACAGTCATCAGGCACCCTTGTGATGTGATTGAGTTGCGCATGCTTAAGAAGAACTTCAAAGCTCGACCTGGACAGGTGAGAGGTCATGGCATTTTTTGCTGAATATTTTGTGTAGTCACATCTCAGGTTTTGTAATTCCTTTTTTAAAGGGGGAAATCGAAATAAAAAAAATGGGAGCAGGACATTTTCACTTCTTTATCAAGTGCTTTATCTCTTTCAACATGTCCCCCTTTTAATACCACATTTCTTTGTCTCTTCTAAGCTTCTGTCTCTGTTGTCAACCCTTTCCCCCCCAGTATATAATTCTGAACTGCCCAGGTGTGTCGTCATTTGAGAACCATCCCTTCACGCTGACGACAGTAAGTCTTACTCTAACGCATTCCTCATTGGTGACACAATGCAGGCACACTGACATGTCAGAGCTGACACAAACACAGTTGTTTTCACTTATACTTACTCTCTCCTATACCTACAACACAGAGCTTTGTGTTGCCTTTCGTTATGCCCCGTTAGTCACTGGCTTGTATTAGATTGACAGCTGGGCTGAGCAGGAATATTAGGTTTCACAGTGTTTATCAATGTTCCATGTTGAGTTCAGTTTGAGGGAGACAAAAGCAAAGCATAAAGTAACTTTCATGTTACCAAGTGTATGGACTTGGCCCTTCTATTCATGTGCTCACAGAATCACAATAACTGTGTGCATGCCTATGCCTGGTGGGCTGTGGAGCTTTGAGGAGGAGGGCAGCGAATCACACTGACAGAGAGCAGACAGACCCCTGAGGCTAGTAATGCTGTCTGCCAACAAGAAGGCTGTGTGTGTCCACCTGTGTGCGGGAATGTGTTTGCATTGTTAATTCAGTAAAGTGTTGTGGCTCTGTACTCTGTGTGTGTACACCAGATTCTCTTGTGTTATCTACACATTTGTGCGCACATGTGTTCTCTCATATTTTCCAACATCTCTTTGCGCGCGCCTGTGTGTGTGTGTGTGTGTGGTTGTACATTATGCTGGGAAACTGAATGTGTGTGTCTGTTTTATTCTCTTTACAGTGTCCCACAGAGAGCAAGGAAACTTTTGGCATCCATTTGCGAGTCGTGGGAGACTGGACTGGTGGGTTTACATGGACAGAGAAAACACACACACACAGAGCCCTACTGATTAAAAAAAAAAATGCTATCAGAATCAGCCGGATGGAACTTGCCTCTTCTCTCTGGGGAGGATGCATTTCTAACAGACTGCATTTTTATTTGTGTTGGTATTTATCTTTGTTCCTCTGTCAGTGTGTGCTTCCTTAAATATATATATATGTGTGTGTGTGTGTGTGTGTGTGTGTGTGTGTGTGAGAGAGAGAGACCTCTCTATACCTTGGGGCCAGCATTGTTCCCACAGTTTATTGTCCAGCTAGAAAACTTGATTTGCCACACTCACAAACACACACAAAGGACTGCTGGTTAACCTTAGCTTCTCGACTTCTTTTTAAACACAAGAGCTGTAAATCTGGGCTTGGGCTTAAAGCCCTCCGTTTTTTTTTATAACACGTTTAAAACTTAGCATATCAAAAGGATAAAGTCTTACATCTGTCAGAGTAAAGGATTGTTTAGTGACTAACTGAAAATGGCTTTATAGAGGAAGCTGTTGCCTTTGGGAGCATGTGCATTTGTCTGCAGTTGCTACTGTATGCGCTGATGCTCACATCCTTTCAGAACACAGGAAGGGAAGCTGGCTTGTTTATGTTGGCCTTTTAATCGGCCATGACTTCATTTTGTGAGGAAATTGAGTGAGCTGAGTTGGGTCGCATAGAAGTACTGTGTAATCATGGAGCCCCTTTTCTCTTCAGAGCGCCTCTCAAAGCTGTTACTCCCTCCACCAAGGATAGGCTTGGAGATCCTTCCCATCATGCAGCCAAGGAGATACCCCAAGTAGGTTCCCTGTGTGTGTCTGTTAATGTGTCCGTGGGGTGGCTGGCTTGTGATTTGTCACAAAGGCTCAGGATTGCAGAGAGGTCAGAGTTTTTTTTGACCTGCTGAACTGTGGCTCTGTGCTCTTCCTGCCACACTCAAACAGGATGAATTACATGTGGCTCAGAGGGGGGGAAAGTTTGTTTAGTGACAGTAAACTGAGCAAACCTCCAAACCCTGTCCCAGTGTTTGCTGAGGCACACCACAGTGCCCACCTGTGGTCAGATGTTTTCATTATGTTTGATCTAAAAAAGCACTCCAACTAAATATGGGAAATTGTTTGGTTGGGACCGTTTCATTTCTTTACTGGTGTGGTTCCTTGTGTATGCGTGAGAAAAGTGCCTTACTTTGCGTGATAACACAAATGTTTGAGCAGCTGTTGTGGGGATGATGTATGTGTGAGTGTCTGGGGGATTGCTGTCTACACATACCGACACTCACAGGCCGAGCAAGATTTTAAATGTAGGCTTTCCATCAATTCTCGTATCTAAGTATTTGTGTAATTTCTGATTCAACTATCTGTTGTTGTTTTTTAAATCTGTATTTTACGTTTAGACTTTACGTTGACGGTCCATTTGGAAGTCCATCCCAGGAAGTCTTCAACTATGACGTCAGTCTTTGTGTTGCTGGTGGAATCGGAGTCACGCCGTTTGCGTGCGTGCTGCATGCTCTGCTGTGAGTTTTTTTAAATCTGTCACACACTGACAACAGATGAACTATTTCAGCAGGTTTTTAAGTGCTTCCTGTCTTTTCTCTTTCTGCTGCAGAGATGATTGGAGAGGTTTCAGGTTGCAGAGGTTGTACTTTGTATGGGTCTGCAGGGAGCTTCAGTCTTTCTACTGGTTTGCAGATCTGCTGTGTGCCCTGCATGGAAAGGTGGGGAGGACACTGATGTCATCTTCATTCAATGTAGTGCATTTGTTGGATTGTTGCAACATCAGTGTCATGAATCACTTCACTGTCAGGTTTTTGTTATGAAAAAATGAACAAACATATGTTGAATGCAAAGGGCTTAGCTTTTATCCGAGCATAGAATTACAACAGGAGTGGAGATGGAGTTGTTTTTATGAAAAATGTCTTATTATGTAATTTTTTTTTTTGCAAATGCAATTGCGGCATCACTAAACACATAATTCTGTGTTTTTTGTTTTCTGTTTAGCTTTGGCAGGAGAACAGACCAGATTACTTCAATCTGAAGCTGTATGTCAGTCAGGCGGACAGCCTACAGGTATGTACGCCCCACATATGTGTGCACACTATTGGTCTGTCTAGATTTTCATTTAACTGCTTTGTCATCCACACATACTCTTATTCTTCCATGATTTGGCAGACAATTCAATGTCTGCCACTAGATGGCAGTCCATTACAGAGAGACAGAAGCTACAAAGACTGAACCCATCCTCTGTTATCTGTTCTAAAAACGTTGTCATGTCATGTTGTTTCACACAGTCTGTGTCCGCTCAACATACCCTCATTTTGTGGAAATGAAGTCACCCTGAAGAAAAACTTTATGTCAGTGTTTATGGTCAAGATCAGATTTCCAGTTTCAACTTCTATGTCTTCAATTTCAGATATATTATTTCAAATGAACAAAACTGTATGAGACTGGATAAGCTCCACCCTTTACTACTAATCTAGTGGGTGTTCTGACTTGGGAGAGTTCCAGCTTTCACGCTGCACAGACGAGCAGCTTTATTGATCTTGCTTTCAAAGACAGGTTCATGGAAAGGAAGGAAATCAGATAACACTGTTATACGTTACCTTACACACTGTTAACAGAAAGCTCTTGACCCATAACAAACGATGTGCATGACCTCCTTTAAGGTCAGGGTGGCTGAAGAAAAGAAAACATTGAACCAGAGACCACAAAAGGACATGTGACTTGAGGCTGTGTTTTGTGTAAATGCCTTCACTCAGAGTCCCACAGCAGTGGGGTTCAGGTCTTGAATACCAAACAGGAAAATTTGAGTTCAATGAAATGTTAAAAGCTTCTTCAAGCTTGAATGTGTCGCTTACAGTAGTTGAATATTCAAGGTTAGAGACTTTTGAGGGAATTTTTTTTTCATGTTAAAAACAGCATCAGACTCTGTTTCCTATACCATTCTTATCCAAAGGAGGGAATAAGGTGACTTTTTATGCCTGTTTTTGAGAGTCCATTTTTTTTGGGTGGGAGTGGTTAATCAATCAATTTACTTTGTGTTGTGACCAGTAAACTAAAGATCATTTTCTCCAGCTTTGTTTTAACGTAGGTGTTCTTTCCCACCTGGATGAAAATTAAAATTCAGTAGTGTTTTCCTTTTTTTTCTTCTTTTCTTTTAGGGCATGTCTGAGGAGCGGTACCGCCCACTCACATCCAGGCTGCAGGTTGGTCGACCAAAGTGGAAGTCGCTTCTTGATGAGATTGGAAAGAGCAATGAACGGTAAGTACAAAAGGAGTATACCAGAGGAGTGTTAAATCCTGCGGTCTCTGATGGTGAAGCCTCTTTGTTTCCTTTTCTTTACGGTTTCAGTAAGCAGGTTGGAGTTTTCTGTTGTGGCCCAAAGGGTATCTCCAGGACACTGCACAGACTGTGTAACTCTGCCCAATCCTGTGGCACCACCTTTGAATTCAACAAAGAGTCTTTCAGCTGATTTTTACATCGGACCTGGATGGTTGTTTTTTTTTTTTCATTCATCTTGGGAGACTTCTTGATCTGAGGCATATTTCAGAAAATCTGGGCTTTAGACTTTTTGTCCTAGTCTGTGAATCTTCCAGGTGACCTATCAAATGTCACTTATATAACTGTCCCCCAAAAAAGAAGAGGAATAAAACTAAAGACGGAGCTTAAATCACCACACGAGGCCTTTTCCTCTCCAGAGACCAGCCTGTCTCAGGTTCAGCATGTGATTCAGGCAACATTTGGGGAAAAATGAGGAAATGATCGCCCTGTTCAGTCTCCATTCATAACCTTCTGTTTTTCTCAAGATGTTTCTCCTTTACACGCCCCTCTGCTGTCTGCTGAGTCTAGCGTGAGAAAAACATGACAAACCCAATAAGGTTACATGTTACACCAGAGGGAGTCCATCGTTCCAGGACTGGAGCATCACTCAGGGATGATACAAACTGGTTTTACACTAATGTTTGACATGGAGCAAACGTCTCACACAAAGCAGCAGCTGCTAGTGACCACCAAAGAAAGTCAGACTTTAAAAAAATGTTTATGTTTTACTTGAGATCTGACTGGCATTCAAAGTTTTGTCGTGTTTAATAATGGAGTCAAGCCGTTGTTCACTGCAGGATTAGCTTTTGTTGTACGTTTTTAGAATTAATGGGGATCTTTTACTAAGGCATTAAAAATAGCCCTTTAAAAACAAAAATAAAGAAAAGGAGCAGTTCACTACTGTAAAACTGCTGATACATAAAAATGTCATTCTACAGTTCATTTTTGTTTACCTTAGAACCTAGGAGTACAATGAAATATCCGAAGAATTGCTCTTCAAACTGAGTAGAAGAAGAAACAGAACACAGGGGCCACATAATGCTGCCTCTCTGTTACCTTTTGGTTCAGTGTTCTTATTTATTTACCAAAGATTTACCAAGACACCTTTTATTACAAGTTAAGCCAGTATTAGTTGTTTTTAGTATTTCTTTTCACTTCTATTCTGACTACAGAGTAAAGAATGTCACATCAAACCTCTGAGTGTCCACAGGGTTATTGTTAATATTTCATCCACAGAGTAAAGTTATTGCCTTTTGCTCTCTTAAAATGATGCGCACCTTTTTTGTTTGCCAATGAAACAAGTATATGATAAAAGATTGTTACTGTGTATGAAAATGTATGAAATATGTGTAAACACTCAATTACATGTTGACTCTTATGTGTGAACTTCTTTTTTAAGAACAAGCAAATCACGAAAGAAAAGATCTCTTATTTATTGCATCTTGATTAAATGTATTATTTCCTAAAATATCTCAATTTGTGACTAATTTGTCTAATAGGCTATTTCCCAACATTAATTAGAGCTAATTTAGTCTTCTAAACTTTCCTATCTATACGAGATGCTTACAGAGGCCATATGGGATGGCATTTATCAGCTGCCAAGGCTGGCATCAATACACTTATCATCAACACATTTACACATATGACTATTTTTGTCGAAATACATGCAAAATATATTCTTTAATAGATTAAAAAGTATCTGAGAAAAACAAAGCAGACATGCGGATGGAATCAGGCTTTAATGCAACATGTACAATCTCATGATTGATTGTCATCATTTTTCTAATTTCTTTGCTGCGTGTGACAATATCAAACGAATGACACTTTAGCACCTTTGGTAAAACACCAGAGTGTGTTTGACATTCAGTTTTTTTCTGCAAAGGGTCAATTTGTAAACTTAAAAGACAGTATAATTGGTTCATATTATGCTGCCATACTTTGGCCAGCATTAAAGGTGTGTGCTAGTGCATGGTATGCAGCCTGTAAACTTCACTACTCCCAAATAAAGTGTTAATACAAGGATAGTTATGTAAGGTGTCGGTCCACAGGGGAAAAAAAGCAGCATAATCACTTTGTTGACTCAGGTTCTGTCATTTTCTGCCGTAAGTGAGTGCGAGAACCTTTAGCCATGTAGGTTTCTGATGAGTACACTCTTGTTTGGGTTATTTTAATGCTTCTATAATATCTGGCTGATTAGTCCCAAATCTTGGAAGAGTTGTCAGTTTGACAGGTAGTCCCCATTTTTTTTCTGCTAAGATTGGGTCATTTCACATTTTGCAGAACTCCCACCAGAAAATAAATGGACTTAATTTATTTTCTTTTGTAGGTAAATATCCTAAAGGCAACGGCTTCACACACAATATCTCTTCTATAGGTTAAGGTATAAATACATACATGATTTTTATATGCTTCACCATCTTAAACAAATTTTAAAATCAGTGTTGGATTTATTGAATTGAATAGATGACAGGTAATCTTGGAACTAGATTAATCTAATTCATGGGCTTGATGAAAAAAAATGTCATCCTGAGTATTTTTATAGTCATGTTAAACAATATGGGTGGGATCTGTGTGTGTTAAAGAGTGGTCTGGTACGATGATGAACCTTCCTCCGAGCTGCTCTGCAGCAGGGGCTGTCTCTCTCCATAACTCGGTGCCCTCTTCTTCCTCTGGTTACGCCTCCATTTCCTTCTTGCGAGAACAAGGAGCACAGCAGCGAGTGTAGCAATCACAGCTCCAATCAGCCCGGCCCCTAGGAGCCACTGCCATATCTGCTGGGCCTGCTGCAGGTAAGGTGTCAGGAACTCCTGCACAAACCTCTGGCCTATGGGACGACAGAAGGCATGAGGTTGTGTCACATAGGCAGAAAAGGAAGAAAGACTCATTTAGTGGATACATTTGCTTTTGTACAGACCAGGGTCCAACAGGTAGGCGTATTCATATCCCAGAGCCTTGTTGGACAGGAAATATTCCCCATTTCTGTAGAGAGGTATGAAGGGCACCATGTAGTAGCCGTCGTTGTGGCCAATGGGAGCATTGGCACGAGGGTAGTTGGTTCGGATAGGCTGATGGGTCCTAAGCCAACGCTCAAAGATGCTAGAGAAGAAGTAAAGTTAGGGATGAGACGTGGAAAAAAACAACAGAATATAATCAGATTAAATTATTTTTTACCCTCATCTGATTTTTTTTGTCATTTCATAAAGAAATTCAATATGAAAAACAAGATATCATAATATCGCACATGGGTTAAATGTGTCTTTTGCCCTTATGTCATCAATGATCTGATGCGCACGTGTGCCTGCGTTACCTGTCAATGAAAGCATGGTGCAGCAGGAATATGGGGTCGTTGGCCGAACCCTGCACAGAAGACATGGAGCCGTTCATGAAGACATGCAGAGAGTTGTGCATGGTGCTCATCCCTGGCACAGCCATGCCCGTCTCTGGACTGGCAAAGCCTACCGGAGACAGAGGGAGGAAAATCAGGTGAGTAACAAGAGTGAAAATAAAAATGATCTCGACAGGAGTCGTCAAGCACACCTGAAGGAGGGAAAAAATGAGGTCAGCACTGAACAGTACTTGGGATAAATTTGTGAACTAAGTCAACAGAAAATGGAGGATAAGTGAAACTGCAAAGGCACTTCTCATTCATTTGACTCTTGATGTTAGAATTGTTCCCTGTATCCACTATTCTGAAATGTACTTTATTTTTCTAATTCTCTTTATTCTACATAGTCACTTTGCACAATAGCATCTGTGAAATGCATGAGATTAATTGTAAGTGTCTTTTTGACAACAAGAGAATCATTTTGGAAGATTTTCATAAAACATGGTGCAACGGATTAAAAAAGTCTTTCATGTAACCTGAAAATCTACTGGAATTAAAGTGGTCAAAGTCTGTCATGGTCACAGGTGTTTCTGAGTAGGTGGAGGAAGCCGCTACAGAGGAGGCCTACATTCACTCACTATCTCCATCTGTAAAACTTGTGGAAAACCTCTCACAGTCCCGCTTGTTTTAAACGTATCATTTAAACATCTGTGTGCTCTTAAACATATTTGTATCTTTTGCCGTTTGAATTCAGCTTTTATTAACTTTATGGTTTAAGGGGATAGTTCTAACACACCATAGTTTTGACTTTACTTCTCCTCATCACCAAAAATTTCTACATTCACTGAACTATTATGAGTATCTCTTGATGGACGAGCCCTTGCTGTTTCTAGCTGTAGGAGCCAGCATCAGTGCTGAAACATGTGCATCTACCTTCCAAGACATTTCTGAAGCTCATGTTGGCGAATCGGTCCATGGGCCCCGTCTCATAGTCGGGGAGGCCCACAGTGAAATCCACATCAGCTCTCGTAGGAAGCCGCGGCACGCGGTTTGGATCATGGTTGCCGGGGTTACGCAACAGTGGGCCCTCTGAGGTGGCATTACACAATGCTTCTCTGTTGTTGTACTCCTCTGGCTGGGTGCAGATCACCTGAAGACATGCTTTGTGGTTAAATAAACTTTAACACGTCAAACTTTAACACGTCAAAGGTCATAGTTAGCTTCATAGTTAATGTGTTGTTAATCCTGCTGTTAAAGTGCAAGATACAAAGACTTTTTTATACTCTCTACTTTCTCTCAGCTGAAGGCAAATCCATGAGAAATTGTGTAATTTCAAGCAAAACTCTGATTTCTGTGAATGAGAAGTACAAACCAATGATAAACCAGAAGATTTTCAGAATGGAATGAAAACAAACAAGGCTTTGTTTTCAAGAAAAGGGATTTTCAGTCTCCTTTGAATGGATGAGAAAGCTTTGCTTTCACAGCAGACATGCTCCTTTTCACTTAGAGGTGTCATAGTGGCACAATTTATTTTTCTTACCTTCCATGAGGAGAAGACAGAAGCCGGGCTGATGAGGTTGGGATTGAGGGAGCTGCGTCCCCCCATCAGAGCATCGGTGCACACCTCACAGGACTGGGCATCCCTCCAGTCCCAGTATGGGATGGTGAAGTTAAAATCTCCTGTTAGTTTTCTTATCTCGTTCTCCCAGTGAAGCAGGAAGACTCTGTGCCAAGGCAGAAATGCTGCCGATTCATGAGCAAAGTCGATGTCTCTCCATACGTTCCCTGGTCCTCCCAGAAAGGTGTCTCTGGATACATAGTAGTGTATCCAAACAAACAGGTCATAGGTGTTGATGTCAGAGAACATGGGGTTCTCACCGTTTTCCCCCATCTCTGCTCTCGTTGCTGTAGAGATGACATAGTCACGGCTGACGGTGTTTTTGGCCAGGTTGAGATAAGACACAAACTTCTGTTGCTCAGCAGTTGACATGGTCAGGATGTTCCTGCGCACCGACTCCCTGTACTCAGCACAGTTCGCACCCCAGTAACCAAACCTGCATTCGCCACAGTTAAAGCCGCCGTAGTTTCCAGCACAACGACACGTCCGGTTGTAGAAAGCCAAAGGCCAGCGCTCCCTGTCGTCGATCCCGCTGTGTGGGTACTGAGGCCCGTTGGGCTCATCTGAGACCAACACCTCTGTGCAGAATCCCCGGCCTGACAGGGCGCCGCAGGGCGAGCCGTCCCCTGCCCACACCGGACAGCACTCTCTGGTCCGTAGCCCCTCCGAGTTGGCGCATGGCCGAGGAAATTGGCAGTAGCAAGTCCAGATGAAGTGCAGCAGAACAACAGACACGCAGAAGGTCTTCATGGTGGGGAGTCAGGGTTACTCCAGGCTCGGCCAGGATGGAAAAGGGCGATGCAGACCTGCTTCCCTCAAAGAAAGTTTAGGAATAATAAATGAATAACTGCCAAAAAGTTATGTCTATTTAGAAGAATACGGGAGCTTAATACCTAAACTTAAACAGATGGTTTCTGGGAGAAGTATCTGCTGTATTTACCTGTGTCTAACTTGTTCTACACTACCATCTATCCAGCTACCAAGCCTCCTTTCCTCATCCCCTTTCAAACACCCTGCCTGCAAAGTCTTGTTCTCACCCTGCTCATTGAGTCGTTTTGGGGGCCGTCCTTTGAAAAAGTGTGTGATATCATGCAACTCAGTAAAACGCACGCACACATACATTGATATGAGCATCACATGCTCTGGATAATACTCTTGATTCCTATTTCACTTTGTCTGCAGACCAGCTGACCTGCGCTCCTTTGTGCCACAGGCAGAAATCTGTATTTGTGGGGGTTTTGTAAGCCCCCCCTCCTTCAAACCCCAGCCCCTTCGGCAAAGTCTGGTCAGGAATTTACGCATGATCAAGTGTGAATCTGCTGCTGAAAAAGAAAAGTGAAGTGAAGAGGAAAAAGAGGTGGAAAACTAACATTACACAGTTTATTAACCCAAAAATGCCATGTGTATCGTATTTGATTTTGTTTCTAAAATGTTTTGCATCTGAGAACTTTTGCATAATTTAATGGTACATTTTAATTTATTTATTATTTTGTTAAAGGGCCAAATAATGACTTCAAGCAAAAAAAAGGGGTTAACCAGAATTAAGACTTGAAGATTCCACTTTTTTAAAAATATAAGTTTGATGTGCAGTATATTTTTGCATGTGCCGTTAAGTAGGGGGGAAAAGTCAATTGAAATGAATCTGCTACAAACAGATAAAAGTTTTAAAGTCTGTTCTTCAAAATTTGAAGCACTTGAAGTGGTCTCATCAATGGGTTTTCTTTTTAGCACAGGCTACATGTGGGTGTAATAGAAAGAATTAAAGCATTAAACTGCATGCATGTTAAACATGCTAAATAACTGCATACCATACATTGAAAGCCCTATATTCAGGAAAAAAATGAATTTGATTCTGAGTAGACAACATTAAGAAGAAACAACACTATTGTAGGGCATGTGAAACAGTTGAAAAAAAAAAAAAATTGCTTTGTTTCATGAATCAGCATAGAATTGTGATTAATTGTGACTAATTCCTTCAGTCTGTCCTTGACATATGACACAATTTAACAGTAAATACTTGTAACAGCATCACATCAGGCAAAAAAAAATGCTTTAAGTAATTCTGTTGTCTATAACTCAATCAATAGATGAATGCCACATTCACCTATCAGCTATAGTGTTCTGACCACATGTCTTAAATTGAGTTGGACCAGTCAAAAATGACTGTGTGGGTTAATGCTGCAGGAGACATTTAACAGAGCTGCTTTTAAAAATTCACTCCTACATCAACTACTTTTTTAAAACACATCACCCAAATTTTGTGGGTTGTTATCGGACGCATTTTCTTTCCTTAAAAAACAAAACAAACTCCTTCACAAACTGAATCAAAGGTAAAATAAAGTAACAATTTAGATGCAGATCCTTGTTTTATCTTTCCAAGCAAAAAATGGTTGGGATGAAAAATGCTAGCCAAACAACAAATGTGGGGGATTAAGTTGTAAAAAGAGTATTTACTGAATCAGGGAGTACAATTTTAAGGTGTAATAAAGATGGAGGAGAGGAGTAAAATTAAATCCAGCAAGTGGTTGATAGAGTTAAACACAGTCTAAGAAGTATTGATAAGACAGGGTCTTTCACCGCTATCCCCATCATATGCAGCGCATGAGTACATGAGTACGTGAGTACATGGAAGTCTCAAGGGAGATTTTCATCCTCAGGTCCCACAAACCAGCGTTCTCAGGCATAGGGCAGAAAGTCATGTTTCACCATCACAAGCTGGTCACATGCTGCCATAGCCAGGCACGGGACGTAGCTTATCTCTCTGCAGGAAAGCAGCCGAGCGCACAGGAATGACCGTCACAGGATAAACCTGCCCTAGGGCCTCCTCTTAGAGAGTCAGACGGACTGTGTGTGTGTGTGTGTGTGTGTGTGTGTTTGAGGCAGGGATCTTTCTTTGAACTTAAGATGAATTTCACCACGCGGAGGCCTCTAAATTGATGGAATTTGAGGACATTGGCCCCTTAATATTTCAAACACATAACCTCAAGTGAAGGATTGAAACATTCTTACAGCTCACGTTACAGATTCAAATAGACACAAGAGGGCAGTGTGTTCCCTTTGTGCTGTGGAACAGAGTGGCGACTGCTCACAGCCAGCTCCTCCTCATTAGGGTTAATGAGACAAGGGAGGAGGAAGAACATTTCCCTGACCAGATAGAAGGCGTAAGTCTCTGTTTTATCCATGTTACTTTAGACACGTTGAACAAACATACTACAAGACTTTAGAGACATGATGTATGCTTTGATGCTGTTAAAACAAGCTATTTGGGCCATTAGCAGCAGAAAAAACCTCTGTCAAACATTTCTTTGAATGATGGGATATGAGAAGAAGGGAGCTAATTCAGGCTCATAAAAAAATGGAAGGAGCTAAGAGTTTAAATGACAGTTTTTTTTTAAATGTGTGTGCGTGTGTGGTGAAGGGAATCAAATGTTATTAAAAATTGGAAATTAAGAAATCTACTCAAGGACTGTTCTTACGAATAATTTTGACTCATGTTACAAGAATATTTTTCATTTTAAGTATAATTTGATTAATTTTAATATTCTCTTTGGGGAATATTATTTTTTCCAACTTATGTACATAAATGTGAATGTTTTTGCCCTCCATCTCCTTTGGAAGTGGTTAATGAAGTAGTCAACATACAACCTAACATCTCACCACGGACATGAAGACTAACCAGTTTGATTGTAATTGATAATGAAGATAGTTTAGCCTGAGGGGGATGGCTAATTAAGTGTCCTCAAGATTCAGTTTTCACTGGGTGTTTTTTTATGGATATTTGATGATTTCATGACTGCAGGGTAAAACTAACATGCAGCTGCTGCCTCCCTACTCTGTGTGCCGTGCCTGTTATTAGAGTGTTTGGTCGTCAGAGACACTCTGACTGATCGTCAACCTGTGCTGACAATTAATATTGACAGGTTCTGCTGGTGCATGCTACAGATTTGAGGACAAACTCTCTGAAAATCTTACAAATTTGCATTTTATCGCTTTAAAGGTATGGAAAGACTAGCATGTTCCATGGATTGTTAGTGCATGGTGCAATTAGTTTCCATTACTCTACCCTGAGGATCCTTTCGATGTCTGATCTCTTTCTTCAAATAAAGTGAGAGGTTTCCACAAACCATGCCACTTAGTTTTTGAGGCGTTGCATAACTTTGAAGTTGGTGGACACGTCTTTGCATGTCATATTTGTCACACAAAATATGTTGTTTCTATGGTAGCGATTGACACAGTTTCAATGAACATAGGCCAAATTACGGAATTAGAGGCATGTTATGCCTGTTGAGGACTAAGAAAAGCCATAGTTAATGTTTACCACATGCCACAGCCTTTCCCAGTCCCCCTAAAACAAATATGCAACATAAAAACCCATCCTCATTCGGTTAGTATAGAAGGAATAACCTAAATGAAAATATTTCTATGACTGACGTCCTTGTTTCTGCGTTGGTATTATGTTATTGAAATACCACAGAAAAGTGACAATCCAGTAAATCAGCTATCTGCCTATGGCATTGGGGAATACAGCTCGTATTATTTTGAATAATTGATTTCCTGTGACACTGACTCTCTTGTTCTCATTTGTTTGCGGAGGAGTGTTCCCAAGAGAATATTCCCTTATACATGTTACATACGTGTGGTGCCCACACCGATGCCGTGGTATGGTTCACAGGGTGCGCTCAATTGGAGCTGTTATTGTAATCTCATTTTACTTCAAGCAGGGGAAACCATTCCCACAAGCTAATCTCTCCTGTTGCCCACGCTGCGCACATACTATAGTAACAGGATGATTTCCATAAGCCTACATTCTAATAGCCATTAAATTCAATTAGCCACCGTTTGATATGCTACATACCATCAAATATCATTGATTTGTCACAGGGTGATCAATGTTAATTAACTTATTAATTCAAATTTGCACTAATAAAGTTTCAAGTTTTTCCTTTAGTGATAAATTAGATTATTTTGTAAGCACTGATCTTATTCATTGGTTGCTTGATGAGTTTTTGTTTTACCCCAGTGTTGAAGGGTTATCATGGAACAGGGACCTCAGATCGCTCCAGCGCCATTTAGGATTTCAGTTGCAACATCTTAAAATGAGTTTGCAGGGCTATGATCTATTTTGTATTTATATTGTATTTATCTATATCTGTATTCTCGAGCTGTTACCCTCAGAGGTAACTGGGAGGTTAACCTCTATATGATGTGATCAGAACCCTTTATCCGATGTAAGGGGAAGGGTTTCTGACCTCTCATCTAACCTCCAAGACTGTTCATTTAGGTTTATAACTGGGGCATATGAACAGATGAGGGATTACGTTACATCCAAATTAAGAGGCTGAAAAATCCAAAGTCTCCATTTTAAAGCCAAATGTGTAAAAAAAAAAAAAAGAAGAAAAAAACAAAAAAAACCCTAATCTGTAGCACACATCTGGTACGCAGTCATCCGTATCCCATAATCCATTGCTGGCAGTCAATTTTAAAAGTGGTGCATTCAAGTGATCACCAGCCATGTTGTCACATCTGTGGTGGTGTGGTCATCAGTTACCATCAAACGTGTGAGGTAATCTGAATCAATTCAAACAAAGACCGAATGACATAACTGATGGCAATCACTGCTAAATTGGGTGTTTTTGTTGGCATTTTTTGTTGAAATTTTACTGACTAAACACTCAAAATTATAGACAGCATTGAGGAAAATCTGAGGAATCAGATTCCAGCTATTTAAATGTTTTTTCTTTCAGTCTAAGGGAAATGAAGGCATATCATTTCACATCTGAATGCTTAATGGAAATCAAATGTCTACATAACCTACATAAGAACATATTGTAACTGAAGGAATCGCATTTATTTTTGGCTGTTTGGATCCTGAAGGAAATTAAGTTTTCTGGACGAATTGCATCTCCTGTCCGCATTCGAACCTCCCCAAAGAGCTAGATGTTTTGGTGAGGAGTGGAAGGTCTGAGTATCTTTGGTCAGACGGCTGCCCTTGCAAAGCTGACTCTGATAAGTGACTCACTTCTGTCTTTATGTGTGTATGAGAGGAAGTGGGTGAATGTGAGCAGCTATGTGTGAGCATGTGTATGCGTATGGCCTCTTAATGGTTGACTAATCCCAAATGCATTTGGCTGACAAATTAATCCAAGCCTTCTCAAAGCCGCGCTCTAAACCCTTCACTATCCCATACAGCTTACTCCATCTTGATCTAGATCTTTTCCCTGGCTTCACTCTATCAGTACGTATCTCCAGTTTGTACCTCGGAGGAAGGTGTAGCTCAAGAAAGAGGAGCAACAGACCGCACGCGCAAAGAGTGGATGGGTGACCTATTCACAGGAGCGCTGCATAGAAAAAGACAGAGGAGAGGGGGCTCATTTATTGCCATAGTGAAAAAGTAGATTAAGCACAGAGAGCATGCTGCCCCGATGCATGCACGACCGATTCCTCTGTAAATATGAATTTCCTTCAAGGAAAGGCATGTTTACGAGAGGCCCCTTGAGCCGTAATTCAAACTTGGTCTCACGTGGACCATCATGCTTCCACATAGCATCATTTTGTTGTACATTATTGGATGTAACAGCATTGCAGGGTACCTTAAACCTTAAGTAAACAAATTGTAAAGAAGAGCTTATTATAGTAATTCTGTTTATTCTCCCTGCAGGCACATAGATGTAAAACCATAAAGGGGCGAGGGGGAGAATGCCGTTCCATCCATGAGTTTATGTGCATTATTAGAATAATAACATATGCAGGGGACATTCTTAAGCAGAGATGATGACCTCAGATGTGTATGCATCAACATAATCAATCAACGTGTCATATCATGGTGGTCCAGAGTTGCAGATCGTCACACGCAGCAGGGCTCCTCTGGATCATGCCTCTCCCAGTTCACCAGAAACTGTAGAACTCATCCAAGACAGCGACATAAAGTGTAGACAGGAGCCTTGTCAGCTATCTTTGGAGATGTAGGGGGCTGGGAGGGAGGACACAATGGACTGACAGAAACAGATTTAAGTTGAGAGACATGAAATGAAATATGTATTCTGAGAGCCCAGGGAAGTTTTTAAACTGTCACAGGGTTTGTCGCTTTGTCAACAGGAAGTATCCGATAAACTGAGGGGAAATTTTCCTAAAGCCTGTCTTCAGGGAATATCCTTGTTGGACAACCACATCCTCTGGCCAGGATAATAACAAGGAGCTGGGGTCCAGTGGCGGATGGCCAGGTGGCGAGGTCTACTCAACAGTGTTCCCACTTCCTGTTGCATTATCTATGTTATCTTAAACATAGTCCTTGTTTCACCCCCCTGTATGTTATTCAAGTGGGATAGATGGCTAAAATAAGTACAGAAATGTTTTTGTGTGCTACCATACCTATCACAGATTCTGAGACAATGATTAAAATTCCCTTTACCAGACGAATGTGGACTAAAATCAAGAGCATCAGCTTGCCATGGCTTGGTAGATCATTAGAAGACAGCATTGGTGCAATGCATCTTCAATTCCCCAACATGCACGGAATGTGCTTGAACTTCCTTTGAATGTTGCTTCAAAGCAAATGCATAAGGGGGGAAATATGGGGCTGATGACACAGAAACACCTATGGAGAAAAGAGAAGTATCAGAAATACCGGTCGATCTCCAGAGGTCATGCAAGGCCGTGGCATGTGTCAGTCTGTAATCACTAGATGGTGCAGTGGGCTTTGTTATGTGAGAGAAAACCCCCCACTGTGAGCTGCAAGAGACCCGTGCTTGTTTCAGATTTTCCCCACAGAAAACCAAACATGAATTTAAAGGAGAGACTCAGTGATAATGCCTTTTTTCTCATCTAAAACAACACAATGTTTCAAGCAGGAATGCTGTGTGTTCTTCTCATTCTTCTAATTGGAGTTTGGTTTAACCCTAAAATCATAGGCTGCCTGAATATGACACTCAAACCACAATCAAATTCCTTCAGTATCCAGTTTTTCCAGATAGTTTGTAAAGGTGGATTTTGAGGAGGGATTTGATGTTCATCTGTTCAGTTCATCTGCAGTGTTAATTTTTCGATTTCCATTCAGTCCATTGACTTTTGCATCTGCAGCCTACTGTTTATATATGAGTCCAGTTTGATTCGAATTATTTCAAACTCAGTATTGAAAAATTAAGTTGAAATCTCGTAATATCTTCTTGCAGTGCCTAAAACAGCCTGTTGTTACAGGCTTTTATGCCAGTGTTTGTGCTTTAGCTGCGTAGGAGAGTGGGATTTATCCATTTGATTAGTATTGATTTAAAAAAAAAATCTTTAATGATTTGATCTCTGTAAGTCCTTTTTTTAGTGGACACCAGACTAAGCTATATAGGTTAATGGGTATTTTAGTCCCATGGCCACTATGAGCCTTCAAATGTTATTGATCTCCTTCACTCCATCGTTACCCCAGTCAGTTCACCTCTCATGTCCACTTGATCAGTAAGGAGAAAGAGATGAGCCTACATGCCACTCTGCCATCATCCAACATGTAAGGCTACAAGTCTTTGAGAGTGGCTATTTATATATGCACTTTGTCATATAGAATTTAGAGATATGAAAAATAAACAAATGACCAGCTTGAGAGAACAGCTCCAAAGACTGACATGAGGACATGCTGGAGAAACATATTGACTGGGGACATGGGTCATAAAGAAAGTCATGAAAATCAATGAGTTCCGTTTGTAACTTAATGATGGGAACAGTGTGCTTTGCAAACGTTGTAGTTGGTGTATCTAAATATTTATGGGCCCTTCAGCTGTTACTCAGTTTTAAGGACACTGGCCCCATTGGGAGGAAGTTTGAGACCACTTCCTCCCGTGCTGCTCTCCTCTCATATTGCTAATAAAAGGCAATTCAGGAATTGGGGACAACAACATGAATTTTTTTCTTTTCTTTGTTTTGGTGCTACAACAGGTTTAAGCTTCTAAAACAAAAATGTTATCACATATGCACACTCGGGCCTTATGGGGTCCATCTTGGGGCCCTATACTCTATTCCGCCACCTACTGGACAGAAATAACAGGTCAAGCTAGTTAAGTGACATTCCTGTTTTTTTAATAAATATATATTTTCAATATAATTGGATGGATCCACTTTTCACGATGTTAGTAAGCATATGATGCATTTGTATTAATCCGTTTGCTATTTTTCTTCATTTCAAACCAGGGACAGGTGGATAGCTGCTTCCGTGACCTGGGGAGAGACTGTTTCTTGCACGGCCAACACTGGCTTCATGTAACTTTTCCTGCTCGGTCTCTTCTTTGATTTTCCCTTTAGATTTCAGAAACATCTCACAGAAATGCGCAGCCAGCCTGCGCGCGTTTGGCACTGAAACGAAGCAGACAGTTATCCGGGGAGAAACGGATGAACTAAAGAGGGGTGTTCGAGTCTGGTGAGGATAAAACCGCACGGCTTGTAATAGGAGAGCGGGAGATGCTGGGGGAGAAAGAGGGGGGGTGGGAGGCGAGATGAGGGGAGATGCGCTGGGGAGAGGAGGAGCGGTGGGGTGGGATGAAGGAGAGAGGTGCTCGGAGAGAAGCTCAGGTGTGCGTGACTAGAAAACGGAGGAAGCTCAGGCTGCACAGCGATCAGGGGCAGCTTTGGGCTGTTTGACATTGGAGTGTCTACCGTCCCTGTTTTTTTGTTTTTTTCTTCCGGTGGCGGCACCACGCATCCCATTTATTAAGCGCGACTCTGCGAGTGACTTCAGACTGACATGTAGGTTCCCAGAAGGTAAGATTTGAGGGGAGGGAATAAAGCCTGAATGAAACATTACTCTGGATTCATTCACTAGAAATGGACCCCGTGTACCCTCTCTGCATTCTGCTTGGAGTGAATTTGTCGCACTTTTCTGGCACCCCCCCTCCTTGAAGGGACTTTGTTGCGCTAACATCTGGACCGGTCATCACTTATTCCATTTTAAGGCAGCGTCCCGCGTAACCCCGGTAAAAGAAAGCAGCTCGTTGCTCTGAGTGTAGGCGATCAAATCATGCAAATAAGAATGACGGGGCTTGGAAAGCCTGTTTTAGTCGTTGCATGCTGGAGCCATGTTCATTTCAGACGGTGTCTCTGTCATGTTTTGCGTCTTTCCCTCCCGGCAAATTGTGTGCACGGATGTGTGTGTATTTGATTCGGTGCAAACGCCTGGACTTATCACCTTTTGCGGGCGAGGGATGCAGCGCTGCGCCAGTATTTCTCCTTGGAGAGAGGCAGTTTGACCAGACGCAGTTTGACAGTGATTTATTAAAAGCTTGCAGGATGTCACACCAGTCAACGAATCCAACTTAAAATGGATGCGGTGCGAACATAATCGAAGCCACGGCAGATAACTGAAGTAGATACAAACAGGTTGCCGGGGACTGATGATGGAGGACTATTGGCAGGCGGCTCAAGTCTCCGCCACAGCGTCTCAGGACAAGTGATTTGAGGTCAATCTTTTTTTGGGGGGGAGGGGGGGACTTCAATCCTGGCACACCTTGTGTGATGCCCTTTGCAGCAGGTATGTTCTTACTGCGTTTGCATGGTGGCAATGATCCCTGACAATATAACAACGATCCAAGTATATCAGCAGGTATTTGATTCTAATGAATCACTTGGGTTTAGTTTGGGCCTGTGTATAATGGATGATTTATTTAGGCCCTTTTCTAAAATTGAAACGGTAAACCATAGCTCTTAGGTAACTTGGTGCAGCATTATTGTAACACAAGCTGGTGAATGTTGGTGTACTGGTGTCTCTGGATGTGGCCTTTTATCTGAGCACCAGAAGCATCTGTCAGCAGCACAGAGAGAATTCCAGGCGCCGTTCAGCAGGACTCCATCATGAAAATACCTTTAAACAAAAAAAAAAAACCCCAACATGCTGAAACATTCTGTTTCCTTTGGTTCAATCTAGAACAAGAGGTGCACCCAGACACATTTTAAAAGCTCACTCAGCAAAAGCCTCCCCTAAAAAAGTCATTGTGTAGAGTCAACAGAAAAGGCAATGTGACCTATTTCAGATCCTGGCAATTAATTTGAGAAATGTTGTGCTGTCAGTGTTCAATGTTAAAGATTCACGTCCTTGTGTTTTCTGCTGCTACTGGTTGGTTGTCAATCAAAATATTATTAAGAGAGGAGGAAAAGCTGATAAAAATCTAAAACCTGTGTACCTTGTGCAAACCCAAATGGCACGTTTGTTCATCTATGGTAAAAGAGAGGCTCACCCGCCAACAGCGTGAAAAAAAGGGTAGTCATTTTCTCCCAGAAATGTATGTGGGTGTATGCACATCTATTTGTGAATGGCATTAGTGACTGCTTGCCTTTCTGTCTGAGTTTGAGCATGCGTACGGTGGAGAGTCAGGGGCAGCTTTCTGATGTATATTTGTTTTAGTACACCCCACCCCTACCGCTCCCCACAGCGAGTCAAAATGTACTGCCTTTTTCACAGCTTTTGTTATATTTTATTATTTTATGTATTTAGTGTGTATATATATATATATATATATATATATATGCAAGGGGTGCCTTCAAATATTCAGTTGAGTTAATATCCCTGTTTAACACGCGATAAATGAAATGCTTTCTCAACACGCAGAACAGCGTGTCAGCTCTAATGAAATTCACCGAATTAAGGAAAGACAAGGGGTTTGTTTGCTTCTGCCTAGGCTGGGTGTTTATATCCGTGAAAAAGTGGATTTGAAAGGTTTTATAGCACATTTGTGTGTAGTTTGGATAGAGCTAAAGATATTAGTGCCTAATAGTGTGCAGGAGATGTTTGTTCAGGGAATGAGTAGTTGATTTGGTTTGGTTCGGCCCTCACACCAAGAAGGCGACATAAACGGAGTGAATTTGCAATTGTACTTTGAGGGAATTTGTGTACAGAGTATGAAGTGAAAAGAATTTAAAATAATTTGTGATACTTGCATCCACATCGTGGCCGGTGGGTCCCTCGACAAGCATAGGCTCCTGTTTTCCACCAGATCTAATTGGGTTAAGGGGCTAGTTGACAGAGAATAGGAGACAGAAACAGACACGTTGCTGATTCAGACGGGATGTAAGCGTGGGACAGAGCTGAGTTTTGTTTGATTTGTTCATCACTGGAGAAGCATTTAGCCTTTTTGCCTTCCTGACACAGTCAAGTTAATTACAGTCAGGGAGACTCTCTGTCCCCTGATACCTCCTTTTTTCCTGCCCTTGCCTTCCTCTCTTTCTTTTTATCTCATTCTCTGTCTGTCTGTACCTCCTTAGGGGTACACGTCCTCTTTCCATTTCTTCTCGCCACCTTTTCCCTCTTTTCTCCTTCTCTTCTGGTCTACCCTCATCTGTCTTTTCATCTATAAACCACGCTGCCTCCTTCCATTTCTGTGTCCCTTTCACCCTCTACTTCTGTATTTTCCAACATTCCCATTATGACCTTGATCCTATTTTCCATAAGCGATGTCTCCTTTGCTGTCCAAACCGTCCCAGGTTGCTTCCTTTTTATGACTGCATCGTGAGGATGTATTAGAGATTTTCTAAAAAATGATAAGACAGAGATCAAATGATAATAGATACAGTATATATGGCGTTGGATAAAAGATATCAGTTAAGAACGAGCCTTCCACTCTCTTCAACTCCCATATTGAAATTGAAGATATCTCCAAATGAAGGTTTTAAAAATCTGAAGATTAAAACGCATAGTGTTCATTATGTGTTTGACATGACGTCAGTTATACAGATGTATGAATTTGTGTGTACATCTAATGAAGAGATATCAAAGCTATCATTACCCGTACATTATTATTAATTTCAAGCTCTAATCGAATCTTTTTCTGCTCACAGGTTTATGAGAACATGTCTTTCTGTCTGCTGCTACAGCAGAGACCATCTCAGCCTTGTAATCGGGGAATCCTGGAGTTTTTTAATTTCCCAGGTCGCGCAGCTGCTCCTGCCTCAGCTGTTTCACTGATGCTCTCACCTTGACGTGCAAAGCAAATTGAGCCAACCTGAAAGGCAATATATTGAAATACATTTTCAAGTCCTCCGCTGTGCTACAAGCTCATGTTATGGGCCGGGAGAGTATTTCCGGGACAAGCGGTACCCTGTGACGGCTCTGCACAGCCAACCTAACATCCGCTCCTCCGTTGTGACCTGCGCGAAGAAGATGAGGCTTCAGCTGCTGTTCGTTTTGACTTTTTTGGTGGGGCTCGAACAGGTTGACCCCGCTCAGGCCAATGAACGGAGAGTGGTGGCACACATCCCCGGTGACATCATCATTGGAGCACTGTTCTCTGTCCATCATCAGCCTCCCGCTGACAAGGTGATTTACTGTTTCCTCTGTTTGTCCGTGACAGTGCTTGTTCAGTGTCTGCAAGGGTCGGACAGAAACAGCATGTAAATCTTCCATAAATGGTCAATCAACGTTTTTTTGCAAAACTATTGTGCCTATAGGCTTGATATCATTTTGCTTGTTAAGACCAAAAGAATACATGTGGCTTGTAGAACGGTTACCTCAGTGTGGGTCCGTGAACATCCAGGCACCATTAGTTTCCCCAGGAACCAGTTGTCAACCGCTGACATTTAATTTTTTTTTTCCCCATCTCATTACGGATAATTGCAAAAGGGGTGGGGAAAAAAAACGTTGAACTGAGCAACCACGTGGAAAACCCATGTGAGGAAAGAAATAATGTGTCCAGCTAAATGAGCATAAAATAATCTGATGATGATAATTTCAAATGAATAAACAGCATTGGTACTTAAATGTCATTTCGCTTTGTCTTCATTTGCTTTCTCCCTGTCTGCTCAGGTACACGAGCGCAAGTGTGGTGCCGTGCGAGAGCAGTACGGCATCCAGAGGGTGGAGGCCATGATGCACACGCTGGACCGCATCAACGCGGACCAGAACATCCTTCCCAACATCAGCCTGGGCTGCGAGATCCGGGACTCCTGCTGGCACTCGGCCGTGGCTTTAGAGCAGAGCATCGAGTTCATCAGGGATTCGCTGGTGTCTTCTGATGACGCTGAAGAGTGGGGTGGGGGAGGTCCTTGGGGAGGCGGAGGAGGCGGAACAGCAACAATAAAGTGCTCGGACCCCGCTGCTACTCCGATGCGGGGCAAGAAACCCATCGTGGGTTTGATAGGACCAGGGTCAAGCTCAGTGGCCATTCAGGTCCAGAATCTGCTACAGCTATTTAACATACCACAGATTGCCTACTCAGCTACTAGTATGGACCTCAGTGATAAGGTGAGCATGGTAAACATTAGTGACACTTAAATGTTACATGACTTAATTATGCAAATGTTTCCATTATCCACTTTGCTAAATGTCCTACTTCCTGCTCTTTAATAGTCACTGATTCAGTCTCCATTATTTCAGAGCCTTTACAAGTATTTCATGCGGGTGGTGCCTTCAGATGCCCAGCAGGCACGAGCTATGGTGGACATTGTCAAGAGATACAACTGGAGCTATGTGTCTGCCATCCACACTGAAGGTACAACCACCCACGCTTCCAAGCTATTTTCCTTTGCCTTGCTGTGTCTTTTTCCTCGATGCTGTGATATACCCTTTAGACACAGCGTTGTTTAAGGAATGGCGTTCTGTCAAATATCCACCTGACAACCAAGAAACAAAAACCAAGCTGTATTTCAAACGTCACGCTGCTTTATTAGCTCAAAGAAAAGAAGGAATCAAGAATATGTTTTAAATGACAGGAAGCGTAGCACCACTGCAGCAAAGAGAAAGAGAGAGGGGTGTTATTTTTTTTTACGTGAATGGTTTTGAGCTTCTAAAGGGAAATGTGGTGAATTCTGAATTGCTGTAGCTGCTTTGAACACATGCCAAAAGGCTGCTGAAGCAGTGTCCAAAAGTAAGGAAGTAGATCAGCAGGTAATGGCTGGAGGACAGAGGGAATAAAAGGTGAAGAAACAGTTTCAAAGAGCCTCTGAAAATAAAAGCCCAAATTCCCTGTTAGGAATGACAAAGAGCAACACCCATAGACCCCAGGGAGGATTATGTACTACAGACCAGAGAAAATCCTTTCTAGAGGAAAGGGAAAAAAATCTTTCATTTGTGTTACTCATCCATTCACTCGCTGACTGTGGAGCTGGGATGGAGTTGAGTCAGAGTTTACTAATGGGAGATGTTGCAGATAGCGTGTCAGCTACCTGAAGTGGAGGACAATGAGGCAGAGTCTGAGTGCATTTGTCCACCAAGGCAAGGGTCGCTCACCAAGTATGTGAGAGAAGAAGCGCGATAAGCACACCCACTCGCACACAAACACACATTGTTCCACATTAAAGACATTCAGAGTATTCCATGCATGTGCAGAGGTTTTTATCAGCCTGGTGAATGAAATGGAGGAGGTGGAATTCATAACAGGGTACTGCCAAAGCCGAGGCCAGTCTGTATAAAGCATGCCTTTCAAATACTGACAGGTTTGGCTGAAGAAATGCAGATGACTTATTTTTTCAAAGGATTATTCTAATTGATTCACCGATGAAAGCACAATTAAGTTTGCTCTCTTACTTCATCATTTTTGGGCTGGTTAATGCTCAATGTTCAACAAGTGAAAGTTACTGTATTGCAAGTATGATTTCAGTCTAAATATTTGATTAAAACCAAAGTCCTTTTTCAAATTTATAAAATATATTTGAAAAGGGGATAAGAGAGGAAAAATATCCTTTTTCTACTTTTTCATGGGAAAGATGCTCAATATACAGCGGGAGATGAATTATATGATTAGCACAGTAATTAACCATAATTTTAATATGATATTATCTCAATTATATCTACTTAAAACATTCAAACACATGAGCTGCAGGACGGGACAAGCCTTCTGGCATTGTCGTGGATGTTCTTCACAAGGGGTTTTGAGGCTCAAAAACGTACAAAATAATCATATTCCGATTAATTGGTGAGTGCATGATTATCAAAATATATTTACATATAGAGTTAGAGTTGGCACCTCATTGGCACATAGATTAGCCATTTCCCCCCCCAATACTCTCAACTCAACCCACAGGATCCAATTCAAAATGTTGTTTACACACACAACCACATGTGGTTAGGGAAAGGTATACAGAAAGCCACAAGCAGAATTTTTTTCTTACCAAAAACTATCTGTCCTCTGAGCTTGATGAATAATAGATGCCTTTTTGTGCAGCATGCTATGAGACAAGTGTTAAGGGACCATCTACAAAGTGCGGCCCTGAAAAGGGCAGCAGCCCCTGCAATCTATCCTATCAGATTTCCCTTCGACATAAAAAAAGAAGCTCAAAGTCAGTAAGGGGGAGAAGGTCCTGTAATGTTTAATATAAGCATACAATTGACCTGCCATTCTGGAATTTATAGGTTATTTGACACCATTTAAAAGAATGGAATAAAGATAGAAAATCCCCACAAGAGGACAAAAGATTGCAGTTATCCTACTTTGCTTTTTACCTTGAAGTTAGGCTTGGATTGATTCAAATACTAAGAATTGCACTCTAACGTAAGCTCTTTGTTAGCAGATAATACATAGTATCACATTGAGGGATGGGAATATAAGGCCATAATACTTTTTCAAAATGTTGACCCATGTTAGTTCGAACTTCTGAGATGGCGTTATTATTTTCTGACTAAAAATGAAATGAGATACATTAAGGGGTGCTAAACATATTTTCAAATCCGTCCGAGTTAGTTTATGTAAATAGAGAGCTTCAGACAAATCGTCCTACATATTCATAACAGCGTGGCATCAGAAAGAACATTTGTTTTACTGGTGACATTTATTTTTCCTCCTCCTGAGAGTAATCAGCATATGAGTGGGGTTCTGTGCTCTCGATCATTAATCTTAACAACAGTGCGAGGGGCATGTGCTGTATCTTTATCAGAATTTTGGAAGCTTCTGTTGCTCTGTGCGCAGAGTGTGTCTTTGTCAGGAAAGTGTCGGCCGTTGTGTTCGCACAGGGAATGGATTTAACCTTGGGACCGGATCTCAAGGTTGCATGCTGACTTCTCAAACGCAGTCTCCGAAGCAGATTAAGAGGAGAGAGGTGACAAAGGGAAGACAGAGAATTTGTATGGTTTGGAGTTATGAACAAGAAAAAGAGGAAATGAAACGTTTACTGAGGGGGAAAAAAGGAGCAAGGATATTTGGGGGGATGAAGCACAAGGGAGGAAGAAAGAGGAGAACAAGCGATGATAATGCCAGAAAAGCACAGAAGGCGGAATGTGTGCATGTTTGTATGGGTGTATGTGGCTCTGTGCTTGGATGGAGACTGCCTGGGATAGATATGAGAGTACGGTAGCTGCAGAATCAGAGAAAGATTGGTGGGGAGGTTTATAGAGATTCATTAATTCTCTGCGTTAACATTTTGCCTCTGGAGGCAAAAGACAGCGAAACTGATACACAGGAAACTGAATAATACATGTTACATCAGTATCGTAATCCTACTGAAGTCATAAAAAACTCAGAGCTATGGCATGCTTTGCGTGTAACGTTTTTACTATAATGATCTGCTACGCATGCCTGAATTTATGCATCTATTTTCTTAATTCTGTAACAGTTTTTTTCATAATTTAAATGAACATGCAGTGCTAAGAAGTGTGTATCGCCCAGATTATGTTTCTTATCAGCTGAGGCTTCTGGAGCATTCCCTGTGGGTTGGGCTAGTGTTCTGGTTACTGAGAAAAAGACAGTGACTATTATCACATCACTTCAGCTGGTCAGTGTGCTCAGTTTATTCTGTTACGGTGGTGGAACGTAAGAAGTTCCATGGATCAGGTGGATTCTACCTCAAGTGGTCAGATGTGGTTGAGAGAGCCGAGTATAACTTTCAAGTCGTGTGGACGGACGACGTGGCTCCAAAGAAAGGCATAATAAGTCTGTAAATCACCTCAGGTTGTCCAGCAAAAAAGATCTCTAAATCCATATTCATAGAATTTTCAGCTGATTGTAGAAGCGGTATTAAACACAATTTTTAAAAGCACAGGCTGTGTGCAGAATATTATAAACCAGTTCTTACTGTTGAGATTAAAGACGGGGAAATTAGAATGAATAACATATATGAAGTTATGACTTCTGGTTTAAGTTTTCCTTCTGCTTTTACCAGTTTAATGTTTTCCTGTAGTTTTGTTTTTTTATGACCTGCAGTTTGTTCTGTGCTTTTTTATGTAATTTCTGCTGTGTTTTCTTTTTTGATGATTCTTTTGTTTCATGTTCTTAGTCATTTTGGTCCTCCTGGTTTCTGTCTTGACTCCTTGCCAGTCTCACCAATAGTTCCTCAGTTCCCTGCTGTTGTGGTCGTAGTTCTACATCTTTCACCTGCCTCCATTAGGTGATCACCCCCACTCTGTTTTGCTTACTCCTTGTCAGATCCTCATCTTATGTCACAAGTTGTCTCCATTAGTCATCGTTATGTTCCCTGACACCTGGATTCCTGGGTTTCATGTCCACATCTGTCTTTTGGTCACTTCTTTTTAGGTACGCTTAGTATTTCATTTATGAAGTTTAGTTTCAGAATTTCAAGCCTTGCTGAATAAATATTAATATGATATTATGTTATAAATATTAAGTTAATTATTTATTATCATCCAATTTCCAGCCTGTTCGCTGTCTGCATTTGGGTCCATATTCTCGCTCACTCCACCACACATTGGACGAGTATTGCTTTAATATTTAACGAAAAGCTAACTAATCAGTTGGTTTGGTCCGTTTTAACAACACTATTTCATCACTGACTCCCTGGCTGATGAAAACTTTGAGACCTTCAAGTTAAGGTGCCAGCGTATTGAGAGTAATGCAGCAGTCAGCACACTGTTTAGACTGCTGTGAAATAGGGCTCGTTTAAACTTAAATGAGTACGACATAAAAAAGCAGAATAGTTAAAGCCGGATTCTTCTTCCAGACCGATAGGCTTTGGGCTGGTCTTCAGTGTGAAAATCCCAGGCAGAAAAAACAGTCCTACTCCTCTGCTGGCTGTGATTTCAGTGCTGAGGTTAAGGCGCAGCTCAGTACAGTTACAAAGCATTTCTCTGCAATGCAAAGACAAAACAACAGGGTTGCTCTGATTTAATGAGAACATGTTCCTTGAACTGTCAAATGCCTCAAACGTAAGATGAAACAAAGTCACTTAAACTTTATTTTCATGTGCAACACTGACCTGAAGTCAGTAATATCTTGTCCTTTAATCTTACCTTTACATTTCCTATGAATCGTTTCACTGTGGTGAGGATGCGGAATGAGGAGTTGATTCGCTGTCTCTCATAATTGCTAGATGACGTATGGAGGCTAATTACGTTTCAATTTAAAATAAATTTTTGGGCTGAAAAGGATGATCCTTAGCACACTGTAGACTTCAAATGAAACTGCACAGTTCTACAGTATGAAGAGAAAGTTTACTCCGACAAAAGTGTATGTAGGCAGAAAATGGACATCATTAGTCATACAAACATGGCTGTTTCTGTTTAGATGTTCTGGTAGAATTTTGACTGCTCTTAGAATTAGGCCATTAGATATCACATTCTGATGACCAGCCTGAAAAGGGATGCTGTCATGGCAAAAAGAGACTCTATGATCCTCATGTGATTTATAAGGTATATACACCAGAAAGGTCAAGTCTGCATATATTAATGCAATTGTAGGTTTTTATCCTTACATTTTCCTTTATCTGGTCATAAAACAAACTATCTTTGAGCTATCTTCCACTGCACTGAGTTTAGAATGACATTCCTTGTGCTTTTTCTGCTGGCTCCCTTTGCCATTAGTCTCTGGGTGTTTTCTCTGTACAGCTCAATTCAGTTCAGTTCAATGGGCTTTGTTTACACAAAAAGTTATACGCCTCACCCAACCTCGCTCTGACAACATTTGATCAATTTCTCAATTAATTAAGACACAACCTCTCTCTCCACCTGTCTTTTTTTCACGCTCTTTTTGTCCAGCTCACCTTCTCCTCCTTTGTTTCTACCATCTGCTCTTGATGGCTCTTTTGATCTTCACCTCACTCACCCTCTCTCCCCTGCTATTGTCTTGGTTTAGTCTCCCTATCCATTCCCGTCATCCTTTCATCATTCACACTCTCCCTCTGACTCTGCAGCACAACGTGGCCTTTACGCATTTAACTTCTGTGGCATTTGAAGGATTATGGGAGAGAGGAAAGTAGGATTTGTGGAAGACAGTATAGAGAAGGGTTTAATGAATGGAGAAGGGGAGAATGACTGAAGCAGCTTATGTTTTTATAATCGTTTCTGGTAACGTTGCCTGAGGGGGAACATTCAAAGTGGGTCATGGTCCAGTTTTTTGTGGGTCCTGGAATAACACGAAAGCTTACTCTAATGATCATTGGTCACAGGCTATGTCTACCCAAATTCATCTCCTCCAGAATTCATGATCTGGGAATCTACTTAATGGTTTCTGTTTAGATAACAGATGATGTGGCAGTCATCTTTATTCTAAAGCTCAATGACATACAGTTGCTGTCTTATATAATACTGGCATAGTCTGCACAAATTGGGAAATCAGTTTACAATATTGGGGATCCAGAGAGAAAATCGAGATATCAGCTTTGAACCAGGCCACAGTAAGAACTGGAACCACGCTGTGGTTAATTTGCGTGATGATGACACTTGTTGATTTTAACCAAGAACTGTCACATTCACCAGGACTAACAGCCTAACTTTGATATGGGATGCTTGGTTCCTATTCATTGATCCAAACAGAATGTAGATGGGCTTAAAATTGTCGAATACTGTGGCGTAGTACCACCTTTAACTGGAGCGATATCAGGAGTCAAAGTGTTTTTGGACAGTGGTAGGAAGCCGGAAAACCCAGAGAGAAACCACGAGAACACAGGGAGAACATACTGCACAAACTGCACATAGTAAGGTCCTGGCTCCCCTTGGGACTCGAACCCAGAACCCTCTTGCTGTGAGGCGATGGTGCTAACCACCACACCACCGTGACGCCAAGTGTATATTCCCTGAAATAAATTTTTTTTGTTTGGCATGTTTCGTCAATGTGGAAGCTGTGACTGCCCTGTCAAAACACCCACAAAACAGTGCATGCAGAGTTCTACAACTCTACTAATCTAAGTCTAAAATGGAGACACAGGCATGGGGTTTATTACAATGTAGATTTGGTTCAGTTAAAAAAAAATCTTCAAAACATAAGCATAGTAAGTAGCAGTAGCGATAGGAGAGATCTTCTAAAACCAGCACAGATGTACCTTCCACACACATTTACATGTGTGCATGTTACGCCAATAATACACTTGCCTCCTCCACTGATCCTTTTGGGAATGCACGAGGTTTGTATTAACTCCGGTGTGGATTTTTGCCTAACACATACTCATTAGTGCGGAGTACTGTTTACAGATATTGACACAGGCAAAAACACATAGTAGTCAATTAGGGAATCTCCATTCCCTTGTGTGAAAACCTGAACGTCTTTCTCCAGAAAGTGTTACGCAGGATTTTTGGAGAACTGGAAAAATCTAAGAGTACATCAAAAAAAGAAGAACTTGACAGGGTCCTGAAGGAGAAGAGAAAGAGCAGCACGATGTAAACGTTTAAACCAAAGACTCCTGTCTCTGTATCAAAACTTTATTAGAAGCTTTATTCTGTAGTTTTTTGAAAAACAACAAACTGCCAAGTGTGAGTTAAAAGCAGGTGTGCCAAACTTCAGACTATTTTGAGGTGAACGGAATAGAAGCAGGGGGTGCACTTTATCGAGTCTGTAAAGTTAGACGGCTAAAAGTAAAGTTGTTTGTTAATTGACTCATGCCCAAATATGGTCAAGTTTAAAGAACGCAAGATGCAGTCTGGACATGAATCAATAACATACAACAGAATCAAGAATGGAATAACCCAAGATGATATGTATTTAGAGTAAACAATCAAGTTAATTAAGAATCAACTTGTAATTTCGAATAAAAGAATGCATGTGTAATTGAGACGGAAAGGTAGGTTTACTAATGAAAACAGGAATAAGTCGCACAAATAAGTCTCTTTGCAGTCCAGCAGGTTACTGGCTTTACTGCTTTTTAAAAATGTATTTGTATGTTAACATGGTACCAGTATAGAAATGTATATATATGTGTGTGTGTGTGTCGGCCTAAAAAGTGCACAAGGGGGAAGGATAGTCTGTACCATCTGTCTCTCACTCCTCTCACTGAGACACTAATTACAGGCCTTTACACTTCACTCCACCACCCTCATCACTGGGCTGACTACACATGCGTTGGGCAGGGAATTTGGGACCTCATCTTCCTCCCTCTGTTTTCCATTTATCTTTCTGTCTGTTCTTCCTTCCATCAATGATTCTCCATCTCTTTCCCTCATTTCCTTATCTCCTACCTTTTATCACTGTATGTCTCCCTAAAGCTGTCTTTTTTCATCATCTATTTAAATAGAGCACAGATCAATGATACAAAATTAGAGTGCACTTTGTCGGTAGCAGTACAAAATGAAATTATCCGACATAAAAAGAGAAAGCATAAAAGAGGAGACAGACTTTAAATTGTTGTCCATCATCATAGAAAAGGGAAGACGATGAAAAAACAGAGGGTGAAAAATTAGCGAGGGGAATCCTGTCATACTCTTTGCCAATATGCACAACCCTTCATTAGCATAAATTCCAGGTCACCCACTTTCTCTGGCAAAGAAAGTGGTGCCACAGTGGGGAGATGCTTTCTGTGGCTTACAATTTAGCCGTTGTGTGTAGTACAAGAAGAGGCAAGCTTAACCGTGTCATATTTCTCACCCACAAGGAGAATTTACACCTTTTTGTATCCCTTTAACCTCTGTACCTCCATCCATCCATTTACCTCTCCTTTCCAAATCCCAAACCAGGTAAAACCCTCTTGTTAACTTTTTGTATTGTTTTTTTTTTTTAGGCAATTATGGGGAAAGTGGAATGGGAGCATTCAAGGACATGGCAGCCAAGGAGGGGATCTGTATTGCCCACTCCGGTAAGAGATACAGATCAAGATATCTACGCTAAACTCAGCATCTGTCTCCATCGCCACAGATGTTTACTGAGAAGGGAAAAAGTTTTGATCCAAATACAACTCTGTATTTGTATGCCAACTTAAAAGAGTTCCTTTTTTTCACACAGAGGCGCATTATAATTTTTCTCCATGTACTCAAACACTAACAGACTCCCTCTGATACATATTTATGGCAGCGTTAAACATTCCAGCAAAAAAAAAAAAAAGAAAGACTAAAAGTTAAATCCGCAGAGGAAAAAAAAGCACACAGATCAGGAAAGTTGACAAGGGTTATGGGGTTGTGTTTTGTCTGACATGTTTCCCCAGGCAAAATCTGGAGCAATGCTGGAGAGCAGAGCTTTGATCGTCTGCTGGAGAGACTGAGGGCACACCTGCCCAAGGCCAGAGTGGTGGCATGTTTCTGTGAAGGCATGACTGTCCGTAATATCCTCATGGCTATGAGACGTCAGGGACTGGTGGGAGAGTTCCTCCTCATCGGCAGGTCAGTGGATTCTTGTTGTCGATAGATCTTTGCCTTGCAAAGTTCTTTTCCTAGAAAATGTCCGCCTGTTTCCAACATATATATTCTTCATCATAAAGCTGTGACTGAAATTACGTATTGAATCAGTAGATTACTTTGTTTCTAGTTTACTGTTTTTATTATGGCTGGATTGTTGATTTCACTACTTATCCAAAACAAAAGAATGGAAAATCTGTTTAACAAGGGAAACTTTAATGTGGGACAAAATGAGATTATTAATGATATCACATTAAGTGGATATTGTAATTGATAAAAATGCTTAGCGCTTGAGTTGGCAATGACATCAATCATTGCAGCCAACAGATTAGAATAGAAATAAATCATCCATTTATCCCCTAGTGGGGGGAATTCAAATAGTCAAGCAATTGAAAATAGAAATGATTATGTATGCTGGATGAAAGGACCTCCTGAACCTTTCAGTTCAGTGGAGTTAGTTTTTTTAACTAAGAAAATGAGCCCAGCTGATAAATAAGTATTAGTGGAACATTTAAAACAAACAAAAAAAATCATTTTAAATGTTACTTTATATAATGTGGCATTAAAAATACTGTAGAGCATAAACTGTAGAGGCCTTTACAGGATCAATATTTAAAAGTTAGACACTTTTTTTTTTTAGCTCATCCCGAGTTATGTGTACAATTAGTTTTTGAGTTTGAGCATGAATTAGGATTAGTTCCCACACCGATACCGTCCTTGCGAAACTAAGCCCCCGAATAGAGATTCTTCATATTCGTCTGTGCATTTGTATGAAAGCTATAACAAAGCCTCTTGAGTTTGAGTCGTCATGCCAACTGAGTAATTAACATAAGATGAATAACGATTTCAGCACCTATGCCTGCTAATCTGCATCCAAGAAAATAGAATTTGTGTAGATTGGAAACAATACAATGTGATTACCATTGGATTGGCAAAAATATAATTATTTTTAATTCTGCTCTACTTCTCCCCCAGTGATCAGTGCTGTGTAATTAAATCACAGTAGCTTGCATATTTTGTGTTGTCATCGTTGTCGTCTCGCTCATTCAACTCATCATCATCCACATCATCATCGTCATCTTACTTCAGGAACTAAGGTAAAGTTTTAAGTCATACTCCGCCTCTTGTTTGTTTTTAAAGAAATGTTGAATGACAACAATAAGAAAACAAGGAGAGTGTTTAGTCTTCACTGAATTGAAAAATTAAGATTTTTTTTTTCTTTTACATCTTTTGAATAAAAGCTTTTTAGTGCCCATCCAAACTTGTAAAACAACGTGAGACAAATTGGTTTTAAACCACATCTGAAGTCATAGTGTTTTAAAAATGGAAATGCATCGTATTAATAAAAGGTTGAAGAACTCAAATTTTGGCAAACACCAGAGAGAAGAAAAGCAAAAAAAGAAAAGTAAAGGAAAATCCCTGTGAATGTCTTTTGGATCACCTACTGATCCAACACCAACAAGCAGCCAATAGTTTCCTGTATAGAACACATATGTACTAACACACAGCCAGAGGGTCAGTGAGGTGGATTCTAGAGAGAAAGCCCAGTCTAAGGATAGTTTCTCACCTCTGTAAAATACCTTGTCAAACTCTATTTTCCTCTTGAGGTTTAGCCAGAAATTCATCCTGACAGCTTAATGCCAACATCAGATCGACTTGTTGATCAACCCCCGTTTCTTTTCATCATGTAAGACCTTGGACTGCTCAACACAGCCACTAATTCACACGATTCTCTATTAAGCAAACCGGCATTTGACCCTATAAAATATTTCACCATTATTAAACAAGCTTCTGGAAAAAAAGAAATGTGCAGCTTGTTAAAGTGGTTAGTTTTTGCGGTATGACCCGTAGTGCTCCATCTCTGACCGGTCGGTTTGGATTAGGTCAGCTAATTGAATATCATCCTTCGTTAGCATCCATATCATAAACGGACTGCGGTTACAAATTGGAGATCGTCATGGGTGGGTGCCCTGCTCACAGGGGGTCTGTGGAAGCAAACTGAGTTGGGCAGACACTCATTTAACACCTGGATAATTACATTACTGGAGGAGCATGTAGATGATGATAAAGCAGAGTATTCAGTTACCTTGGGAAGACAGTTATGAAATAGTAAAATATTTTCTGGATCCTAACTTGAAAAGGCATATGTGGCTTTACCGTGAGCATGCCGATGAGCCTCACTTGTCTGTGTTATTGCTTTTAATATGTCCTATATGGCCTATACATTCTGTGGCTTCTCCTTTTTTATGTGTTGGTCAGAACATTTTGTGATCATCTGTCCTTTCATAATGAATTCATACCTGGATTTTCTTCCACATGCAGTTCTGGCTTGGTTAACTTGGTTAGCTCTTGTATAGTCCAGCCATGTTTAACCTTTTTAGGAAATTTTTTGCATCTCGAGATGGGAGAACTAAAGGGAAATGTCTTTTTTTTTAAAGTAAAACATTAGAGTACCTGTGCTCTTTTTATTTGTGAGACATAAACCTTCCACATACTCATTCTTAGTTCATCGTATCCCACGGCTTCATTGTGTTTCTGAGAAATGATCCTATGTACCTGCATTTGGTTCTCTGGCTCACTACTGCAATACCAGAAAACTGTGTTATGCACACATACACACTCATTTAACAATGTAGCAACATTGGCACACCTTTCTGCCTCAATAATATTGATTTTTTTAGCCCTATAATTCCTTGTGGTGCCAGTGGGCTACAGACATTAATGAGTGGCTGGGCTGAGATAAATATCTGTTACCACATGGGACACATTGATACTACCCCACTCTTGCTCCATACAAAAACACACACACAGAAGTGCAATTCAGAGCTGAAATGGACCTTTTGTGTAGGCATTAGCTTTTAAAGAACTCGTCTTTTACAAATGCTAAATATCTCCTGTGTAGTCTAATCAATTCTTGACACAAATCTATTTCTGCACAACATAATTGCTATATTTTCTTGTATTTACTGTACATGGGATGCACAGTAGCACTAAAAACATTGACTGTTTGTGTGGTGGCTTCACCGCAACATGATTGCATTTCATAGGTTAGTTACTAAATGTGCGTGTGAACCACATTTTACACCACTGTTGTCTTCTCATGATTCAACACATGCTTGACAGTGAGACATAATTGGTAAAATACAAAAATAAGTTAATTACCTAAAATAAGAATATTTCACCTCATCAGTTAAAACTATTTGATTCAAATTTAGCTGCTCAGTTTGCAGGTTTCCATGCCGGCTTATGTGCAATGGGTCTGGATTGTGTGTGTTTTCAATGAGAAGCCGGTTTTCTGCTGGGGTTAGAAGAATCACTATTTGCTTGAATGAATTACAACAGAATAGTTTGAATCAGAAGTCAAGCAGATTTTCTCTGGAGATCACCCCCACACAAGTCTGCACCCCCTCTGTCTGCTGTTGCCATGGAAATTTCCCCTATCGTATTTGGATGGTTCCAACATAGCAGCAGGGGTTATGTGGCGCATGTGTTTGTGAATGGCTATTTGCATGCGTGGGTTCTCTGTGTATCATACATGTTTATGTATGTATATATATACAATATATGTATATGTATATGTAAGGTGTGTGTTTGACACTGTGTGGGTGAATATGCAGTGTTCGATATATTTTACGCTGCTATATGGGGCGCTTTTCCATGAAATTTTGTTAATATTTGACCCGACACATGTTAAATTTCCTCTTATCTTTACAAGTCTTTATCCTCTGTCGTCTTCTTATTTGACTTACTGTTTTTAATCATTCGAAAGTAACTTTCTTTCACCCTTTGGAACAGAGATTTTTAGCTGATTGTTTTTTTTAGGTCAGACCCCACCAGGCTTCCAGTTTATAGCACAGCTTAACTCTCACAACAGATTCAAGATGACTCCAAGTATCATGTCTTCAAAATAGATTTTTGTTGGGTTAGACACCTGTGTGGTATCACAATGTGATTAAAGACGCTGTGACGGCACAGTTTCTGAAGATAATTCCGAATGGGGTTTGTGGGGCTGGAAAGTAAAGACATTAACATTTTAGGGCAGAGAAAAGAGTACAATGTTTGATAATTAAATATAAATTTAATATATGATAGTGCTGCAAGGTTTCCTTTTTGGAATGCATAGTAAACCTCTCATTTATGAAATATTCTAAATTAATAATTTTTTTTCTTATTCATTGATTGAAATAAAAGACAGTTTGTAATTAAACTGTGATAAGTCATGAACGAGGGGCGGTTAAAAAGAGGGGTGATAAGATGATAAGTAATTTTCTTATTGTACATGTTTGATTGTCAATTGCAAAAATGTGTGACTAAGGTGTGTGATATAGATTGGAAATAAGTTTAATTAAGTGGTAAGAGCTGGTGCAATACCTTTGTACTGTGTCTTTTGATTTAATTCCACTGGTTTCCAATATTGAGAAAAGTTGGAAAAAGTCCTGTAGGAGGCATTTCAAAGAAACAAGGATCAGCTAAACTTGTGTATCATATTATGCAAAAAAACACATGGGAATTTGGAGTTAAAAACATGCTTTTGTTACATTATTACATGGCGTCTGAATACCACATCTATCGTGATCACATCTATGTGTGTGTTAGGTTTCTTGCCTATTTGTTGAACAGCTGTTGAAATTTTGCCTCTAAGCTCCCTAAACTAATCAGAGGTACTTTTGCAGTCATTCTTATTATGGCAGGGGTCACCAGAATGGCAATTTTACCACCCAAAATTAAAGAAAACTATCCTCCTCCCATGGCTGTAGAGGAAATCAATAGCTTACGCCTGGTGCGCTCCAACTGACTCGTCCCAAACACGTCTGAACAAGTTTTGGCTGCTCGACTCTTTCATGCACACTCCTCACCACTGAATCATGACATTGTAACCTGCAGTGGTTTAGCTCTGGCTTTTAGAAAATTGGATTGCTTGAATTGCTGTAAAAACAAATAAAATCATATATGTGTCCCATCCACAGAGTATATTACTGACCA